ATACGAGGAGGGGTGATACGAGGAGGGGGTGAAATGAGGAGGGGGTGAAATGAGGAGGGGGTGATACAAAGACGGGGTGATACGAGGAGGGGGTGATACGAGGAGGGGGTGATACGAGGAGGGGGTGATACAAAGACGGGTTGATAAGATTGAACAATCACTTTACAAAGTACCTCATTTTTAAAATGAAACCTCATTTTTAAAATGAAACCTCATTTTTAAAATGAAACCTCATTTTAAGATCTAATTTTCAGAGATTCGATAACAGCCTTACTAATATCAAGTTACAATATCTTACCTCAAATTTTAATGACATGGACTGTTCGATGTCAAATTCATTTTCAGCCTTCAACAAAATATCTCTAACATCGTACGACGCATTGCTGATCATTTCTTCTAGCATTGAACCTTCCACCAGTGAGATGAATCGTTCATCTTTCCTGTAAAAAGAGGCCTCTAATTAGTCTTCTATTTCATTTCAATGGATTCTAAAACTGTTTTGCTCTCTATTTATTCAATACATAACAAACATATGCAAACTTATTTTTACAACTACATGCAAACTATACACTACAACTAAACTATATGCAAACTTAAAATCCACACAGCTACACTTCCTCTACGGCAAAATGCTATTTTCATCAAAATGATAAAATTTCTTCAAATATTCAATACGTATCCTTGCTTGCCGAAAGTCTAAGCCAATACGCCAATAACAACTAATTTTTGGCCTGCTTCTCCACCTTGTTCAAAATAACGGGCCATTTTCCTCCAAGGGAATAGACAAGTGTCCGATGCAGCAAATATACGAGATAAGAGCAGCCGTGGTAACTAATGGCTTTCTTATTTACGTCTTTCTTCTAAATCAAAGGGAAATAGGAAAACGCTCTAGATAGCGAATGTTTGTTATAGCAGGTATTCGATATAGCGTATGCCATAGAAACATTTAAACATATATAGAACGACTGTTGGGTGAAGGTTTTTCTGTTGAGTCTGGGTGCGTATCTAATAGCAACTACGACAGAAAAAGCAAGGCATTACCCTGCAATTTTCATCATGAGGCAAATAGAATACAAGTTGCAGTAACATCGTAGGACAAGAAATTTGACTTTCTCTTCCGTAAATTTGTGTTCCACCAAAACCCTCGATTCTGTTGAAACGTCACCCAGCATTTGCTCGACGATCGGATATATCAATTCAAGACCCGTTGTCAATGCTCGCCTCTTTACAATTTTATTCTGAATTGTCTGCAGAACGAAAACAACAGTCATAAATGGAATAATCTTAAAATAAAATCGCATTTTATTTTCTAGTTTATACTTTCAAGGCAGGGTGTTTGTACAAGCAGCATGTTTGGGGGGCGAGGGTGTTACTTGGACTAAACAAATCAAATCACAGAAATGCTGAATTCATATCAGTATTTTGTCAGCCGTTGTAAGGTTCGACACGCTACAATTGACACACTGGCTTGGAGCAATGAAGACATTTTTCCAACCCCACAAGGGTTTCTAAAGCCTATGAGCAATGCTGCTACTTGTAAGAAAAAAATCGAAAAAATTGGAGAAACATTTTTAAAAAATATGGTGCAACAGATTCGATAAAGATATCACAACTATTCTGAAAAATTTTATGATTTCATTATTGAGCATATTTTGACTATATTTATAGGTAACAAAATAATTTAATAATCTGAGTTGCTTAATGGTAAATACCTGGAGGGGGGTTTACGTAAAACACTGACTACCCGGGGGTATGCCTGCCAACAGGGTCTCATTTTCAGCTGAAAATTCCATGAAATGACAGTGTTGTCCAAGTAATATCTCAAACCTCGACTTTGGAATACGAGAAGAATTTAACTTTCCATATCAATTCACAAATTGTATTATCTGCCAAATTATGCTTAGCCGGACCACTATTTTTCTGTATCTTATTCAAAGACAGGTATCAGGTTTCAGAATTCTATTCAAAGACAGGGTGATAAAATATTTTTCTGCCAGGCACATACCTGTAATTCTTCTCCAAGGTAAACCCCGGATATGATCCTTTCTCAAAAGCGGTATTTGATGGCAAGTGTAAAAAAGCTGGAGTTACTACCAAAGCAGTTAATGTGCATATAGTTCAGCGCCTTGTTCACCTGACTTCAGCTTCCTTACATGTCAAAGCACCCATTCCATGCTCTAGAAACTTAGTCCCCTTCCCGAATTATATACTCTAGATATACATATAAATGGCTACTCACATTCAGAACCACAGATGTTAAGGCATAAAAAACTCTAACGGATGCTTCGTCTGGGTTTCTTGCAAGCTCCTCCGCGATTTTTAGCATCTGGACACAATTAAAATAAAGCTCTTTACAAAAACTACTGCTATTTTGTTTTTGTTTTGATTTAAGTTAAGGTGTGTACTTTATTGTGATGTGTACCAGATTGTTATGCATTTGTGTGTCAAGTAATTCAGGTATGACTCCTCACGGAACTTCATCTGAGATTTGTCAACACATTTTTAAAAAATAGGTCAAATTGCTAATTAAAAAGATATGTCACTGGATGACGAGGGGCGACACCTACCCCCTCCCCCCTGATATCACGGGACAGTTTCAATACATGGAAATTTTAAGAACTTTTATTAAGAATATACTGGAAGGAAACTTTCAAACGGAAACTATTTCTCTCATATTGCGAGTCAGTTGAACTTATAAGAATCGTCTCGAATTTAGTCCTTAAAAAATTCTATTAAAATTAGCTTACCTTGAGCTTTATACTTTCAAATACAGATTCACCCGTCCTACTTCTCTTAACATTCAAAACAAGATACCAAATGTTCTGGATGCACAAGTAGACTACATCTGGTAACTCTGAAGAGTTCTAAGAAAACAAACGAATAAATTATCATAAAATGGTTCTATTCCTATACCACAACACTTTAGAATCATTTATATGAGACAGACTACAGCGGCCTAAATTGGATTAAGCGAGGAACACAAAGGTGGAACTTAAAACCGTTCAGTTCTATACAGCAAAACATGATACATTTTACAGATCGATGTAAAGAAAACAGAAGTATCTAAACAACAGAGATTCTGGTAGAGAGAATGGTAACAGAACTGCAACAAAACAGAAGTCGATGTAATAAGAACTCAGTTCGACTCAATTGGACATGGTATGCACGTGCTTATGTGTGCAGTTGGATATCAAAGGAAACGTGCAAAGATTAATACCCCTTTTTGGGGTGGAAGAACATGCATAATATTCAAATATTGTATATTTAATATATGTATCATATCTATGCTAATTATGAAGCTGGTTTTCATGGGTCCTCCCCCCTAATAAAAATATTAACTTAATCCGTAAAAAGTAAATTAAAAAGCTAGTAATTTAATCACATTAAAAAATCATTTTGAAAATATTTAGAACTTGAGAACAACGAAACGATATCAAAATTAACATGTAAAAGGAAGATTTTAATAGTACTTGTTAAACAACACAGAGGGGAATTCATGTTCTCAGTCTACGGAGAGGCTATTTAAAAGTTAAGCACCTTTAAAAATAATTTCTGGCCACAATTCCATCTTTTTACTAGGGCAACCTAACGTCAATACATGAATTAAAATGGATGCTAGATGAGCATTGTGAAATTCGCTTGGGGACCTCACAAAAGTAGTGCGGAGCCAGCTCATTTTAGGAACTGAAGACCAGTTTATCAATGGTCTTCAATCCTAGCCCGTCGTGACGATGTATACGCACAAGCTCGCAGACCATGAGAAGGGGGGTTGCCTCGTTTATTAGGAGACTTTTCCATCTCCCAGTAGCCATGCTGCATTATCGAGTTGAAGAATGAATGAATGAACTCTAACTGTACAGGAACCGAACAGTACATACCTGATGAACCAACCTTTCAACCATGCATAAAGAATATTGTAATAGCAGTACAGGATCTATCAGTTTCCATACATTTAAACGATTTGAAATAATTGTTGATGATGTAAATCTTTCCAACAAATAGAAGATATTCACATCTGCTTTTCCACAGTCATCACATGGCTGAAATTGAGATAGCATGAAATAACAAGCAAGCTTGCACTCTCTATGCATACATAACGAATAGCAGCTGTTCTTGTTACGTAGGCAAACAAATGTTTTGGCAAAAATATAAAGATACTGAATGATTACTGAGACAATAGTCAGTAACTCAATTATTGACAACTAGGAATAAGAAGCAATGCTATTTACTTCTTGATCCCAATAAGAAGAACTTATCTTCGTCTTAAGCTTTGATGCATTAAACCAATGTAAATAGGGAGATACGATTTCAAAACTAAGTTTGTTTTCACTACAATACACATGGGTATTGCGGAGTAACGGGCTGGTACACAGGGTTCTAATGTAAGAGGTTCATTTGAATATGAATACTGCTATTGAGGTCTGGCAATAGGGATGTCTCGTGGTCACAGACGTTTCAAGAAACAATGCTAGTTGAAACTCACACCAGATGTGTAATTGAAATACAGTGTTTTTAGACTGCACCAACAAAAATTGTTGTTGCTGGATGGGTTGTCACTCAGTTGCTCCTCGTAATTCCAATATGATCTGAAGTTGATAATGTAGGGTAAGTCAACGGAATGACCATTTCCCTAGCTTCGGTCTTATATTTGAAGCCATTACAGAAAGGAATAACAGCTGATTTACTATTCCAAATTCTCTTTAAAAACTTTTCAGCTTTATAGCATAAGGATTATAAGAATTGTTTGAGGAAAATTCAATATTCTGGCTAAAAAATTGTAAAAACATATTTCTTCTGAAGACAACAATGTTGATTTGGTGCAGCCTAAAATCCTTACTGAACAGTTCTATCAAGAAGAAAACCTTCGAGAGATGAATCTTTCTCTCTCTCTTCTGTCTTTAAGTTACCCAGTCCTCCTCACCATAAAACAAAAACGCATCTTCCGCGATGAACAGTTGTGTTGCCAGTTCTAACCTCACATTTCCTCAAACAGCCCCCAACCCCCTCCCCCCTTCCACACAAGCACATCAGGAAGGTGTGACCAGAAGGTTTTTATATTTCTTCAAATTTTTATTGGAATTCCGAAGGTATGGATAAACCTTTTCTAAAGCAGGTTTACTAACTTTCCAATAAACACTTCCAGACTAAGTTTTCCTGACAAACTTATAGCTGCTAATACTGTCATGACAACAAAACAATTTTAGCTGTTCTATTGAATTTTGGTTCAATAAGGCAATTGTGGGTACGTGAATTAATGGAATATTAAAGATTTACCTTTAGCAAGAAAACAATTCTGAAAAGTAGTATTTTGATTGAAACGATCAAACGTGCTGCATTCTCAGCTGACAGCCATTCAAAATTCATAATACCAATAACCTACAACAAAGAAGATTTGATCAGTTTAACACAACTGTAACTATTTTTGGCTAAATTTGAGACAACATAACTGGTACAAAATTTGAAAATGCCTTTAAGAAAAGCAAACATTAGAGTATTCTGACGTTTTATAGCCAAATATGGCAAAAAAGCCTAGCATGTTGTTAAATGTTTGTTATTTTCAAAACTACTATTTGGTGCAATAATACGTTTTTAAATTCTTTACATCAGACTTTCAGGATGTCATGTTTCAGATCAATTATGGGTTTCTCGTTATCTTTATCTGCAATTCTTGTATTAAACAGACATAGAACGCTTATAAGAAACTAAACTTTAATTACATTTTTTAGGATCCACATTCAATGAACCTTCAACTGACAGTTCATGTAAAGGATATCCCTTGTTACTGTTGAAATACTGAGCAAAATTATCGTTCTCACTCTAGACCATTTTTCAACACTTAATGACCAACTGCGAGCGATGCTCTAAAAATGGCGTTTATTCACACCAACAGTATTAAATCGGGACATTAAAGACAGCAGGGGTTTAAATAGAGGATTTACTTCATTGGTTACCAAATATTTGAAAACTATACAAGAAAACAAAAATATTAGCAGAACGACAACAGTTAAAATTATTCTACCTAACCAATGATCCATTTTACAAGAGTCTCTTGTTTATCAGAGAAGGAACCAAAAGATTTTGGTAAACAGTTTTCTTATAGGCTAAAACACCTATAAAACCTACAATAATGAAAAAAGACGACTAAAACAAAAATGGGTATATACCAGATCTATGTTGAAAAGCATCTTGAAGAGGTGAAAACAACATCATAGATAGGTACTGAGGATTTTTCTACAAGTAGATACCTTTAAAAGTGCATGCACATCTGTTTGCAAAACATGCGTGATTGTCTCCGTTTCTTCTTTATCTGGTGTATATGTTGCACGCATACTAGAGATGCCGAGCAAAGTTGTGATAATGTTATCACAAGCATCTTCAAACTGCCCATCAATCCTACCATCTGTTTCAGGCAGGCTGATATCCATAAGTGTTGTCCCGTCTTCTGACTGACTGCTTTCCATAATATTATGATCCCCACTTGATTTAAGACACTCTATGGATCTTTCAAGTGTTGCTTTAAGACCATCTGTGAAGCTCTCTTTTAACAATGACCATGTTTTCTTTGGCAACAAATCGCAGAACGCAGTTTGAATGGCTTCGTTGTCATAGAAAACGGGTGACATAATTAGTTTGGAAAAAACTTCTGAATCATTTTTGTCGTAATCAGTGCTTGTTCCAACTTGATCCACCCTAGATGACAAAGAAGTTAATTCGAGGACAATAAAAATTGATTTCATGTCAACAGCAAAGACAGGTAAGCGGCCAGGTATCAAGTCCCGCGTGCAGCAGAAATGCAATGAATCTACGCAAGCACGCGAGAAAAGGAACAGCCACAGGAGAAAAACGATGACCGTTTTCCAAGAACCCTACTTTGTATTATATATGATTAGAAGTTCTTTACAAATCTTGAAGCGGCATGAAATAGGAAATGGGAAAAATTGTTTCAATTTGATAGCATTTCCCAGGATAATTGTGTCCTGGAATATTGAGAAAACAAAACTGTATTAATGTGAAATATTATGTCATGAAATACGAAAAGCCCGCGGATCAAAGAAACTCGCTTCAGATCAGAAGAGAACTCGACTTGTCTCCCCCAACAATTTTGTGCTTCAATTCAAAGAAAGTTCAAAGGAAAGCTATCAAAAGTCGACGGGCACCTGAAACAAGTAGTTTTTTTAAACGCTTCCAGTCGGGCTTTGCTCGAAAAACTCTTGCTGTTGCATTTTGATCATGGAACTACTAACGGCAGTTGCAAAATGCTCCTGCTTACATGAAAAGGCAGTTTCTTGTGAATAAACTTTTCAAAATCATCTGATTCATGACTAACCTGAAATCCTTCTGGGACTGTTTCATAACAACATCGAACATCACTTGGCCAAGAATACTAACTGATTTTCCTCTGATATAGTCACACAACCAGGGAAGCTCTTCGACAATAGTAGCTGTCACAGAAAGCATGCTTGGGTCCCTGTAAACTAATTCACTGGTATCCAAGCAACCAAGAATGAATTCGTCAAGCTGATAACAGCAGTAATTGACCGCACCTTCGTCTGATATCAAAATCATCTGTTGTAAGTGGAGGATCAGATTTTTTACCTGGAGTGAAAACATTTCAAATGACTTTGGTAGAACATGCTGGCTCGGGTATAAGCTTATTGCTCAATTTACAGACTTCTGTGGCAATAAACTGTAAACATTCTGAAAATGTAGCAGCTCTCTATTAAGATTCAAAAAGCAAAATCGGGAATGAAGAGTTATACGAGAAAGATGCATACTTCATGTTTGAAGATACAAGGTGACTAAAGCACAAAAATGACTTCAAGAAGCTTCTGTATAAATTTCCTAAATGTTTTTTGACATTTTGGACAAGGCCAAAGAGATGTGGCAGAAATTCTTAAAGAAAAATGACCCATTATAGTTTACATTCATTAGGAAATATCTGCAATAAAATGCAATGATACTCACAAACAATGATGAACTGCGTTTTGAACATCCATCTGTAGATTCTTTGCTACCTGTAGCTAGACAACGCACAACTTCAAGGAAATCAGGGTGCGGAAGTATGGGCGAGTCAATTATGCCATGGTGCAACAGGTACAAAGAAATCCTTTGCTGTGTCAATACAAGTCTCCAAGCCAATTTGAGCACTTCATTTGTCGCATACTTCTGAGTACAAAGACACAAAACATCAAAAGAGGGTCGTGTTACTTTAATTGAGAAACTATATGATAGTACCTATAAGTTTACGGTGGATATTGTCTTCTTTCCAATAAACAGTTTATCTGAAAATATCGACTTTGAGGTTTCATGTCACTTGAAAGATACGAAAAGGCAAAATGGTTATTTAAATCAAGTTTTCCCCTATAAAGAACAAGGTAAGTGCGCACAGTTAATACGAGCAGCTAGTCGTCATACATGCCAGGTATGTAGTTGAGAGAATTAGCGAATCATAGGTTGCCTATGTGGAAGGTAAGCTTTTCAGTAATAAGAGAACTACCAAACCATCCTTGCTCGAATTACCTTGTGCTGAATCGCTTACGCCACTGAACAAGGCAAATTATGAGGCAATGTTTGACATCATGAGAAAAGGCTAGACAAACTTTAGAAAAAGAAAAGCTAAAAGGTTGAAACAGCAGAAAGGTAAAACTTTTAAACCAAATATTGAGAATTTGCTGTTTTGTGTAGACTATTCCGTACCTTTTGGTCAATTTTTGCAAACAGTTTGACAACAAGTAAAATGTTGAGCTGCAGCCTTTTAACCATGCTCAAGTAACTCTCCTGGTTATCCCCAATGTAACCATTCATTGGTAAGACACGAGTATTCAGCATGCATATTGAAAACATTTCTGAAATCAGGGAGAGCTTTCGTATTTCTCCTTCCAATCCTTTTAACTCTGCAGCGGTGATATCTTCTGATATGACAAAATCTATAACAGCAGGTAAAACCAAATAAGATAAATGTGCGAGAAAAGATCAACTGGCTACAATACCCATGTAATCCAATGAGCTTTTTGACGCCTATTCTAGTGATTCTGGTCTTTGTCCAAAAATTCACAGCCTCGAGCCCAAATGTAAAAAATCCCAAAAAGTGCCACCATAATTCCAGCAAAATGGCGCTTCAACCACGAAAATAATAAACTGTCATTTCAATAGGTTTTCTGAAGAAACGACCATGTATAGGACTAAAGAGAACGTACAAAAGAAAAAGCGTAGTGTTATAGAACACTGATGTCTGCGCAAAATGGCATTGACCTGCTACAAATTGAATAACTGTTTCTACAGTAAGCTTACGCGCAATACAAGAAGCAGACAAGTACTCGCATACATAACTTTCAGAGGGCATCCTGGAAAAGCCAGACCATAAGACCCTAGGACCCCTTGACCCCTTGACCCCAAGAACCCTTAAGTATTGAATACAAAAAGGACCCTTAACTATGAATGTTGCCACTACTTCCGCACAGCTTGGCTCAACTGCTAGGGCTGTCATTATGGCGTTCGTTTAATTACATGGTGTTCATTTGATTACTCTGCTTGAATGATGTAGCATGTGAAATGGCGTGTTTCTCCTTTAATTCTAGGAAGCTATTCCTGCAAGTATGGACTGCTAACAACTTAATCTCCTGATCTTCAAATACTCAACGCCAAGAAATGCAGTCCAAACACATTTCTAGCATTTCTAGCTTACCTTTGAGCTTTTCAATGTATTCCTCCGTCATTTCATTAAGCAATGCGTCTGTGACTGACAAAGACTGACCAACAGATAAAGATGACATGATCTCCTTCAGACTAAAAATCAATAATAATTGCTCAAAATCTGATATATGTCATTTATTTACAAACAAAAAGGCATTAAAAACATCTAGAAAATAAATTAACGATATGTTGTAACGAGATTGGCTATGACCAGAGGCGGCTTCCAAAAAAACAAAACTTTGTATTATTTGTCCTTTGATAAAAAGATTACAATCTAGACGAATTCAGAAATTTCAATTTGCATTGACCCCAATTAACTGGTTTCACCCTGTCGCCTTAATTTCTTTTTTTCACTCTTTCTAATTTCCGTATTGGCAGTCCCTTTACGACAGAATTTTCACTGAAAGAAGACGCATAGTTTCTTTCAGCAGAACTTATAGCTTTTGCTCTGGAACATACTATTATCTTGATTCAAAATAACGAGTTCAAGTTTACCGTAGAAACAAATCAGTTATAACTTAGCTATAACTTAGTCGTTGCCTTCGTTGCAGGGGCGGACAATTGATCAAATATTGGGGGGCAAGCCTCTTGTTTTAATAAGATTACGTCACATTTCCCATTGTCTTAGAACAAAAGACCATTGTCCTCTAAAGTATTAGGGGGCGGTCGCCCCCCCCCCCTCGCCCCCCAAGTGTCCGCCACTGCTTCGTTGCCTTTATTAATAGAATTGTATTGCCCAATATTTGGTTGGGATTTTTTAGTTCATTCCTATTTCGTATTTTGTTGGTCACATCTGCAAATGATAATGGAACATAGTTGAATAAAACTTACCGATCAAAAACAAACGAATCTATACGGACATGTGACAGAGATTCACGAACAGAAATTACCAGCTCTTTCAAAAATTCTTCGATCTGCAAAAATATTAAATTTATCAACAAAGATAACAAACATAAGTATTTCATTTGAAGTAGATTGACTGCAAATTTATTAATTTTCAAAAACCTATCTGCTTAATAAAACTTGTAATCACAAATCAACATCTCTAACTACACAAACTTGATTGCTACCATAAAATCAAACTTTCTTATGTTTATGATAAATGTATACTTTTCCACAGTTTAGCAGCCAGCTATGGTACAAATTTAAAAATAGAGTGTTTGATGAGCCGCAACAGAGCTAATCGCATACATGACACGAGAACATATGCTAAGATAAACTGAAAACAATGAAAGGCATGAGGTAGAAATGGAAAGAAGGATACATGGCGATTGCAAATAGACTGGAGCACCTTTGGCCTTGTGGAATCAATAAATACTTCTTTGAAGTTTAAGGCCTTAGGCCATAATGAAAGAAGCATTGATGTTTCAAAAGCATCGAAGTTTGCAGCTCCAGTTTTATAAAAAAGGGCAAGCAACAATGCTTAATGCGTTGGCAGCAAATTCTGACTACATAAGAGACTGGATTCAAGCATTCTAATGACATCTCTAAAACATTTAGCGTACAATCTCCCGAGTACCTGTCGTGCTTTAGCGAAATTGTCCATAATGAAGCGGAACAAGCTGCACTTTGATTTTTCCAGAAGCTCGTTACTGTCCTTAATGCAAAAATGTATTCTTTATTAGCACATTGGCAAATACTAAATATGATAAATGGTGTACATATATATCAAGCAGCTTACACGATTGCTTCCTTAAGATGAAAAAGAGCTGTTTAGTTTAGAATAACAGAGAAAGCAAAAAGGGATATAAAGACCGTAAAAAATATAAAAAAAACAACATGATACAATGATCCTGGAAGTAAAATCCCGAGAAAGCACGATAAAATAACTTCTTATAAATTCCACTAGAGCCAGCATGTTTCCAAAATCATAAATTCCAAAATCAACTTGAACGTTTTTACTCTAGCGTAAGAATAAATCTCCAGCTTACAATGGGTAAAATGTTGATATATTTTATATAACTAAGAAGTGCAATGCAACATGGAACTGATAGACACGTGTCACTATTTAACAGCTATGTTTGAAGAAGAGGCAATGATTACAGGGCATGTTTGATCTAGAATTCTTAAATAACCTTACCTCGACGCCTTCATTTTTAACAGGAGCCAGCAATTCTTTTAATATATCTTGTATGTAAGAGTCAAAAAGTGAACGGTCTATGTCCACTAAATGTTGGACACATTGTAGTAAAATTATGTTGAATTCTGGGGTCCTGTAAAATATTGCGACTGATTAAGTGCCTGATCTCAGTTTAGCTTGAAAGGTCCTAAGAAGTGGCAATAACGTGGCCATTTTATAAGCTATAGCATGAATTTGGTGTAGACATCAGCTTGATCTGTAGTGCAAAACGGTAACTGAGTTGCCTCATGGTCAATACCTGAGAAAAACTAACTTAACACGAGCACCCTTAGGTAACAAATTTGAAATACGTACCAAATTAAGTTACTAACTACCAAATTACTTACGCATGCTTAAAGCGTACAAACGGAACAAAGTGCTCATCAACTACAAGTTTACAAGAAATTTAATGCTGGCATTTGCCAAAAATTATGAAACCTTCATAATTTTGTACACCGTCTGGTCTTCGATATACTAACAGTCAGGCAGAAGGGTGGAGTTGTTGAAGAAACCGAGGCACTTCGTCAAAGCTTCTCAGAACCTTGTAACCGACCTATTCTAGATGGATATACCATAATCGACAAGGGGTAGCATGGGACATCAAGCAAAAAGCCCCTTGTAAATCTAGCACCAAAATGAATAAAATAAACTAAAGTTGCTTGTTACATGTTCCATGTGACATGTTTTAAAAAGTAAATATTTGTTTTAAAAACTATGCTGCCTTTACTCGTTTGCACATTACAAATATAAAAACGATTACAAACTTCAGGGGACTAGTTTACAAACCCAGTTTTGATTATCCGGATGATAAGCTTCGTGAGATTTTGCAAAAAGCTTTTATTTGCATCTGTATTTATTGAATCGTCATTTACCTATGACGAAAATAAACAAATTTAACTACGAGAATTAAAAATGTACATCGGGATTAAAGATATATACATAATATGTGGAAAAAATATTACGAAAACTATAGCACTGGAAAGATGATCAAATTTCAAAGATTGATTTTTAGGTCATTCCTTTGGATTTATTAGTTGGTCATAAATATTGTGCAAGCGCTTTTTGTAACGCGACAGGCTCCTTTTGAACCAATTCAATTTACAGCCTCGTTCTTTTTAATACTTTAGACTTCATGGTACGAGTTTCCTGAGCTTGTATTGCAAGATATAAAGTACAAAAACGAATTCGGGACTTGATAGGAAAAATCAATATCACGAGCATTTTTACCATGAAAAATGCAGACTAAAATTTTAGTTCTTAATCTGAGTATGAAGTAAAAAGCTTGGCACAAAGAGGTTTGAAGAATTTTCGAAACATGGCCTTAAATTGAATGGGATTATCGTTACTATTTCAGGCCACGCCCCTGTAGAATCAATTAAGCTATTGCTTAAGAGCTAAAGTCTGTCAGCTGCTGACCCAGTACCGTTTGAAAAAATGATAGTTTTACAATCTTTAAATCAGCAAAACACGAGAAACTCTCATGCATATTTATTCTTTATACGTTATGTCACAATGACAAGATATAACTTGGTTTACAAAAAGGTTTTTGATGCGAGCTCAATTTTAAATTAATAGCTTTGACAAAAGGTTGGAATTGCTTGTGACCAAAATATCCACTTTAATTTTTAAATCTGATTAAATTCGATAAAAAACGCTTCAAGTAACGTGCTTCTTAAGTACTTGAAATGAGGTTAACGACTTTAGCAACCATAAACTAGTTGTGATAGGAAAAACATTTCAAATAACAAAAAATATGAATGTACCTTGAAAACGTTAAATTGGACCATGACATTCAGCAACTGATTAAGGCAATTTGCCATTGCTACACAACTTTTGATCTTGTCCAATTGTGGAAAAATAAGTGCACAAAATCGTTTGAATAAGGTGAATTCAAAATGCCTTGGAAGCGTGCTTGCATTCCTAGAATAGGATAAAATTTGACAAAACAAAATTACAGTGATACCTCCAGACAACGTACACCTCAAATCAACGGACATCTACGTATGACAGACATAAACTCAGAACCATCCAGTGTCTGCTAAATAGAGTTTTAATTAAGAACACTAACATACACAAAACATAAACTGACTCCACTTGTCCGTCTATACAAAATAAAATGATTCTTACACACACTTTCAAATGGTGTACGAACTCCCTTACAGCAAAGGGCTTTTGAAAAAACTTTTGGTTATTTTCTTTTGTTCCCGTAAGGAAAAAACAATTGATTACACACCCTGGATCGAAATCACAAGTGTAAACTGTCTCGCTGAAAAAAAGCTTGCTATAATCATAGAAAACAGCTTCTAGTTCAAAGTTTCATCCAAAAACCTTCGGTATTCTGAGAAGGGAATCTATGATGGGCATACATTTTTAACATTGTAAAGATGGCAAAAGTGCAGAGGTTTACAGCAACGGTGGCGGCCTGATTCACGGACAGATAAAAAGGAATATCTAAAGCTACCTGTTGGCTTTGAGAAATGCTTCGTATTGTTCAGGTACAAAAGCAAGCATCGATTCTGAGACAAGTCTATCCTCGTCACTCTCGTTGCCTAGATTGACACATCTTGCCACACTTGAAAACAGACTGTCCAACAAGGCAAACTTTTGTGCAAAATGTTCATTTGTTGTCTCATCCACACCCCACAAATGCATGTGGCCTTTTATTGTCATTATGTTTTGGCTTTAAAAAAGTGAGATTTTGATAGTAAGAACGAGAAAGTGCTATTATAGAATTAAAAAAGGCAAAAAAGTTAGTAAAGATAAAAAAAGACAAAAAGAATCCGTAATTTGATGTTGCAAAACTGAAACATAAAATGTACCAACATGAAAACAATTTTTGAGCAGAGCAAAAGCAAAAGATTTTGAATTTCAATTGAAGTATGCCATGACTTTCATTTACGTATGATTAGAGAAAAATGTCAATGTTAATAAGCCTCTTAGATTTTAAGAACGTCTCTTTTTGATAAACTGATAGCAATTCAAACAGTTTGAGTGCTGCAATTAAAGCTGCTTATACGCCGCTCAACTTTTCATACCTGTTCCATAAGGACTTCTCTAATAATTCCCTCGAGCTGGTACCGCTCCATGATGATTCGGTTCTTTTGACAAACTTTGAAAGCACATTTTTCCAGACAGCGATTTCTTGGATTAGTTTTTCATTAAAACTTACTGTTAACTGTTAAAAAGAAAGATATATTTCAGAAAAAAAACTTCTAGCTGGTCTTCCAATTTCATAACAATTTACTTGCTTCATCATAGTATAAAAAAAGCTTCAATTTTGACCATAATCTAGATTAAAGATCTAATTTTGACTTTTGATCAAACCACTGACATGATCCGAATCATTACACTACTGTTTTTCTATAGCCTGGAGTATTTTGCAACCATATTAGAATTAAAATAGTGGGAGAGAATGAATAAATACTGTGCTGCTATGATCAACTTAAAGACAACTGTATGTCCAACTTGAAGCAATTTCCATCAACTCTCTGGCAAGAAAAACACTCGTGCTGTTGCCACAAAAAAGTCAGTATTATTTACTTAATCAAACGATGTCTAGGTCAAAAGCTTGAGACTAGTTTGAAAGTATATAAACGTTTAACATTGTTTCAAAAAACGCTGTTTATCGCAATGGTCTGTCATAAAATACCTTATAGTTAGAGCTTTTGTACAGGCTTTGTTGTTGAGAAAAGAAAAGTTCTAAGTTGCAACTCCAAGATTCAATTGCTTGATGACCATAATAAGCACCAAAGCTGGAGACCCAAACTAGAACCACTCTGGTCACTACACTAAACCAATTATATTTAATAGATGCCAAAATATATTTTGCGTTCAGTCTTTACATCCTCACTCAAGATACATCCTCACTTTTATATTAAGATTCAGGGAGTCGTTCTAGGAATATGAACTTTCAGCTCAAGGTGATCTTTATGCAAAAAATCAATTTTGGTGATTATGTGTAATCTAGTTTTTCTTTGGTTACAAAATATAAATTGAACATCACAAAAAGGCTAAAATACTAAAACCCTTGAAATGCCTTCGCTATTTTTTGAAATCATGTTAATATTGTACAAAGCTTAATCAGGTATCGGGAAAATTTTTCCTCACCTTGCAAACAGTAATCAACTGACAACATGTCAAAGGAAGCAAGATAAACCTTAAAAAAATCTATTATTTTTAAAATGAGGTCATATAGGCTCAATGAATGTAATATGTTTAGAAATACCTTTTGTATGTTTGGTTGGTTTTTTAAAAGCTTCACAAAAAGTTTAAGCAAGACATCAACTAATGCAAAATAAGCTGCAATGAGGTCTTTTTCTTCTTCTAGTTCAGTTGCCTTCCTTTCACCAATGACATCATACAATTGATGTGAATACTTCAGCACACTTGCAAGGAAATTCATCTGGAGATTGATTAAAGGATATTTACTTAGTCAATTTCATTCTGATAATGGAATTATAAGAATTATAAGTAAAATATAGGCAGGCAAAATAGTACAAAATTCTTATCTTTCTGACATGTGGATGGTACACAACTACCATCTTAACCTTTTCAAAACATTCCTTACAAAGGGAGACTTTTTTAGTTTTTTGGGCAAAACTTTAAAAATCTAATGTGTGATGTAAAGCACAATATTAAAAACTGTTTATTTGATCTTTTTAAGTTGAAATTTGCTCATAAATACATCAAAATAAACTTAAGACTGTTGGTTCAGTGACTTTTCCACTGTAATCTATAAATGTCCTCTACTCTATAAATCTATTATATAGATTCGTGAAAAAAGACGGTATTATGCAAGTTACAAAACATTTCTTGCTTGCTTGCTACAAGTTGCAATATTTGGCAAGTTGAAAAATTATTTGGAGAAAATCTTATCATTTAAAATGTTGAATGAAATTGTCTATGCCTCTGAAGAAATAACTGAGTGCTCAATACATAAAAACTTAAGGCTATGTAACACAAAACTTACAAACTTTTCAAATTTTGAAACAATTGGTTTATAGAACTCTTCAGTAGAAAACATTACTCTGCAACACTCTATGAAGGATGATAATTTAAGTCCTGGTTCTTGAAACTCTTTCACAACTACCTAAAACAGATACAAAATATGTTAGGAAGGAAAAACACGAGAGAAGCATGAGAAGAGAACATGACATTTGCAGATACAGTCAAATTTAAATGGGTACATATAAAAACTCATAATTGCAAAATGCTGATCCTGATTATTTCAAAATAAAAAGAATGAAATAAGTTTAAAAACTTATTGTTATACTGAAAAAAACAATTTAGAAACTTTATTTATCATATAAATGATCACATATAGCTGAGAAATCATGATACAAATTTTAACACTACACAGGTACTTCATTAAATCTTTGATATAAGTTTTTGAAACAAATGGTAATCTGATTTTAATAAACAAGTTGATCTACAATTTGAAGAAAAACTGAAAGTTGCAAAAAGTTGACCAAAAGGCAATTTCAATAAGCATTTAACATGATTTCTTTATTCGTACCTCAATAAAAGATATTCTCAAAGACAAGTGATTTGCTTTGTTTTTGCTTTTGATAGTCTGCAGTAGTTCTACAATTATTTGCCAAAGTTCCTGAAGCATTTCAGTGGGGTAGCTAAAATAGCAATCAAGAAATAAAGACTTAAGGTGGAACAATCACTCATAAAGATTGAATAGATTGAGAAATGTAATTATGCACTTTACTAAGCTCCTTACAATGTAATAATATTCATTCAGACCTCTATATTAGAGGGGCTACTGTTGGTAATGGAAAGTAGATTTGTGGTTTCCAGTATTTGGGTCTGTCAAGATATCTTGCTAGATAACTGTATCACATATGACATAATTTTACTTTAACTTGAAGATCTATTGATATGCACTGAGCACCATATGAAACAAGATAATTGTGTCACCTTTAGGAGCTACCTGCCAAACTACTCTCACTCACACAATGCAAATTTTCTTCTTTCTTTAGATTAAGGGCTCAATAGGGTTCTACTACCAGATATCTTCTCTTGGGAGAAGTTGATGTAGTAGGTATAAATAAATAACAAAAAATGCTGAATACGGCTTCAAAGTGTAAGCTACTTTCTGAAATAAAAAACTTGATCATACAAATCCTATCCATTTGCAACTGCCAGACAAAGAAATAGCAAGGGGAAAAACTTACTCTGAAGCTGAGCAGAAAAGAATACCAATTTGTTTTTAAATTTAGAAAACATTAAAGTAACTTGAAAAGCAAAAGCTTATCCAATAGCTTGGCATGTTGGTGCCACAATTTCAAGGAAAATTGAGATATGGAAATGTTTTCAGAGTTACAATTTTAACAACTTTATAATTTCTCATGACATGATCAAAAAACAAAAATGATTAAAGAAAATAGATTCATACCATTTATGTGCGCTGTTAAAAACAAGCTCTTGACAAGCCCAATCTAAAATGATTTGAAGTTTATTTGGAAATAGGCAGTCCCCTTGTAACAGCCTGTGTGCCAGTCTTATCTTCTCTTTCCATGGTGTTTCTTGTGTTTTCAGTGACTTCAAGACGCCTTAAAATTTAAACAAACAAATATGGTTTAACCAGCCACAAATATGGTTTGACCATCTAAACAAAAACAACAGATCAAAACAAACAAATTAGACCACATGCTTTTTATCAGGCCTATTATAAAGATACCAGCGGTAATTATAAGCCTTGATGATATTTTTGCATTACCCTTCTGGAAAAATTTTTCAAATTCTTGCAGCTGTCCTAAAAACAGGCCTAGCCGTTTGAGGCGAGAGATAGCTCGCGCTCGCCTCCACGCTCCCCTCGCAACCTGAGGCGAGCCATGAATTGCTCTCCTAAACAGAACATGAAGGGAGAATCGCTCCCCTAAAATTTCCATTCATTTGCCCTTTTCCTATTCAGAGAACCCTGAAAACGGGTTAATTGGCTTATTTTTGTAACAGTGATTTCTCCCGTCACTGCATTTTTTGCAATTAAATTTTTGCTTGTTGGGCGGTTTTTGTTATGATATGCATAAACTTCGATCTATTTGGAAAAGGATAGTTAACCGAAAGGTTGTTTGTAGCGTTAACTGAAATAGTCAAACGTCGTTTTTAGCGATTAGAACCTTTCGATCCTAAGAAAACAGGAATATTTTTGGAAGGAAAGTCGAAGAAATGGGTAGCAATTGTAGATTGGGGATATATTAAGACAGCAGGTCCCTTCCAGCAATAGAAACAAAACTATCCCTCAAAGAGAACAGGGTACTCTGTCGTGCAGATCAAAAACGACAACCAAAACATGGAATTCCACTATCCAGCAGCACTTACTGAAAAACCCAGATTGGGTGAAAAACTATAACGGCGACATGTTTCGCATTATTGGCAAAGCCTGATCATCGTTCCATCTATGTAGCAGTTGGTAACATTTTCAATAGGAAAGCGGCACTTATTGGAAAACCTGAACAGTCATGTCCTCGCGTTTTCTGATGGCCTATTTCGATCCAAAACTGGGTATTTTAGCGTAGAGTTTTCCTTCTATGTTCTGACGTTTTATTCTCTGAAGAGTGCTAGACGTATAATTAAGTTTGTTTCAAAATTTGTTTTTTAAAGCCATTTTCAAATTCTGTGCAACAAAAAGATTGTTTTGCAAGAGAATTATTGTTTTTGTGTTGTGCCAGCTTTACATAAAACGGAGAGAGTCTGTTCTTTCAAATACTTCAAGTAAAGGGGGTGCCTAAGTCACGGTTAAAGCAAATGCAAATTGAAAGAAGTAAAACAGCACACTCCTGACTGAGGCTATTACATTAAGGCAACCAACAGATACTAAAGGGGCTTATTAAGTCATCTGTTGATTGTCTTTAAAGTACATTCTATGTGTTACTGATTTAGCTCGCCTCAGCAAATGAGGGGAGCAATTCACAGCTCACCTATGAAAATACAAACGGCCAGGCCTGCTAAAAAGAAATGCTGGTGCATTTAACAACAAGTCAATTTGTAGAGAAAATATTATATTTCTGTACAAAAAAGGATGTTTTCCTTACACTTTGAAAATAATAGCAGATAATTTTTTCAATTAATGTCAATCTGGGATCTGCTAAAATGGTGCAATGGGTACAAAAATTTAAATAAGTATAAACATTTTAGGATTTTATACTGTCATGGAGCTCTATGTAGCACCTAGAAATTATAGTCCTCAGAAAAACTTAAGCATACAGTTTCTACAAATTGTTTTGAACCTTTACAGAGGCTGATTTTGCCATACAAAGCATGACTATTACAAAGCATGGTTTACGTGGAGGTGGACTTTTAGAAACTTTGTGTGACAATGCAAAAATCTCATTTGAAAATAGCCTGTTTTTCTGAAACAATTAGCAGGAAAGCTCAGTTGGAAGTCTAAGGCTGTGTTCATGCAGCACAATCTTTTGAAAGTGCCTTCAGTTGTTTAGAGATAATTTGCATAGAATCTATTTTCAAATACAAAGATGCTAGGTAATGCAATTTTGATTGTTAGCTTGCTGCCAGGTTAGTGCAGGAAAGGTTGTGCAGGCAAGTAGTCACTCACTGCAATCGATAAACAACCAGTTTTTGTGGGCTATTTGGCAAGATGGGGGTGATAGATCCACTGAATTAATCCTCTTTCAACATTATTTCATCATTGGTTTTCTGCTTAAGGATGATTGTATACCATATTCCTAATTCTTGTATTTCAAATTTGGCATTTTTTTCAACAAACATAAACGCATTTTAAACAAAAGAATTCCTATGAACAATGCCATTGCACAAGCTATTTAATAGCAGCAATATGAACAGCCAAAAGTAGTAGCGAGCAAGGATAAACTGGAACTCTTCAACAAGCGCCCAGTTTTAATGCAGCCTTACAGTAATTTGTTATTGAATTATGGCCAAGCATTGAATTAGAGCATTTAAGCTACTTTTCTGTTTAAAAATTATATGATTGTTTTTTTCAATGTAATCCTGGAAAAAATTTAGTTGAACTCTCACATTGGTTAATTGAAAATTTCAAAATTATCATAAACTACTATGTGTTAATTTTTGCAAAATCTTGCAGGGTTTTAAAGAAATTGCAAAGCATTGCATGGAAATGGCCTTACTATAATCAACCTAACACCATAAAAGATTAGCTGTTGGCAAATTTTGCCAAATAAATTGTCCCTTTAATATTTATTGTAGGGTCCCTTTGCGCTTGTTAAGTATACCTGGATAAAAATCAAATTTTTCTGTTTATTTTGCCTAGATTTACAGGTTACCACTGACAAAATTCTTCAGACCCTTCAGATATATATTTCCAGAGATCAGGTAATTGGCTCATACTAAGTCATTTTAGCAGGCTGTGATACTGCTTAGTGCTCTTATATTGCATAAATTTCTGACTATGCCCAAATTAAAAGAAAACAAGTAATTAAACACTGGCAAACATTTCTGAAACATCCTTGCAAACCAAAGTTTTTTCAGTGAAATTCTTTTATCCTTCAACCTTGCACATGCAAGCATTAGCATATTTGCAAGATTCCAAACAGAGGAAAATTTACTGCATTGACAAAGTGCAATATTTTTGCCCAAAATTGTATTTATAATTTATCAAAGCTGTCCTAGTGTGGGAAAAAGCATTTGACAAATTAAAATTTATAGGCTTTGTTTTGAAAATTAATGCAAAAAACTTCTGAACCAAAACAACTGTTGTTGTGTTCCCAGTTAAGGCTAATTCAAGTCAAAATAACCAGCTATAATTCACTTCTCTCTGTGGCAAAACAAATAAAAACTGTATGATTTACTTTACACTCAGATCTTTACACTCATTTTTGTTAATGAGAAACAAAGGCCGATGTTTAGTACTCCAGTTTCTTAATGTTCTGGAAATTTCAATACTCATTGCTCTTAAAAGTTTCTTAATTAAGATGTCATGAATGATTTTATGAAATGTTTGTGACCTTTTATATCACATTAAAGGATTTGCTTCCGTTCTGATGCTGTATTTAGATATGGGAAGTATCCCTTGTGTCTTAAGTTCTAGCCCAACAGGGCAATCATGTTCTTGGATTTTACAACATTTGGTATTCTCAGTTCTATCATGATTTTACAATGTCTTAATTTTTTTGCTTTGAGTACTGAAGTTTCTTATTTTTTCTGACGGTCCAGTACTTGTTTCTTATAGCCAATTTCTTATAAAAAAATGAGAGTATTCCCTGTGTATGATATGTTCCTTCTGTGCTGTATTAACAGCTAATGCGCATCCCTTTAAGAAATACTTATGAAAAGATGAGTATGGAAAACATCTCCACAAAATCGCAACATGTACTTGCTTCGTCATTTCAGGTGAGTCATTGGTATATTGAGTTACTGAACGCCAAATGTTTTTCCATTTTGATAAATGGCGTATACATATGATTCGCGCCTTATCGCCCAAAACCTTAGCACAAATCTCCCAATCTTTTGGCAGTGATTTAAAGCGATGTAAATCACATAAGACGACCAAACCCGCTAACTGGAACAAAATGGTTTTCGATAAACCCTAAAAGAACAATATTTGTTAATAACAGCTCCGGCCAACTATGGCTGACTATATTTATATTGTTAGCATAACCACCATACAAGACTGGAAAGTTTGTTGCGTGAACTATTGCATATTGGCCGCGCAAACATTTATCATTTTTAACGCTAAAAACGCTAACAAATTTATGCTTTCAAGCACGCAGTCTCAAATTTTCAGAGTAAACTTGTCCGCGCAAGAGACAAAGTTTCCAGTCTAGTCACCATATTTCTGCTTGGCAGAGCTCCAGTCAGACAGGCTAAATAAAATACGAACAAGAAAATAAAATTCAATTTTCATACCAGCTAAGTCTAGCTTTGTTTTGAAACTCTTCTGTTTCATCTTTAAAAGCTATATGTCTACTCAGTCTTGCTTTCTAAATTACATGAGGAATGTCTTGTCAACGCCATGTGAGAAAAATAGGCCTATTACAGCTTGTGTTGTTGTTGCTATGCCGAACTCTTTTTCAAACGGAGGTTTATACAGCATGCTCTGAATTTTATGTAAGTTTGAAGACAAGATCTCATCGAAGAATGGGGTGTAACTGTGCAACTGTAAATTATTTCCGAAAAGTATCAAGTTTTGCTAGGCAATGTTGTTTTCATGCTTCAAGAAGGCCTTTCATGCAACCATCAAACTTTAGGGCACGTCAGGATATGCCCCAAAATAGACACATCCGCATGTTTATTCACAGCAACTATAAACCGAGAAAAGCATCGTATTTTATGGATATCAAAATGCTTATTGACAATAATAATCTGCTACGAAAGTTAACTGGAATCTTTTCTAGACAGCTTGAAAACGGATCTACGCTAAATCGATGGTACGTTTGTTATGTGATCACACACATGTTGATTCGGCGAGCTGAGCGTGTCGTTGCAATTGCTCAATTATAGTTTTGTGATGATACCAGCGTTCTACCATGGTTTTCAATCTTAGTTGAATTATATTTGTACATAATTCAATGATTATTCTTCTACATTGAAAATGGTTTGCATAAGTGTGTTTAAAAGCAGACAGGTTCCCTTGTAGAGTAAATATCTATCTGTCTCTTATTTTATTAATATATATATATAATAGCTATATCTGCATAGAAAAACTATAATTAGTTCTTTTCTGATCTAGCAGCAACATAAATTTTGTTAACTAGTGCTGTCCAAGTTTGTTTCTCTTGCGCTAGTGTTCTTAGACTTTCGAGATCATTTATTGATTTGAACTGGGTTATGCTGCTATATCTATTTTTAACGTGTTATGTCTCTTTTTGTTATGTTCTCTTATTTTATTCACAAATGAAAAAAGCTTGTACATGGCTTACAGTAAATCTTTATCCATGATTAATTGATAGAATTTTAGAATGCGTTTTATTTTTTCTTAGCATTCATTCAACAAACCGTATTTTCAAAAATACAAATGACTCCATCAATGATCAAACTATGGAACCAAGAGAAGAAGATAAAACTCAGATAAAGATCATCAATGAACAGAAAAGTGATAGTAGTGAATTTGTACCATTTATTTCGAAATATAGCACTGTGGGATTCAACATTGGAAAAAACAAAGTTGTGGGTTCTGTTGCTATTTTGCCAAAAGGAATTCTTTCTTGGAAGGTATGTAAAAAAACCCTTGCCCCAGAGAAAAACTTGATGAAAATAGGAGCTCCATTGATAGCCATACTTATTAAACAACTAATTTAATGTTAAGATTGTTGATTTGTCTGTTAATGACTCCAGTCCAAAGTAATTGCCTCATGTAAAAAGTAATGATCTCAGTCTCATGTAAAGAGTCTCCTTATCCAAATTTTAAAGAGATTTTAAGATCTTTAATTGTGTCTTTAAGTATATGTAATTCGTTGCTCTTAATTAAAACACTGGTTTGACCAAATCAAGTATCTAGGGAATCGTAAATGTTGCAGGCCAATTATTTAGGGTAGCAGGCACAATTTGCAAATTTTAATTCAGCATTTTTGCTATTGTCATGTTTGCTGTCATTAAGCCCTGGCCAAACATTCTCGACATTTCAATCGACAGTGCTAGACAAATGTTGAGAGATGTTTTGCTCTTTCAAAGAGGGGTGGCCAAATGCTCTCAACTTTCACTCAACTTTTCACTCGACTCTTCACAAACAAGGCTATTGCCTCAAGTGCATAATCCTTTTTGAAAAAGCTCACCACTTCTGTTTCTGATAAACATGAAAGTAAGTAAAAGAAAATGTAAAGCTATCGCTGGTCTAATTGTGACTATTCTCAAAGACAAGAAGAAGGCAAATAGAGGAAAGACAAGGAGTTTGCTAAAAGAAAGATTGGATAGAGGGTAAGTTCAAAATATTGCATATTGTGCTTGGTTGATTCGCAAGAGTTGAGCAGAATGTCGAGAGTCTGGCCAAATGCACTGGACAACCTTCAAGAACACCTGAAACAATAAAAATGTTGAGCTTTACCACTTGAAAATTTTGAACTTGTTCAAATTTGTCTCAGCAATGCTCGACAAAGCTCTTCAAGGTGGCCAAATGCTGTCAACATTTGATTTGACAAAATGTTGAGCATTGTCGAGTGAAATATCGAGAGCGTTTTGCCAGGGCTTTACCGCTACAGCACTTAAGTCTCCCAATCTCAAAAACATATGCAACAGTGCACATGTTTTGGGAAACAGTAGATCTAGAAATTGAAAAAATTGTTCATCAAGAAGAGCATATTAGTTACTATTAAAATATTTTTAACAGGAGTAAATTTTTAGCTTTATTTAGATTGTTGCAAATGTTGCATCAAATAATTGCCTTCTGATTTCCTACTGATAGGTCCTCTCTCATCATCAAATCACACCTGAAAGTCTATCACTCTTCACAATAATTCAGCCTAGAATTGGTAGGCCAGCTTCCTTTCTTTTAATAAACTTGTGACGTTTTTTATTATGTTGGAAATGCCTAATTTGGGCTGTCTTTTCAATATCTATTTTTACAACACAGTTCAACCCAATGCTGCAAAATGTTTTGGTTGATACCTTTGCTCATTTTACATGTCTTTCAAGGTAACTACATGTCCTGTAACTGAAATCTTGGTGCTACATGCAGTTTTCACTTAAAACTAAATGCTTTTATTGCTAGGAAAGGAAAAATATTTCTCTTTCTGAAAACATGGTTTTAGGTTTCAGGCTTACAAATCTCACATGGAAAAGACATTTTCTTGCTTTTTTACCTACTGTCAGGCAATTTCAATGACCAATTATTGACTTTGCTGACCAAATTATGAACACTGAGGGTGTTGCATGCTATATTAATGTCTCACATGATTTCATTTTTCTCCATTTCACTTCAGAAATACTAGTTCTTGGGGTTGGTGACAAAGTTGTACAGCTGCCAAATGAAATCTGGAAGTTTGCAAAGGAGAATGATATTGCTCTAGAAGTACTTGACACTGTACGTTGCATATTAATGTACACTACATGTACATCTTCTAAATGGAAAACTTTTTATTCAAATTTATATGGTTTATGCATTCATACGAAATACTTTTTGTCATCACAACCACTGTCTTTACTAACTTTGTTGTAGTCACAATTGTTATCATAATTGACACTTTTTCATGATTTTCATTGTCAGCATTATTATTATCTGATTCCATCCTAATGTTTATTTTTTAGCCAAATGCTTGTGCAACATTCAATTTCTTGACAGAGGAAGGAAGAAGGACTGCAGCTGCCCTTATTCCACCCCAAAATTTAAAGCCCTGACTTCCTTAATTTCTGTTATATTTTAATATATTTTTATGTTTTTACGTATTTGATTGTCAATGTTGAGTCACAATGTATATCCTCTCCAATTTCCATGAGTGATATCCTCACAATTTTAAGAGTGCTCAATGCTTGCTTTTGCTTTGTCAAAACTCCTTCTATAATCGATCTATATGTACTTGATGATATAAATGTACAAACACATAGTTGCTCAGCTGTTATTCAGAGTTGTGTTAAAAACAACATGATCAACATTGTGTTACAAACAACATAATACCAGATGATTGTATTTGGAAAGCTAATCCTCGTTTTTTATTAGTAGTGCAGAACAAAAATTGTACAGTATGTATGTATATCGCGAGAAAGCAGCGTTCCTTAGAAAGAGAGCAACATAAATTCCATGTCTCTATCAAAATCGAGCAATGGAGATTTCATGTTAAAGATTTCTTGGCAAACAGCAACAATTTTCTTCAATGAATTTGTGCTAAAAATTTGAATTTGTGCTAAAACCACTGCCGGACCTTTTGCAAGCCCTGATTCATGCGCATATATATGAAGATGCAAGTATAAAACTATAGTATGTCTGTTCTAACACATGCCCCAGTTATTTACACACACTACTTTAACAACAGGCTGGATTCCAGATCTCTCCCAGCATGAGGCTGTGTTGCAAAGACTGGATGGTACTGCACCAGTTTTTTCTTAGTCTTCTGACAAGCTGTGTTTATCTGTTTTCTTTGGTTTTAAAGATGACGCAAGAATCGACTACACTAAGGAAATCAGAATCAACTTAGAGAGCTATTCCCTCCAACCCAACCAACCCCCCCCCCCTTTATACCCCCTCGAGTGATGCACCTGTTGGCATTCGATATTTGTCACTATATAGCTTCTGAAGATAGTTTACGGTCCTTCCTCTCGGCTTGAACACACCTTTTGATTCTATTTCTATACCTAGAATTACACAAAGATGGTGTCCCTTCTCATTCTTACTAAAAGCCTGGTCCTTTCAGCAGGGCCCACGCCACAGAGGACATGCCTCCCCCCTTGTTTTTATCAAAGTTTTCAAATCTATCAGTTCGTAGACTAAAGTAAAAACAAAATCCACAAGTAAAACACAGTCGGCAGAAATCTTGCCGCAACCAGGGTTATAGGACAATTTCGTTATTTTGCTGCACCAGCTTAGAATCGGGAGCACGGGCCGTGGGACAGTAGTCTGCGACCCCAACTGAGCCATCGTAGCAATCTAACTGGATACAGTTTATAGTTAGGGCAGGCACGGTGGCATTGGGGGCTCCCTAAAAATCAATGATTAATGTTTTTCGGAGAATCGTCGAGCTGTCTTATCTGAGCGGTATAGTAATTAGTTAAATTCTTGTCTGGGAGATGCCTTCCAGGATTAATTTCAAAAATTAACTAAACTTGATTTTTTGTCCCCAGTCTAAATTTGTGGTGCAGTCTCTGCAGAGGCGCGTTAGGAAATCTAAGATACTATCAGGGACGCTTCAAGACCCAGTGGCAAGAAAGCCGGCTTTTCAGGGCTAATGCATTTTTAAAAAGATTCCAAGCTTTCGTGATTGATATTTCGATCTTAAACTATACTAGGTGTCTTACCAAAAATGAGCTAACTTTTGGCGCATGAAAAATTTTTAAGAAACGTAGCCATTAAATAACATGAACATTTCTGCCATAAGAAAGCCCAGTGGCGGACTGGCAGGGATGCTAGGTTGCGATCGCAACCCGGGCTTCTCAACTTCATAATAACCGGGCCCTCCGTAGATAAATTCGAGAAAATAACTCTGTTAATTTCAAAGATATCTATGTTCAAGAGAAAACAAGTCACAGAAATGAAGATAAAATCCTTAGAAAGAAAACATTTCAGTATTGCTTACCAGGGGCGTTGTGGCTAGGCGGGACACGGGGAAATTTCTCGGTGGCCCCCTTTCGAGTGAGTTTCTAAAACCCAGGAAAATATCTAATATGAACAAAATCTTTGGTGAGAAAACGCTGCACTTACATGTATACTTAAGTTAACAGTTCAGAATTAGAGGAGGTCAACATTTACAAACAGGCAACTATGAAAGAGATGCGTGGAATATGAACAGGGCTTCGGAGAGGGGGACAAGGGGGAGGGGCAAACTGTCCCAGGGAATTCCAAATTAAGAACTGAATTTTAACGAAACGCAACAAAGTATGCCTAAAAATTTGTAAAACGGGGTAAACGACTGTAAAAAGCATTCTGAATCGTGTTTCAAGCTCATTTAAAGGGCGTGGCCGAAAAGTGTTTCAAGCTAATCTAAGGTAGCGGTAGCCCACTTTCTCGAGTCCCCGGCTACGGGCTACCGCTACCTTACGTTTTAGGCGTAGTTTAGACAGTGCGTTATGGGCGCAGCGAATTAAATTCAATTAGATGCGCTCAAAATGCGCCAGTAGAGCGCTTCAATTTATTGTTTGCTTTTAGACAGCGAAGCGAATTGAATTGATTCATATTTTGATTCATAACGCGCTGATAATGCGCCCAAGTGAGCGCATTATGAGCGAATTCAATTATTTGCTTCGCTCTCGGATTTAGTCAGCGAATTAAGAGCGCATTAAATTGACACTCACAATATTTTATGTTCAATAATTTAATTCGCTGCGCCCATAAAGCGCTGTCTAAACTATGCCTTAGAGATGCTGCCGTCAACTTTGTGTTCTCTCAGGTCAAACCAGCAGACATATTTTGTATTTAAAAAAGTCCATTACTTTGTTTAAACTGAAACCAGGAACTTCAATTTTTCATTAGCTGATATCTTCGAGTTATTGGTGACGAAACATCCGCTCTGCCATAACCGGAACTAAACAAAATAACAGAACCTTAACCGGAATACTTTTAACTTGTTACTGGAAGCTGATAGGTAGCCATCACTGCGAAGGTAAGAATCATGTTCTATGAAATGTGAACATATCGTCACAATTATTTATTTCGTCAATTCATGTTTTAAGGCCTTGTATACATTGATTGAAGTGAACCTGGAAGTTCCAACCAGCCTATCTTATGTGCCAAAAATTGCAAAAGAAGGCAGCCGTAAATGTCCCTTGATTTTATCCCTTTGCATCATTTTTACTGATATTGTTTAGAGGGTTTTTAATGAAAATATAGAGTTTTTGTTCAATTACATAACGTAATTAACGTTTTCTTCTTCAGTTTTACACTCATTTTTTTTATAAGAAACAAAGGTCGATGTTGAGTACTCCAGTTTCTTAATGTTCTGAAATTTCAAATCTCATCGTTTCCTAAGAGTTTCTTAACTATCATGTCATGAATGATGTTATGAAATGTTCGTGACCTTTTATATCACGTCAAGAGATTCGCTTCCGTTCTGATAATGTATTTAGATGTGGGAAGTTTATTTTTATCTCTTGTGTCTTAAGTTCTAGGCCAACAAGGCAATAATGTTCTTGGATTTTAAAAAAATTTCGTTGTTCTCAGTTTTATCACGATTTAATAGTTTCTTAATTTGTTTGCTACGAGTACTGAAGTTTCTTAATTTTTTCTGACTGTCCAGTACTCGTTTCGTATAGCCAGTTTCTTTTAAAAAATGAGTGCATAGTTATTGGGCACGGGCGCCCCAAGGAGCTACACTACTAGAGTCAGGGCCGCCGAGAGGTTTTCCCAACCATGCTCTTTAGATTGCTTTAAAATACCATTCAGAATATTCATTGCATTCATTTTCTTGCAGTCGTGCAAAACATTTTATTATTTTTAAGCATTCGTTTGTTACGTTTGCTTGATTCTATTCTTATAATGGAATTCAATACTTTATGAAACCAATTGATATTAATTTTAACGGAAATCCAATTGATAATAACGTGTGACAAGTTGTTTAATTAATGCTATTGGTATCTTGCCCTAGATGCCTTTTAATAAAAAGAGTAAAACAATGTTTTCAAGGTTTCGAGAAAATTGGGAAGCAGAGAATTTCGAAAAGGAAGCAGAATCCAAGGTCTATTCTAGATAAGACTTAGAACTAACATTCACATAAAAGCCTAGTTCAAACAAAATAGGGTGTTTCATATGTGCACATGAACGACGGGGGTTACATACAGACAGACGTAAGTTGAATCTATGACATAAGAAGGTTATCAACCTTGAAGATTGTTTGAAAGATTAAATTTTTCAGCCAGAAGATGAGATTACATAAACAGTTTCAAATCACCGACGAGGGACCAACAACCTATGGGCAGCCAGGAGATACGATATTCTATCTCTGGTCCCCTGAGGTGTGCCAGAAACATGAGAAACTCCGAACTCTCCTCATCTCTCTTTCCCAGAGCTTGAAAAATTTAAAACATTTAATTGGATCGCTGTTCTTTCAACCAAGAATTCAACTTCGGTATCAAAAGGCCTGATGTCATCTTTTTCTCTCCTCAGTCCTTCCCTTCTTTACCTTTTGTGGTATTGCTATAGGTCTCTTTGGCTTCCCCCTACCATTACCTACCTAGAAAGGTCAAAGAAATAAAAAAAGAATGGGTTGGTGGCGAAAGGTGGTTTAAGGCACCAAGAGTGCTTGAGTTAAGTTATCCAGATCATCTATTTGCATGTTTGGGTGTAACTTTCTGAAGTGATATGAACAATGCTACTCCACTAATTCTGAATTCTCTTAATTATTGAAAAAACCAAAGAACTAAATTTACACAGTGTTTTCCTCCTAGATGGTGTGTTTAAAGGCCCCTCTCATTGCTGCACTGCTTCTCGTTATTGTAGAAGGTAGGGCCATGCATTGCCATATTAAAGTGAGCCACTTTCATGATGCAACCGACAATCACTGCCAAAAGTCTCGGAACACTTACGTTAGTTTTCAAAGACAATTTCAGCCACCCCCCTCCCCCCCCCCCTCTCCCTAAGAACAATGTTGATTTACTAAAGAAAATTATGGAGTATGCTTTTTCTTGTGGCTTGTTTGATATTTTTCTATACTTTCAACATTGTTTTGGGGGGGGGAAGGGGGACGGAAGTAGTTGTATTCGGGAAATAAATGAAAAATAAAAAAGCACAGCGCAAAGTGTTGGTTGGTCCAAGTAATTTTGGCAGTGATTGTAACAACCGTAGTGGTTCTAAATATTAATGACACTTTCGATGATTATAGAAAGTAAAAGATGCAACTGTACTGAGTCCTATAAAGTCGTGAACTGAAGTAAGGAGATTATTGATTGCATAGTCGCTGTACATTGTTCTGGGTCTATGAAATGCACATTTTTATGGAGGGAGATAAATTGCTTTTTTCAGTTATATGCTAAAAATTGATTTTTCTATAGACACCCTCCTCAATCCACGGATACATGGAGCGCCTGTCTGGATAAATAATCAGAGGAAGAAACGAATTTTTGGTCTTTTCCACAGACAATAAAAGAAACACTAAGATGGATTTGAAGATATCAACATTACAAAGCCAGGGGTGCACGAAAGCTATTAATTTTTGGGGTCCATACCAAAACATGGGGTCTGAAAATTCACGTCAAAGCAGATAAACTAAGTATTTTGTATCAGTGAACATTTTAATGATATTTGCCAGAACACAATTGAAATCCTTTAGTAACCGTAAAACCATTTTCGGGGCGTCAAAATGTGTGGCTCAATTAGCGAGATTCCTTCAACCACAGTCTAGATATTGAGGGGTGGCCAAATAAATACTTTACTTATATAAACCCCCGTGTATGGAAGGGTAGGAAGTACCTCCTTGGTTACAAGTACCTTATTATTTTCAAATATGTACAAGGGGGACAGCTGCAAAGTATCCAGCTAAGTAGTCTGATGATGCAGCTATGGCTACTTCAATTTTTTAGAAATAACGTCCAAATATGCATTATAAAGTACTTTTAATGACACAAATGAGCATGAGTGCTTGACCTTCCCGATTAAGATGGTGAAATGTACCGAAAAAGTCATAGATGATGAAAAATGTTGGTGCTACTTCGTCTACTGATAGAGAATTTTACCGACAAAACAGGGAATTTTTAGACCAACTGAAGATTTACCGACACTCTCATAGAGAATTTGGGGGGTGTCACATCCCCTACACCCATCGCTAGCTACGCCCCCTATGAGCATTAAATTCTTTTTTATTTTGCAAATTATTTTCAATGACATGTCTGTTATACACGGTCGCTAAATTGCACATTGCTTTTTCAGGAGAAAAATGCAAGAAAGGATATTTCACGTGCAAAAGTGGCAAATGCATTCAAGAGAATTACCATTGTGATAAGTTCCCCGACTGTGATGATAATTCAGATGAAGAAGGCTGCCAAAGAGGTTTTGTGACGATTGGTTCTTTTCTTCCAATTTTTTTGTAGCTTTTTGTATAAGGGTGTTATCCTTCTCAAAAAAGAGTGGGGAAAAAATGCATGAAGGAAAATTTAATTAATTTTTCATTGAAAAAGGGGATATTTTTACGTCCTTCTGTGTCATGTTCCTAGTTGAGATGGTTTTTTATTTCTCCTATACGGTCCTGCCTCCATGTGACCCGTGGTAAAGGCACAATAGCCACAAGTATGATAAGTATGAAAACATAAGTATGATATCAGATGATACGAAGCTCATAGGCGTATATATCTTTCTAGTTTGCGGAAACATTAAGAAACTGAGGAAAGGCAAAATTGTTCATATTGGGAGCAAAACCATCCATGGAATTTTGCCAGGAGGTCTCTCTAGAGCGACTTGCAGGAAAGGGTATCGTCTTGTTGGATCGAAAAAAAGAGTTTGTCAAGAGGATGGGAACTGGAGCGGATTTAAACCCAAATGCATTTCGAGTATGTTGATACTTATAATTCCTCTTTTGCTGATTGATCTTTGTTCTGCAAGGTTGCCAATGCCAAGTTTTGGAAAATAATACCTGTGAGATTTCACAAGCGCAGCTAGTGAACAATGGAACTGGGGTCCAGGGCTGATGGCAGATGAATTCCGAATTTCAGTAGATCTGGAGCGCTCAAATGGTTCAAAACTAGACCATTCAGAATGCCTAAACATTTGTTTATTTCACATTGAAAACATTCAAGAAAAACACAGAAAACAATGAAAAATAATATAGATATACTGATACATTAACGCATTTGACAATCATTCGCGCAACAGGTCTGGGCAAGTGATTGTCATAAACAATGTAGTGGAATGGAATGTGTTCAGCAGCCACTGATCGTGTAGGAGCCAAGGCCTCTGAAAGGACGATCTTGCGCAAATTGTGATAAAAGCTAAAAGGTATTTATCGACACTCATTTCTCAGACTGGGTCCCGATCCCATCTTTTTCAGCATGTCAAATTGTATGTTTGTACAAACTTCATGCTTTCATCGCGATTTGCGCATTCATGGCCCAGGAAGAAATCCATGAGAAAAGTAGCTCCGTCGTGAGACTGTGAGAAGAGGTGAATATCCGTGAGTCTCACGGCCAAACCGTGAGGCTTGGCAACCTTCAATGCCTGCCAAAAGTCTTCAATTTCCAAGGTCAAAATAAATCACCCCCCTCTCCCCTACAGAACAATGTTGGTTTACTATCAAACGGGTTAGGATTGTAGGAAGCTTTTTTTGCGCTTCTTTTATGATATTTCTCGAAATCATCAACTTTGTTTTGGGGGGAAGGGGGCGGAAGAAGCAATTTTTTTCATGAAAGGAATGAAAGATATAAAATGCAGCGTAAATTGCTGAGTGTTCCAAGTACTTTTGGCAGGCATTGTTGTTTTGCATTTCACAGATTCAACCATCAGAATTTCCTAAGTGCTTCTTTGGTTGATTCCCTTTTGTTGAATTCGAGTAGTGCTTGATGCATTTTAAAGACTATTTATATGCCATACACTTTGCCTCTCATTTCAAAATGCACTGGTTCAAGTTTCAATTAGCGCATGGTGTGTACGTTTGGCCATCTTTCAAAATGTATCACAACACTAGGGTCGCAAAGGTATGCAAACAGTAGACCAAAATCACCGCTCGTCAGGATTTGCTGTTTTAGAGATTCGTTTAAAATTTTGAAATAGTTTTCATGTTCAGGATGTACAATAAAGTTTACAGATTTCGCTACCTCGTCATTCTCCGCCTTCTAGGCTCTCATTTTTAGAGCAGGTAATGTTTTGACTGTTTTCTCGCCGTGTTTATTCTTAGAATTTTGCGCGCCTCGCCCAATGTTATCAATATAAATTTTGAATAGAACATCCAGCAACATATTATCAATCATGACTATTTCTCATAAATATTAAATTGAAATTCGACAACATATAATGCTCTTCAAAAATTTGTTAAGAACCAAATTGCTTTATGGCTCGGATCTTTGGATTTTAAAATTCTGCTTCACAGCTTCTTTAGCAATGTCGTTTTAGAGGATCAATAGCAAAAGTATTCAGCCAATAATCAGAACTAACAAATTTCAAAAGTTTTAGACTGTTATATTTTTTCATGTGTTTACGTGACATTATTTAGTTTATAATCTCTTGGTTGACATTGCTGCTTCTAAGGTCAAGTCAGCGGTTAAGCGCTGAAGATATGCGCTGCCAGTGGCTTATAAAATTTGCGATCAGAGTATATAAGCTGCGCTCCTTCGTCGCGTTGCAAACATCTAGTATACCTAATGAACGTATTACGAAAAGACTTCTTTGTTCCAAGGGAAAAGTCGACGTGTTTATTGCTCCGTACCAAAAACTTTGAAAAATGGGAGAATTAATGGTAACAGCGTGGCAGAGTCTTCCATATTGAATTATGAGTGTGACAAAAACTTCGAAATTACGGGACCAACATCAAGAGTCTGTCAGTCAAATGCGAGATGGTCACAAGACGATCCTTTTTGTGAACCAAAGTGTAAGTTTTTATATGAATGCAGAAAACATTATGCAGAAAGTAATTTTTTACAAGGCTTGGTCACATACGCACAGGCCTTCTTCGTAAAATTACTGTAACATGAAATTGTTATGTAATCAATAGACTATATTAAGCAAAGTTTCATGATCAATTCCAAAACTGCAGTACTTCATTAGGGAAGCTCGATTCTTTAATTGCTATATTTAAATCAATTTTCAACTGGGTTTGCATGTCTATAGGCATTTTGTGGCGTCAGGTTTTGTGGTCCAATGAAAATTTTACTGAAATTATATTTTCATGACATCATTGCTTGAAAAATATAGCATCACAATAGTGGATAACTTTAGCTTGAAAATCCCACCCCTCCCCTCCTTTGACTCTATTTTGCATTTCATCTACTAACCCTACTGTACTTTTTTCACTAGTTCCTTAATTATTAGCAGTATGATACTGAAGGAAAGTATAAAATACTTACCAACTCTTACTTACTAATTTTTAGCTGTAGTCTTTAGGGTGCGAGATAATTCATTTTTTTCTGTAGACTGTACACATCCAGGAAAAATTCCAAATGGCGTTGCGTTGGGTTCCGTTCTTCTGGCAGGTTACTCACTCCGTTTTGTTTGTAATCCTGGGTTCACTTTGGTTGGTGAAAAGACTATCAAGTGTCAAAAGGGCGGCTCATGGGATGCCCTGCCACCCAGATGCATTTTAGAAGGTGCGTACTGAAGCGTTTAGGAAGTGCTGGCACGCTTATTAAGCTTCTTTGTGTTTCAATATGTGTGTTATTTCTGTGTTATTCTTGTAATTCACAACACATAGGAACAAAATATGCGAGCCCCAAGTCATTCATTGTAGGTGTGAGCACTTTTGTTAAAGCAAAGCCTTATGGTTGTAACCAGGGATGTGCCGATGGGATGGGGGTGGGGGCGTCATGCCCCCATGTCTGCAAAAATTCAAGTAAGCTGGTCATGCAGCAGCAGGAATTTTAGCGTTAATTAAGAAGTTTGACCAAATTTCAACCTGTGATATATTCATTTTGCTTATCAGGGTTGGTCATAGTCAACTTTCTTTTTTGTAATATTGCAAATGAATTTCTACAAGCAGCAAACTAACGGCTATAATTCGCCAATAAATGGAAATCTCAGTGATGCAGGCGATTGAACATTTCCGACTTATAACTTACTATAGGGTCTTGTAGCCGATATCTCGAGTTTGGATGGAGCCTACAATCGTCCACAAAGATGGTGAGACTGCATTTCCTCCCCCCCCCCCCCCCCCTCACAAAAATGCCGACTTCTATCTGGCGTAACTTAGCCAAAAGAAAACCTATCGAAATGATTTCGTAAGCCATTCGTAATTTTTAATTAGGCTTCAGGCTGACTTATTTGTTGCTCAAACCTTCCACCGTCCCCTTCCCTCCCCCGCCTTCTCCAAGCAATGTTGTTTGCTAAGATCTGACGAAATAGTTGCAAATCGTGTGTGCAAAAATCGTATATAATAACAGGATCTATCAATAAATTTGTTCTGATTTCATCATTGGTCTCATTATGTTTTGTGAAGGATTTTAGCTAGTAACCATCTTAATTTTCCGAATGCTGTGCTCGTCACATGATGTTTCTAAACACACTACAATAATACGTACATCACTTCATTGCACGGAAATTATTTTTCGCTTGTTAATAATTCGTTTCACTTATAATAGGTCTGGATGTTTTGCGATAATTTATATTTGAGCCAAAGTATTTCCAATTAGAGAAACTCCAAGGATTTACAGTATTTGGCAAACTTAGTCATATTTGCCACCAAAGTCTTTTTAAAACCTTATAGATTAAAGGAAATATTATTAATTGAAATCATTGTTATGAAGAGTTCAAATTAGCTGTAGTCCATTTTTTTCGGTTTAACCTATAATTGGCTTTTCGCAAAAGATGCTCATTCACCCAAAAATACGTGTGGATTCACCCAAAACCGCGAAATCCACACAAACTGGTTTCTTGGAAATGGCTAAAAAAATCAAACATTTCGCAACATACTAAAAGCTTTTTCATCTGACACTCCTTAGTGTCCTTGTTTGCTATTGCAGAAAATCTTAATAAACTAAATGCTTTCTTCCTCCACTGTTAAACATCCTCCACTTTTGTTGTCCATGAAATAATGAATGTTCTTTTGCTAGATGAAGCACTGAAAGTGGATGCACAAAGACTCAAGAAAACATTCGTTAACAGGCTGAAGCTGCTTACTGTGGATGGTCGAGGGAGATCTGCCGGCTTCTCTTCAGCTGCTAGGGGCATTGATTTGATATTTCTGATAGACGTCTCGGATAGCGTTGGGCGAAAGAATTTCGAAAGATCCTTGGATTTTGTTGAAAGTATGGTTGAATATTTTGGAATATCATCAAGCGAGAAAGGAACCCATGTTGCCTTGATTGTGTTTGCCAACGAAGCTAAAATCATTTTCAACCTCAAAGATGATCGGGTTTACGAAAAAAAAATTGCCAAGGAGGAATTAGGTAAGAGCTCGCAGGTTTATGATATATGGTAATGTCGCAATATTTCTTGCTGCTTAATTAATTTTTTTGCCTTTTCTCTGATGAGCCTGAAAATCTTTCTAATCGAGCTAAGGATACATTTTAGAATATAGTTTTAGGTTACCTTACTCTTTTAGATAAATATTTTATCATAAGCTGTAAAATGGAGGTATCAATAATACATTTCCGTCCAACAGAAAAGACTTTCTTGCCAAATTTGGCAGTGTTGCTTCTTTTCTTGGGAAGTTCTGACTTTTATTTCAATTAAAATGTGAAGATATTGCTTGTTCTATCACACTACTGCGTTACAACTGAACAAATAACACAAGGTATCCCTACCTACTCTCGAATTGATTTCTTTGTTACAGCTGATGTTTATTTCAAAAACAGTATCTGTCATCAATAAAGTATATTTAGTAAAATATTTATCTAACAAATTATTTTCCGATATAGCAAACCTTAAATTTTCTGGTGGCGGTACTGGAACAAGACTGGCGCTTGATACAGTTAGACTGAACGTCTTGCCACAGACGAGGAAATTCGCTAAAAAGGTCCTGTTCCTTATCACGGATGGAAATTACAACATTGGAGGAGATCCTGCACCAAATGCGAAGGTTTTAAGAGATGATGGGGTCGAGATTTTCACAGTTGGTGTGTCCGGCTTTGTTTCTAGAGAAGGCCTGGAGGAGCTTGCATCCCTCCCTTTCCAAAGGCATATCTGGATGATCAAGGATTACGAAATGTTTGGTAAACTAAAGAAATTGGTGAATGAAAGCTTTGTTGGTATGTGCAACTGCATTCTTGTATAAAATCACAGGCAGTTAAAAAGTAGGGGCGTTCGGGGGCCGGGGTGGCCATGCCCTCCCCCACTTTTTTGCGAAGCTGGTACTTTTAAAGTTGTAGTTAAAAAGAGGAAAGAAGCCTTAGCCCCCTACTTTTGCTAGCTTTGCCCCCCCCCACTTACAAATTTTTGGCGTAGGCCCTGAAATTCTAGTCTAATATAATAGACAGCAATTTTGTGTGAAATTCTATTCAAGATGTAAACTTACTGCCACAGTCTTTTCACAAACTTACAAGCTTCTTTTCTTCGTCACGGATTAATGCTAAGGGAGCTCATTTTCTAATAATTGCAGATTATACAAGTTGTGGTCAAGGTGGCAATACAAAGAGTAAAACACCTAAAAAGACGGCAGATATCACTGATCACGGGGCTTGGCCTTGGGTTGTTACTGTAGAGGTTGATGGAGAGACGCGATGCGCAGGAATTCTAGTGGACGCAAGCTGGGTTTTGACCGCAGCCTCCTGTTTGAAATCCGCCAAACCAGCCAATGTTTACATAGTTGCAGGTATGGGTTACAGTAATACCTATTAAAAGGTCATTTGTGTCACCCTAGCCAACCTACTTGGGCTAATTATCATTAAGATATAAATGATGATAGAGAAGCGAGATGAGAGGTGTACCAATTTTGCTGCCCTTCTGTTTCTATCCTTGCCAAGTTTGCCTGGTCAAAAATAGGAAGCCACTATTTAAAAAATCAATTGTATTTCATAGGGGAGTGACCATTTTTCCCCTAGAGTTGATAGCAATAAATTTGTATTTCAGGATTGAATAGCCGAAATAATTTCACTGGCTCCGAGCAAAGACGAGGAATTAGAAAATTTTTCATAAGTCAACGGAAGGATGCGTCAGCTCATCTTGCCATGCTGAAGGTCGAAAAGAAAGTAGAATTGAACGAGTACGCTAGGACAGTGTGCTTCCCTGATGAATATGACAACTTACTCAGTGTGAGACCTTTTAAAAATGCATTTGTTGTTGGTTGGGGAACTAAAGAAAACGTGAGTAGAAACACCCTTTATCTCTATAAATTTTATTTCTATATGTTTAAGTAGAAGTTCCATATGTTCAAGTCAATGGACCACCCCGGCCAAGGCCCCCCGTCCTCCAAGTATCTCGGCCCTTGCTTTGTTCGAAGTCTATGGTTTTAATATTTTTTCATATTCTCGTTTTTTTTCTTGTTCTTTAATATTTTTAGGGTATTGATCTAACATATCTTTAAAGAAAAAATAAATGGAAATTCTTCTGTTCTATCGATTATTTCTTCTCATGCTAATTAAGTGCAAACCAAAAATTGTATGTTTTCACACAGCCTTACTTGGAACAGAGACAAGGGTATGTTGAAATCATTGGCAACACTAGATGCAAGGAAGCCACGCGAAGATTTAAAATAACTGAAAATCATATATGTGTTAAGGCAGCTTCTTCAGGAGACGCGGCTTGTGCTGCGTCCGTGGGAAGCCCTCTATTGGTTAGTAAAGATTAATTTTTTTTCATTTTGAATGATTTTTGTTCTCCAATGCGCGGGCTGTTCTAACTACAAAAAGGTTGTTGGGGAGCAGGACTGCTATGGCCCAATTTCAGAGAACCATCACGAAACCTGGTATTCATAAAATATCAAGTAGCCTCTCTGTGAACTGCATATTTTCAATTTTGCATTTTCAAGCAGTTTTCTTCAACTGAAATGTTGAGTTTAGCTCCCAGCCTAAAAACGGGTTTTGCCCGATTCCTTTGATGAAATGAAAACTTGCGTGACGGTTTAAATGAATTTTCGGGTGGCGAAAGGGATTGCTGTAAATAGCATTGTTTGCTGACTTGACAAATAATTTTTCACGATAAGATTAGAATAGCTGCAAGGTACGACGATTTTGCTATTGAAATATTTTCTTTTAAAGATCCAAAGATCGCGTACTGTCGGAGGAAGACGGGCAATTTATTCGTGGTTTCTGGCGGGTGTTGTCCAGAAGAACCGCGGATGCCATGGCAGAAAGTTCACAGTGCTTACTAACATATACAAGGCCAAAACATGGATAGAAGATGTCATTAAGAATGAATGAGAAAAAGGGACATTGTTTAATAGCGAGGAATTGTCGCCAAAGCAGTACGATGTGTGTAAAATTAGACTAGTGTATTGAGCATTATATTTTTCAGTTTAGAGTTTACTATCAAATGTCAACAGAATGATTATTTTTATCACTGATCCGTATATGTTTTAACCTGGCGACTAGGCGAGGCATTATTTTCTCATGTCGTAAAGGTCCTCTTTCCTTCTCTGTTTTTCCTTAATGTAGAAGGTAAGGGTGTAAACTGCAATGTTATAATGAGCTCCTCTAAACCTCTAAATGGAAACAGATGATCACATTGCCTCTCTTTTACGTTAAAGAGAGGCAAGCATGACCTTTTAAGGGAATCTGCCCCCCCCTGATTAGTTGTAAGGATACGAAGAAAAAATATGGAGATGTTAGACAATCGTGTTCATTTGATAATAACAATTCCATTCCAACTAGATTCTCTTAAAAATAGCTTTGAAAGAAGCAAACATTTTAGAACATACCGTAAATCCTTGAATTGGCCCCCCTCTCGAAAAAGCTCTCCCCTCGAATAAGCCCCCAATCTAAAACCACAAACTGTCAATAAACCAGGTCTTTTAATAATGTCTTCTTATTGTCTACAAAAATTTTATAAGCCCCCCCTCGTATAAGCCCCCCTCGTATAAGCCCCCCTCTCGAATAAGCCCCCGTCCAAAAATATCAAAAATAAATAAGCCCCCAGGGGGCTAATTCGAGGATTTACGGTACTGAAGCTAGTTCTGTTTTTAAGTGGCGAATGGCAATTGGACGAAAACAACCACTAATCAAAACTTCAACCTATTTAGAGCATTTTTTTGAAAAATTATAGTAGCAAATGTCTTTGAACAGAAACCGCAAAAAGCCTCCTTGAAATGGATCCATATATTTCGCGATATTGCATCAATTGTCGGCTGCTCATTATGTGCAGCCTTTCTGGTATGTAAAAAGTCTTTCCGTACAAGAACAGTAAAAATGTATCAAGGGTTTACGACGCCGAGGGGAGGGACGAAAGGTCATTTCTGAGGGAACTGCGAAGTATTAGGCCATACAACCCTTCTGCATATTTTGCTGTTATAATCAGGAAAATCGAAAGAATCCTGTCTTTTCTTGGTTGCTTCATAAGTTGAAGCATTTTCTTAACTTGTTATTCCATTTTGGGGAAACGTAGGTCTATATTATTTGTAGAAAGATTGCCCAAATCTGAAAAATTTCCGTTCCAAAACCGAATCCAACGGAACGCCATAATTCGTTAATCGAATTCGTCCCAATACTCTTTGAGCGTAAGTGTAGTTAATTTTTAAGAGTGGTTGGTCTGTATCAATCGAGCTAATTTTTTAAAATTAGGCCCACTACATATATTATGGTTGTTACTAAAATCCTTGTAGCACAGTAAAGAAATTATCAGAACAACTGCTCATACTAAACTTAACAAAGATGAAGCATAAAAGCAAAGACCTACAGCATCTGAAATTTCAACAATTTATTCACCATTTCGGACGGGGGTCTAACTTGTTTGACGTTAGTGAGATTCTTTTGTATCGTTACTAGGAAACAAGGATGTTGTTGTAGCCAGTGATCACGCGCCATCATTGTTAGAGTCCCTACCTAAGTCAACGGTGTAAGAAAATCCCTTCGAACTGAGCACTCAAACAGTCTCTCCTTGCTATTATCGGTGTTCACTGGGTACTTTGAAAGGTAGATCACCACAAAACCGGCGAGGTCGATGTCAAAGTCACCTTGACCGTTGATGGAATTTGCATGTTTTTCCGCAGATGGCTTTAGGCCTATTGCTTCCGTACGTTTGCAAAATGGGAACTGGTTCAGTGGCATGTCATTGATGAAATAGTGCGATTTACAGCAAATTAAATGGCCAGTGGGTGAAATTTAAGGAATATCATAGTTTGTATTCCTTTGTTTCTTATCGAAACTTAATTTAAGTGAAATTCATAACATTTGCATTTAACTGTTTGTTAATTGTCTTAATCAAGTTATTCGATATGTCATGCTGATTCCTTGAATTTGTCGATGTTTTGTATAGATAACTACGAAGTATTGTGTATGGTAACCAAACACACCGGATTTCGTGGACGGCAGCCTGTTAACCAGATAAGATCTCCGTGGTTTGAATTTTCATTTAAAACCGGGCTCTCAGATGTTGGATTAGATTTCTTCATTCAATCCACTTCTCTTACCAGCCTGCCTGTAAGTATTCACAACTTTTTGTGCAGGGAGCGCCTAAACCATGTTAAAAGATGCCTGGATTCGATTTAGAAGCCTCACTTATTGCAGAAGATGAAGTGATTACAAAATTGATTGAATTATCAAAATCACCTCCAAATAACGTTGAATGTCAAGGGCAATTAGCTTGCTCGCACTGTGGCAAATATAAAAGTACACTTCGAAGTTTTTCTGAGAGAGAACTGGGAAGATGGGGAACTGAAGATCCAGAAGGACAATTTCTTAACCATGCGTCTAAGAGTGCATGTAACTGTTCCTATGGAACAGAGAGTCGCAAAAAGCAAGATACAAAACCAAAGAGAAAAGGACTTACAGAAACTTCAAGAAATGAACAGAACAATTCAAAAGATTTCATTGCTCATAATATAAGATTTTGCAACGCAAACAGATATCGAGACAGCTATGGGAGTCAGATAACAAACCAATTTGTACATTATAAAGACACAAGCAGCTACATTGTAAAGTATCGTGCAAAAAAGCTAGAGCAAGTAGAACATAGCTCTTACCAAATTGATCAGTCCCTTTTTAATGAAGAACTGTGCAGATCACTGACTAATTCATTGTCAAATTTGGTAGGAAACATAAATTTAACCAAAGGGGATGCAGTAGCAAGTCAAACTGACTTGACTAAGAGTTCTAAAAGTAGTGCCAGATTGAAGGACTCTCAACTTCTGAGCAACCTGACTTCAAGTACAAGTGACATGGACATTTCTGATGGTCAAAGAAAACATAATCTAAAAGAGATTGAATTTTGTTTGAAATGTGGAGATAATCTGAAAGAGCAAGATTTTCTGACCCTCTCTCGTGGCATACCATTAAGGTAATTTGTCTTTTTTAAATGGAAAGAAGGCCATTTTAGCAAAAATTACAACTTTGTAAGCTGCAAATAGGCATTTTACTGTGTTTATGAAAAGTAGGAGGCACATGCTTGATGCTCACCCTGTGCCCATAGTTCCTATATGTATGCAATCTACTTTAGAAAATGCCCACATTGTTTCTTCCATGTCCTTTCATGTCAGAAATCACTTATAGTTGAATTTTTACCTGGTTTTTTATGTCACTTAAGTTTGAGAAAACAGGGTATGATAAGCTCATCCATACAAATGAAGGATTTAGTTTTATTTTGGAAATATTGGCAGATAATAATATCTTTTATCACAGTCCCAGAACAACCAAGTTTGGTTTGTTTTTTCTGTAAACAATTATTTTTTTGTAAGAACACTTCATTACTGAAGTTCCAATGTTTTGACAGGGGAACCAGCCACGAGAAAATAGAAGAGAAGAAGGTAAAGAAGGTAAGTCGTTTTTAGATTCATTAATTCAGCCAAGCTTGTTGTTTAGATCTAATTTGCATCCAATCATGGACAAGGGAACATTTTTCACATTTGGTAGATTTCTTTCAAATCTGGAGTTGTTACTTTCATAGGGTTGAATTTCTTACAGCATGATACAGTGTTTACTTTTTGATATGTCTCATCAAGTCCTTTTTATCAATTCACCCCCTCAAGCTAATTGTGTAAAAGCAAATTGCTGGTAGAAACAGTTTGCATCAAAGATTCTTTCCTTTCATTTTTCAAAATTAAGGATGCCAGGTAGAATCTTGTAGTTTTTTTAGGTTTAATAACAATTTCTGTCTTTAAGATAAATTTTGAGTTTGCTGCAGATTTGCATTCTAAAAATTTAAATTTTGGCCATAAAAGAATTCTCAAAATTTAAATTTTGACAAATCCACAAAAGAGGGTTGAGCATGTACTTTTTTGGTTTGGGAGAGAACAATAACAGTTTGTGTATAGTAAAATCTGGGCAAACCTATTGGCAATCTCACACCTTTTGATAACATTGATGTCATGATGCCCCACATAACTTAGTAAGTAGGCCTCTTGAGAGAATGGTGAAAGATAGGAAATAAGTTCTTATAGCAATGTTTCATGTAAGGTTCTCATAATACTTTTGCTAAATTATGTCATGGATAACATAAACAACATCAATTTAACCATTATAATTTCTGCATTGTGCTGATTGTGTGCAGATACTGGATAGTTCCTAGCTGAATGTTAAAGAGTTTTAGTACCAAATGTTTGAGAGTGAAATTTCTTTATTTCAACTGGTTTAGGTTGGGGTGAGTGGGATGCAAACATGATGTTGGCAATTATGTATTGCATTCTGACTATAGTTAGAACTCATTGGTCCACTGTACTCTTTCTATTGATTCTTGGCTGCATCTTGCCAAATGGTAACAAGTTGCCTCTCTTGGAAAATAATCACGATATCAGTAGATGCTGAAAAGCTTAACCACAACAAATGTGTCTTTAAATACAAATTTTGTTTAAGGTATTATGATACAGAATAAGCAATTCATGTCTTTCTGTGTTGAAGACATGTAGCATAACAGACACATTCATTTTTGAGCGGTGAAAGCCCTGGCATCCTTTCACTCATTGATATGATCACGTATTAGTGTGATAAAAATTACTTTATCAGTAGCGTAACCACTGTCAGTTTTCTTCTTTTCCTCGAAAACTTTGTGATTAAAGAATTTAAACTAATATCACGTTGGTCAACCGAGGACCATGAATACATTCTTTTCTAACCAGGATTACGCTATAAAATGATTTTGTTTAAACTGACTTAAACAGGTCACCGCCGAACACAGCAATTCTTTTAAAAATGTCACGTTTAGCACTGATATTTCGTGATTTGATCATCCACGTTAATCATGCTTAAGATCCATCACGTAAGGCATGCATTTCAAAAAGAACTACGTTTGAACTTCAAAATGATCACTCGGAAGAGGCAAATGATCCAGGCTTTCATTATCATACACTTTAAAAATCACACGCATCAATATCGTAAACCGTATTTCCTCTAATTAACGCCGCCCATACAGACATGGATATTCTCATTACTTGACTTGACTTGACATTCTTTTTATCTTTTTTCATCGCATTTTTCTTGTCATTTTTCATTTGACAAACTTTTATTTTTTATGAACGCTGCCCTCTGATGAACGCCGCCCTCTATTGAACGCCGCATCCAAAATTTGGAGTTTGTAATAAACGCCGCGTTTTTTAGAGGAAAACGGTATACCTTTGATAATGGATAAGGTTTAAATCGATCGTTCTGAGAATCTCTCGCGACGACCCTTCTCAGAGGCGGAAATTGATCATTTTTCTTAGGGTAGCGATAATGCAAGCTCAGCCAACAAAACTTTTTCCGCTTGAAATAAGCGTGGGCGTCACTTGAGGGGAGGGGGGTATTTTGGTGACTCACCCCCCCCCAACCACGAAAGAAGGCACAACTGATTTTCACAGGGCAAATGTTTTCGACCAACGGATCTGTTTTGTTGTTTTTCTTATGTACCTTAACAAGAAAGTAGGTTATGCTTGTTATTTGTCATCTCCAAAGCTAAAATGATACAGACTACCTGTGACAGAAGTAGAAATTGCCAGCGTGATCTTGGGCTGGATGGAATAGATTCTAAATTGATTCTCAATTCCTTTCACCTTAAGTGTTACACTCATTTTTATGGTTACACCCTTGGTTGATATTTGTGTCTTATTTAAAACCGTACTAGAAAGACAAAGACTGCTTGCCAGAAAACTAAAAAACTGTAAACGGGGCTTTTTGGGTTAAAATTTGATGGAATAGTTTCGCATATTTGGGTCTAAATTTTCGTTGACTGTAACCAGAAGCGTGACTTTAAGAAGGGAGTCGACTATATACTGTTTTATATCTATTTTTGTGGATGATATAGGGTGTATTGTATAAATTCATGTAGGTTTTCAAGCTTGTGTTTGCCAGATGAAGATTATGAAGAAGACCAATTTTTTCCAAAATATTCGACGACGCCCCATCGGGGCATTGCTCAAGATATGTTGTTCTATTGTTTTCATGAATATGTTGGCATAATTTGGGGCAAAAGGTTGTGGTGCCTTAAGGGAGGTTGATAAAATTTACCATTACACTCTTCTTTATAAGAGCCAGTAAATTGAAGGTCAGGCTGGTTGTTCTTAATTTTTTCGAAATATTTATGGGGTATAAGCAGTGCGATTGCTAGCTTTTCGCTCTAGGGAAGTGTCCAGGCCTCATTTGCCAACAAAGTGCGCGAGAAAATCTTCATTTGCCGCCATGTTTGAATATTCACCGAAGAAGCAACCCAGGATGGAAAAACGTTTTTGAGACGAAACATTGTTGAAAGTTACATTTTACAGTAGTTCAGCCTCAGCTTGTTCTTAATTTAATTTTTGACCAATTTTGAGGCTCGTGTTCTTATAAAGTTGTTCTTATAAAAATAGCGTGTAAAGGCAATATAATTAAGTTTGAAAATAAAGATCACCATCTGTTGTATTTTATTTGCAGCAGGATAGTTTTCCCATAATGATTTTTGATTGCATTGAGGAAGGCTTTGCTACCCTCATCTTGTGAAATGCTAGTGTATGTCGAAAGTGTGTTGTAAAAAGTGAGCTCTTTGAATCCAGTTTCATTCATTTAAAAATTTATCTTGCTCGTGAATCTTGTGAACACATCGGTGAACTTGTGGACACATCGGTGAACTTGTGGACACACTGAGCAAGGACCTAAGTGGGAACAACTTACCTTAGGAAGTATTTTGGTTTTACGGGAACTGAGGGCCAGTTCCCAATCCCAACATTTCCAACTTTTGCCAGAGCAAAATATTTTTTGCAGGGCAGATATGCTGCCACCCTCCCCCCCCCCCCAAACAAAAAATGTATGAAGTGACATTCCTGGAAATAAGTCATAATGCGACGTCAGAAGATATAGAACAATCCTCTCAGAAAATTATATTTGGTTCAGAAGTCAAAGAAAGAGCTAGTGCCTTATGCCAAGACAATCTTTTAGCAGAATTCAACTCTTTTTAGCCTTCACTTTCCATATTCCACCTATTCAGCCACAGAAGTATCCTAGATCTTCACTTCAAGTTAACAGACAAAATCATAAAATTTCCGATAATTTTGAATTTGCCCCACCACACCTCCAACGATTTCCGCCCCTGACCCTTTTCTTCCCTAAATGGGGCAGTTCCGCTCTCACACATCTTTTTGCATAGTTAAAACCCAAAGAGCAAGCTTTTCTTATATTTTCTTCGATACAGGCCGCGCCTCAATCAAAAAACTACTCTAGTTATGGTGTACTCTCCGTTCTATTGTTACGGTGTATTCCACGTTCTACGTTCTGTAGCTGCTTGATAAATCAATTAGTGCTGGCCGCTATCTATTAATGTTTGATGAATTTAGCCACTATCAAGGCGACTGTAAACAACAACTTTGTACAGATCCAATTTGAACTTTAAAATGAAAGCAAAAATCAAATACTTAACCACTTGCATCTTCATTATATGGGCATTGCAGGTTGTATAAAATATTAATAGATTTCAATGATTTCTCTGGTACATGACATATTAGTTAAACTGACAAAAGTGTCACCCTGTTGTCTTTTCAGCTCATAAAAAGAAGTTCGGATCACCGACCTCGTTTGATAATAGAAAAGCCTATTTCGGAGCTAACACGCACAGATATCGACCAATCCTTTACGAACGAGCTGCAGCCATTTTGTCAGCAAATGCCCATCCAGAAAAACACTTTACTTGAAAAACGACCAGTTGTAAGAAAGGATGACGGTAGAGGCCTCCACTCTCCTGCTAAGCCGAGGTACTCTGAAGGGATTAGGATGCAAGAAGAGAATCGAAACAGTCGTAGAGGAACTGGAAAGTCGTTAGATCGGGCAGATTTCCTTACTTGCTATCGAGAGAAGTATCATCTACTGAAAGAGTCGACATAATCGAAATTGATAACAACAGAGAAATAAGCTACATGTTATGTTTTTCATCTTGAACTGTTGGCAACCACAGTTATGAATTAATTATGGCTATGATCAGGACTTAGAATATTCTAAATGTTATTGCTACTTAGAATAAGATTCTTCAGACAGTTCAAATCTCGCCAAACTACATATATATCTAGCATTTCTCTAAAAAAGGATCAGATATCGTCCTGATAGGAATCCTTAAAAGAAGAGAAAGGGTTGATAGCAAAAATTCCCTTCGTGCCGAAAACGTTTTCGATTAAACAGGGTGAGAGTCTTCGTTGTGTTCGCACCAGGTAAAATCCCGTCAGGCAAATAGTCCACGATCAGTGAGACTGGAGCACGGGGCGCGGGAGGACTGCCCCCGTTCCCTCACAAATTTAAGCAATTTTCTTTTCTTTGCCATTTTATTGCCCTTCTTTATTGGTGCTACGCCATTTCTGCCCTGAACCTCTTCCGTTGTCGCTGACCACGATTTCGACACCTTAAGCAATTTTAGGAAGTAGTCAATTTAAAACAGAATTTTCAAGGTACAGATTTCATCATTAGTTTAGTTTAGTTTGAGTAGAATTACTAATGTATTAGATGTTACTTTCGTTTAAAAACGTTCCGTTTAAGCACTTTCGAATAATGCCTGTATTAAAGAGTTGAACAAAATTTTTCAATTTGATATATTGTAAATATCTATATAATCAATTTTTAAAATGCATTCAATTTCACTGTGATTAATTTTTGCTTGTGCAATTCTTTGCTGGAATTATAGCTAAGAGTTGTTGGTGTTGCTGGTTGATTAGCAGAAACTGGGGTCAAAACAGCGAGAGTGTGATTCACTCCACAAAATGTTGCTGTTATTCAATTTTTGCACTAAGGACGAGAATGTCACACACGAAGATAGAAAGTAATCATTGAATATTAAAATTCCAGCACTGGGTACTTGGTTAGTTATCCTTAGTAATTCTTTTTTGTAGCAAAACACAAGCTAGTAGCCGTTGGAAAAGTTAAAATTCGGCTACTCCACGAAAAATTTCAATCGGTTTATGAAGAGTCCAAGCACTACAGCTTAATCTTATACACGTGACTTAGGCCAACTGTTGTGCACATCATTATCACATGAATCACTAAGGGCCGAACCAACCTTGAGCCCGGGGGGAATAGGATTTAGATCAGAAGCGCCTACTGGTTAAGATAGATCAGAATGCCTTTTTCGTTTAAAAGTCTCAGCTATTTTTCGCCAAGATTGTAGCTTTGGAGTGCTTTTGAATCGGTATATGACATTAATATGAAATTACTAGCAGTTTAGAGGTTTAAATGACTAATTATGAAAAATGTTGGGTTTTATAAGGATTTTGAAGGATTTTATGAATTTTATGAAACCAAAATTGTTCATTTGATCGCCAATTTTTTCTGCCCTGAAATAATGTAAACAGAAAACCAATGTAAAAAGATAAGAAAAGGAGCAAAGAAAACTGAATGCCCAGAAGATTTAATTGAATTTAAAAATCCCTTAAAATTTAGCTATTCAATAATATCGTCGATAATTATAATAACAGGCAATATGCCAATATAAAACTCTTGAGCACATACACTATAAACAACGAAGATAAACGTAGCTAATCTTACCAATATTTTACAAAAATTGTACAGATATTTTTCAGTCTATGTTACAGTATAGTACAAATGTTGCTGGCTTGTTGGCTGCCTTTTGGTGCAGAGCGTCGCATGTTTGCTAACAAAATAAGATATTAATATCATTAATATTTGTAACAGGCAGCACGCTTTTGATCACCTGAACGTAAATAGAAGAATAGGAACACAATTGTAAATTAATAACAACATGCCCTGGACATAGCCCATAAAGATGGCAAAGTCTGAAAAGTGGCACAATGCTGCAAATTAGGCAAGACCCAACATGGGCTCCGACGCAGGTTGGGAAGTGAGGGGGCCAAGGGAAAATTTAACAATCATAGCAAAAGATTTGGAAGAAAGCTCTATTATTTTGCCGAACAGGGGGGGGGGGTAATCTTCGTCGGAGGCTCTGCCCAAGAGCCCACAGTTAGAAACTTTACAATATAATGTATCGTAAATAAAATGGTGGCCTAATGTAAGAAATATTGGCAACCGCCACAACAATGTGATGAAACGACGCTAAAGGTTTAGCAAGACGGATTGACTGTGCAACAAATAAGAAAGATTTATTGGAAAGGAATCAAAATAAGGCGTGAACTTACCCTCTACATATATGTCTCTATCAAACATGGCTACTGGAAGTAGTAAGCTGAAAAAGATACGACTCAAAATTAGCCTAATACTGCAAAATTTCAAATTGTATGAAAGACAGAAAACATACTTAAAAACCCTTGTCTGACAAACCACACTTTTGTTTCACACTTCGGGTAATGACCACAGGGTAACCAGAATAAGAATGATAAAGATATGACGTCAAAAAACTACTTTAAGGATTCTTTGTTTTGGGGACTCTACAGTTTAAAAGGTCGCAACGGAATACTTGTAAATGCATGAGATCAGTTATATCTGATTAAAATGGGCTAAGACATGGTCATTGAAAAGGTCTAAAAAATCGTGTAAAGAATAATATTTGTTAAAAGAAGATCTTTACAAAGCTGATTTTGCAACATGTATATACATTGGAAGCTGAACAAGATGTATCAAATTAAACTTACTTTTTCTTTAGTGGTTCGATTTTTGCTTCCATTACGCAAAAGACAGGCCTGGGTAACAAATAAATGATTTATGTTATATTATTTCAATACAGAACCACCAAGGTACATTGGGGTCGTTTGAATATGGGCATGTATTGATTGCCAATAACAAGACAAATTTAGTCCAAAATGAAGAGTAGCCCATAATTTTAATAAAATTGCCAAAAATAAGAAAAATCATTGGCAGCATAACTTTTAGTCAAATAGTATTTCCTGTTGTAAACATATGGGTTTTTTGCTTTACTTTTCGGAATTTTTACCCAACTATGTGATTAGGATTAAAAAAATATGAGTATGTTCATTGAAACATTTGTTTATCAGATGAATCAAAATTTAGAGGTGTTTGCATGCTTTTAGATCTAGAACTATTAAAGACGAATAAAAGCAAACGTCTCAAGGTGATGAGTAGGAAAGTCTTACATTGATTACTTTTTGCTATTTAAGATGCAAAATCTATCTTTCAAGACCTTCGACGTACCTATGATCCGAGCATTTTATAGTCGTGCAGGAACTATAGGCTGCCACCTTAATCTGGTCCGGCTGTCTTGATTTGTACAAGATTCTGTCCTAAAAATCAGAGAATTGAAAAATTGCATAAAAAGGCATAAAAATAGACTTTATTGACAACTTAGTATAATATACATATATAAGCCCTGAAATCGGCATGTTATCAACCAAAGATGCTAGAACCAAGACGAAAGAAATATCGAAGATGCATAGACCACAGGAAACTTCCGTTGTGTTTATCTAACATCGCATTACATGCTTCACCACAATAAGTATCTGTGTAACTTATTTTCCACGTGTCATGCAAGTGCGAAGTACAAGGGTGAAAATGTACATCAAAGCAAATGTAGATGAGGGAAATTAAATAAATACCTAAAAGATGTCAAAACGAGGAAACAGACGGATTCTAAAAACTATTACAAGATCAAAGAGTTTCTTAAACGCCGTAAAAATTATTACTAATTTCCATGCCAATACTGACAAAAAGTAAATAATTTCAATTGATTGCTTGCAACAATACGATTGAATACATCAAAATATTGATAAGTGTATTGAAGACTACTTACAGTCCATGAAGGAACTCTCGCCTTCGCTGATGAATCGTAGTTATCTGTGTTCACATCAAATTTGTAAGTCGGTAGAAATGTGATTGGTGCCTCTTTAAAACCGTGAAAGATTTTACCTGAGAAAAGAAATTATTCAATGCCAATAAATGTGCATTCATCGTTCCGTCTTGAAAATTTGACGTAACCAAATGGGGTGAAAAAATCGTAGCAGAAAATAATTGCATTTGCCAACAGAATTCGAAAGAGCGACTGAGAACATATTTGTTTATTGGTTATATTCCTTAGAGATCTTAAAACACCGTGACAAAATTCTTGACATCAAATGGTAAACTTGTCCTAGGCCAATGAACCAACACCGCTCACTCAACCCCTACTCCTCTTTGACCAAGATGTTTTTGAACAGATTGGTCTTATTTTGTAACTGCCCTCTTTCAGTCTTGGTAAATCCCTGCAATTTTTTAAAATATTTAATTCATCTCTTAGACGAAATTGTAAAAACTCTAGGTAAAATAAGGAATATATTTTCAATTACCTTTTTCCATTAAATGACCTAGCTGGTCATGCGGTTTGAGCTCCTAAAAATATATGAAGATTTTTGTGACATGGAAGTTTTCACAGCAGTGTACAGGATAATAAATTACAGATTAAGAAATCATAATGCTTACTCTTAGGACTTGGTGTCTTGGTTTCTTGTCGCTTGGAACTTGAGGGGGGACTTTTTCGAGGGGGGGGATTGGGATTCGAGGATTTACGGTAATAGGAAAAGACATCACTAACGGCACACCGTTGGAACACCATCGATGACATAATGCTGGCAGAGAATCAAATATATGCTTGCTCTATTCCATATACTATGCTAAGATCAAGCGTTAGAGGCAAATAGAGAAGAGATTTCTCCCGTAGTACTAGAATGGGTCATGCGAAAACACGTCCAGAAACCTTAAGGATTTTTTATTTTCAACTTCAAAAATTTATGTTTATTTATGTAACAATAAGACTTATTTAAGAAACATAATGATGTCAACGTCAATAATAGCTGTAGGTTTTTATGGTTCGAGTGCCATACTTCTTACCTTTGTGCCTCACATAGAATAGCAATACAAGTGATAACACTTGAGCAAATACTGCGCAATCTGGCTTCAGGTTGAAACTGTTTCCAAGAGGAAGAAATAAACTACAAATATTTCCAACAGCGCAGTTGATACAAGCCTAGTGATAATTTACCTCTATGATAAACTGGTCTCTTTTCGTTTCATCATCGAAATCTTTCTTTCCAAATATTTCATCTGTTTCGGCTCTTTTCTTATTGATGCGAAAATTGAAATCACCAAACCAAAAGACACGGTCAAATCTTGAAGTGACATCAGCTGTAAAGAAACATCTTTAAGTAAAATAGAGCATGCTATGTGTTTAACAAACAAATCTTCATACCGTTGCAAAACACTTTGCAAAACTTTTGTAGGGAAATAGCTGAAATAGTTTGCAGAGAATATGACATTTTATCTTTACTTTATATAAAATTACTGAGAGCGGCAAAGAAGAACCTAGAAATGCAAAATGCTGAATAAAGTAATAATCTTGACGAAAGTACGAAATATTTGACCACAAATCGGAGATGAGTTGATACTAACCGTCTCTGTTTTGATTATCTCCCTCTCCAAACGGAATAGTCAACGAGCGACAAATTGATTTATAGTCATTAACACGTTCTTTTAATTTCTCTTGGTTTGCTGAAAATTTGATAAACTCATTTTGAAAAGAGGCACGATTTGAACAAAGAACTATGATTATTACTACTGAACAATTATAACTAGAGCAGATAGCAAGGTTATGAACCAAATGTCAACTAGAAGATACTTAAATAGCCACAAGATATTAGATACAAGACTATTAACACCAAAGAAAAAAACACCAGATAACACTCAAATTTATTCTTATCAAGTGGGAAGATGGGAAACACTTAAACTAAACATTTAAATGTTACTTCATTACATCAAAAAACAAAAGCTGGTAGAGCAACAGTGTATGGTGTGCTGGTTGCAGTTCGAATTATCTTACTCAGTCTTCACCACAGTACATTTTCATAATTCCTGTTACAGTTACACTATCACTAACAACTTACATGCAAAATGTGAGTTGATAAAAAGGAGAGACGTCCCAAATACATTGAAACAAACAGCTATAGCACCCTTGAATGAATGAAATGAGCATATATTATGACTGATAAAGAAAAACTATGGTATATAGAATATATTCATCCATATATAATCTGAATAATATAGAATATACAGAACATATGATTATATAGAACATATATAATCTGAATAATATCTCTAAGAAATATTTTTAAATTTACAGTTCTAGAGCTTTATAATAAACAAAAACTGAAAACTGTATATGTTAAGCAAGCATTTCCAAGAAACAGCTCACATGCAAATGAATAAAATTTCATACCTTGGTTTTTATTTTATGAGCTATTCTGTTTGCAACTGTGTCTTGCTCAATACCTGGACACAAAAATGCAGGGTTTACAGATCAGCACCATGTTACAAATTGTTAAATTTAAGATATATACTCTGTAGTTTCCTGAACACTGTCAATTGAGGGAATTATATTTTCCTTAGACACAAACTCTTGTGAAATCTACCTCTAAAGCAACAACATTGTAACTCCATGATTCAGCCCCTGGATTTTTAACACTATCTCAGATATTACTGTACACAACAATGACAATAATTGAATGGTAATAGCAGTTAATCTACTTTATATTTAAATCATTATTAATTATAAGCCCATGCTGTAATACAAATTGACACAGAAGGTGATTAGCTAAACTGCATTGAGAAAGCTTTTCACTTACCAGTACAAAACCAAACAAGCTCTCTTCGAATGAAAATTGATAGATGCAAAACCCCAAAATTTCCAGAATACATTAATACATGAGTAGGACCAAGTGTCTCTTGCAAGCGGATTTCCCATTCTTTCCTGTCAAACAAATATTAGACATTGCACCAGTGTTATCCAGCACATCCAAAAAATAAAATGTACTTAAATGTTAACAAATAAATCACAATAAGATTCTGATTTTACGCTACAAGAGGAATACTTCCACAGGAACCATGGTAGGGTCCTTTTTACAGGAAGAACTCTTATACTCCTTAACTAGATTCTAATTATTCTCAAAAAAAGTCTGTACATGGGTGGAAAAGGAGAACAGACTGTTAACTACTAACATAAGTTACTTCTTGTAGCCTAGTTTTCTCAAATCATCTATGAAGTCATGGAGGACATTTGTAATTGCATTATTCTATGTATCATTCATTGCGACAATATCTGGTCTCAATCATTGATATCTTATTACCATTTTTATGAGAGCTCAGAAAAGATAAGAGCTCAGAAAAGAACTGGGAAAACAATAGCAAATTAAATCAATTTATCGCATCTATTTAAGGCTACCAGCTCAATATTACCTGAAAGGTGTTCCCTCTTGGCAACCAATGGCATAAATGTCTTGAATAAACTCACTATCATGTGGAAGAATGTAATCATCTAATGTTTCAGGAACCACCTTGACAAGATATGTAATTTATTTGTGAAAAGACCTGTAATTCGTATTAAATGATCATAACACTAAGTGTGGGAATAGCTTGGAAAAATTGCTAACCAACCAAAAAAACACAGTTCAAGGTGTCAATGCAGAGAAAAACTTTCATTATAATACACCCTTCAAATGGAAAACGTTTTAAACATGCCTAACTGACAGTAAAACCAAAACAGACAAATGCATGGTAGGTTTTTTCTTTTTGACAAACCAATGATTTCTAGCCCCTCGCATAGTTGTAGAGTCTAAGAAATGTCTCTATAACAATATACCAAACATGCAACTATTCCTCTTTCAACTCCTCCTACACCTGGATATAAATTTCCTGGTTGCCTTTGGTCATTACCCATTGTTTAAAGGCAATCTGTCACAACGTTGATTGGTTATAAAAACAAAGGGATTTTTATTGCTTCCAGTCCCCCTTTAATTTATCGCATTGTAAAAAATATGGCGGAGTGCTGGAATCGTGTTTAGGCTGTTGTTCCAGCTATTGTTCTCGTTAACCAATCCACAACGAGATAGATTGGCTTTAAACTCTTAGAATCATCACATGAAAAATACATTTTTATAATATGTTATGGTTCAGCATCTCAAAATTTTGCTACACTTAATGATTATTTGATTACAATTAAAAAGTAATAATTAACGCAGTAAAGAATTCATTTCCTTCTTGCACTTGTATTCAAGATGTAGTTTTTTGATATCATCTACTTGACGAAATCAGTCTTGGACCCACTTGTATTTTTTCCGTTCACAAAATTGTTTTCATCAAATAAAAAATGGGTAAAATACCTAATTGCTTAACAAATCATAGATCATGTTTATGTTTACAATGTTACCAGACCACAACTGATTAGCAAATTACTTTAATTTGAACTATAAATAATGAATAAAAGTGATATGTGACGCAAAATTATGGTAGAGATTAATCAATATGAGAGCTGAACAAACCTTAATCCCTTTCATGTTCCAAGTACCACAAAATATTCTCAATGTTTTATCTGGTAGATATCGAAATATATCAGCCATATATCTGTCAATTTCTTTGCTTCTTGCCTCTTTGGTGGTTAGCCTTGGCATCAAAGAAACAACTCTGTCTGCAATTGCTTTGAAAGAGACTTTTGATTTGGCTGGTGAAGTTGAATTATCTGCAAAATCTCTTGTCTTTATTTGCTCATAAATTGTCTCATCATTTTTTGATTTCTCAGGACTTCTATCATGTTGTTTTTGGACAGGAATATCTGGCAAAGGCCTATATTTCAAGCCAAAATTAGTTTCTCTTTTCAACTCTGGAGAAGATATATTTTGTGTTAAATCTAGATTTTGCCTTATTTCCTTGGGACATAGATACCCTAAAGTGTCTAATGTTCTAAAGCTTTTGCCAGTTCTTAGATCAGGTACTGACTGAGTTCGTAATTCCTCACTTTGAATAGATGCATTTAAAACAGCATATTTATGTTCTGATGTATCCATTAACTGGCTTTTATTTGCAGTTGAATTCAAGGTATCTTTATTCTTTGGTTTTAGTGGCAAGCTATATAATGGCTCAAATTTCTCTTTACCATCAATAGCATTGGTAGAAAAAGTTAATGTAGCTGGATCATCTTCTTCCTCATCACTTGATAAACTGCTTACTGATATGCTATAGCTTGATGAATCACTGTCGTAATCAGATTCACTTTTATCATCTTGTTCATTATTTGATCGATCCATGTCACTTTCACCATCACTTTCTTCTTCCTTTTTAGAAAGCTGCCTTAGATAATTCTCATAAGAATTTATCAGTGAAACTTCATCATCTGATTTTCTAAAAATGTTTTTATTTTGATCAGATGAAGATTTTCTGTGAGAGGAAACAACCACAGATTCATTATGTTTATTTTTACCAAGGTCTTTTACTTCTGGACTTGGAGTAGTATCAGTACTTTTTCTTGATCCTCTTCTTACACCTGTTTTTGGTTTTTCTGCTACTGGAGGATGCGGTACAATATCACGTGGTACAGTATCACCTTTAACTTTACCTTCAGCAATAATCGTTTTTGAATCTTCTCTTTTACCCCGGATGCCTCTTTTTTCTTGTTCTATGTGAGCATTATTTATATGGATAGGTTCCAATCGTTGTGGTACAGGCCTTTTCATTAACGGTCCCTCTAACATGGCCGCATCAAGTTTTTTTATATCTGGTGGTATCTTCACTTTTCTTTGGCAAAACGAATAATTACTAGAGCCCTGAGATGAAGTTGAACCACTACCATCTGTTGTACTGGATCTCGGTGTACTGGTCGCACTCCCGTTATCAATTTCCTCCATGACACTAATAAAAGTAAGCGATCAGCATTGCAATTAACAATATTGAATCCTATTTTGGGTATCAATTAGATCATTCAATAAACGGGTGAGTAACAACACCAATAATCTAATTTGATAATTTTGCGACAACAATCTGTAAGCAAACTTAAAAATCATATCATTTCCTAAACTGGCCATAGTTTATGTGTATAAACGTCCCTGCAGCACAACTCTGCCACTTTAGAATCACAAGAAATCCATTTTAACGGCTTTTCGGCCTGCATTGCTGTTGTTCCCTCTCAGTTCAAGTGTTTATTTTCTTTCCATTGGAAACAAGTCTACCTCTCTCACACCACAAGCGCGAAATGCAGAACGAGGCACGTTTCAAATTGAGGCAACAGAAACTTAATAAGAGGCAAATACAATAGTTAATAAGCTGCAAGTGTCTTCAAGATTTATTTTGGAGAACTATGATATAAATATGGCAATGAGATTAAAATATTTAAGCAAAGAATGGCTGAAGCTGTACAAAAATCTATTCTTCAAGTACAAGGACCCAATCGTATGTATTACATTATTACATTGGTTTAGACTGCAATTTAAACATTTTGAAATTAAAATTTTATCAGACTTAATCCAGATTGAAATCTTTGAATGATGCGCGGGGGATCTGTTGCATGTCCATGACAATTGCGCATTTGCAAATAAAACAGATATAATTTTTGTGTGGCTGAGACTAATTACCATAAAAACACAGTAGGTAACTTTTGGGTATACATCTCAGATGAAAACATCAGTAACATTATTAGTGGTGATAAAAACAATATAGCAAAGATAAACATTTTCAAAATTCCTAAACATAAGAATGATAACATAAGAACGATAGGGACCTAACAAGATGAGAATTGTTTCCAAAAACCAAAATCTGCTCTATCATCCTGTTTCATGTGTATTTTACTCCCAGAAATGATAAGAATATCCTTCACGTGTTGGCTGTTGTTTGGCATATGTGTGTACAAAAACCAGCCTCATGTGCACACAAGCAAGAAGTAATGACGATTTAGACGATCTGCAACTCTGAGGTTCCTCAAATTCAAATTTCATTAAAGGCGTCAATTATTAAATACATACAAGATAAGTTTTACAGTTGCTGGATGAATCATTTCAATAGAAATTGTGCGGCTGCAATCGCGGCTGAAATTTGATGTGCGCAAGGCAAAAATTCCAGTCTGGGACTGAATGGTGATGCAAGCCAGATTGTGGAGTACAGCTTGTGCACATACACACCGAATTGAGGTTTGGGGTGTGGCAAAGAAAAGAGGCGTAAACAGGCGTCTATGACCATGCTCAAAAGAACTTAATCAAAATTGCTTTTTTTAAAAGTTTTAAATGCATTATAGTTATTAAATATGATACAGAATACACTGGGATCACAAAAGTATGTAAATGTGGATTAAAAGTCAGGGAAACATTAGATTGGTGCTTTAGAAAATTTCTAGCGTATATTTTTAAAGAATTGATAAAAAATGCCTCAAAGTACAGGCAATACTTGTATAAGATATAAGATAAGATAATTTATATTAAAAGTATAAGATAATTCGATTAAACTTGAAACTGAATATATGCACCTTTGTTCCGACTTTAAATATATTACCGAGAAGATCATTTTGGCTGAGACATCAGGCTTTAGGTTAATGAAAGTGGTGAAAAATTTCTAAAACTGTCATTTTGTGATCAAAATAGTTTGCTTGATTATTAACATAGACGAATTGGGTGTAGATTATTCTTTTCATTAATTTCAAAAGCATAATAAACGTTGAATGTTTTGGTTTAATTTTCTATTGTTATGTTTTTAGATAATGTGAACATCAGAATTTAAGATAAAAAAGTCATTAAGATCAAATGTAGCGCAACTCACTTTGTGTCAGTATTGAAACATTAAAGTTTAAGTGCACTGCTTAAACATAACTTTTTCAGTAATAATTTTTCATGTGAAAGAAGCTTTAAGCAGTTTGCTTAAATTTTTAACATTTTTCGTTCAACAATCATCAAATTTTCTTTGAACCGAAAGTCGAAGGAATGGCAAATGCATTTCCCCCCATAAACTATCGTTTCCAAGCCCCTTCACCGCATAATTCTGATTTTGAAGTTGGTCAGCTTAGGCTCGTGGTCACTGTGAGCTGCTATCTTGAGCTACTGTTTGACATACTTTTCCATTTCCATTCCATACAGTGTATTCTATAAATGTGGAATGTTTTTATGTTGTAGTGACTCTGCTTATTAGGCCTGTTTACGTTAATTTTTCTTTCCTATTCATTCCACCACATTCTCACATTGGAGCACAGGTATCCTCTACATCACTCTCGTATCACACATTCACTAAAATTAGTCATTCCATATGAAATTTAAAAAGGTTGTAACCTACTATCTCTGAATTAGCTGAACTTGATATCAAATGTTGGTATTATTGAAAAACTAAATTTCCCAAAATTTGAGATCAATATCTCAAGCTTCTTAAGGAGAAAAGGAATTAAGTATCTAAATTCAAATGATCCAGACATATTAAATCAAGTGACAAGTTTAATGGAGGGTGCATGTAAGAGACTGGAGCTCTGGGATTAAGGTCTCAGGAAATGTTTTTAAAAAAGATGGCAGGCAATAACCTTTTTTTTTTCAGACTATACTCAGCAGAAAGAAGACATCTCTAAATGATCACCAAAAGAATATGATGGGAAGAGGCTTACCAAAACAGAAATCCATTCCACAAGTCAAAGATATAATAGTTGTTGCTTCAGGAAAAGGAGGTGTTGGAAAATCAACAACTGCAGGTAAAGTTTTTCTGCAGTAGTTCTTTTTTTATTCGCTGTTTTGTGGTGGAAACTCTGAAGTAGATATGCACCAAAATTTCATACATATAGGGCATTTTTTATATGATGTCAGTTGATGTCATGTTGCTTTTGTCAATCAAAAGTTTATTAACAGTGGGATCTTTTTATTGCCTGTAAAATGTAGAGGTGTCTGACAAAAGTAGAATAATCCAACCATCTCTAAGAAAAATTTAGAAGAATATGAGAAATTTGATCCTGAGTAAAGTAAATGGTAGTTAAGAAAAGTCATATTTTTTGCAATGCAGCAGAATTTTTTTTGGGGTTTGTATGATTTGGTTAGCTAGATTTTCTCCATCGAGGCTGTTAATTTGGGATGCTTTTAAAGGATGCTTGTAGAACAAATCCTAAAAAGAGGGTTCTGATTAGGAAATGTCACAACATCTACATGTTCTATGAAAACTCTAAGCTGGTTGTTACTAAATTTTGTAAATTTTTTTACTAGCTCGGCTTCATGTTTCATTGTGTATACACAATAAATACATTTGATCATTTAATTATTTGCTTTTCAGTAAATTTAGCACTAGGAATTGCAGCTAATGACCAAGTAAGTCTTCCTACTTGCTTTTTATTGTTCACTAGTTACTTTACCATGTTATTGATTACTGATTGATAATACCTTTTGATTCAATGAATATTTGAAAAGTTCTCTTGGGAAATAATTTTTTTGATTTGATTCATGCTTCTTTACTAAAGTCCTTAAGCTAAAGTCCTTAACTAACTTTTAAAACTGGAATAAAAATTTTGGATCAGGAAGTGTGGATAATCTTCACCAGTATGCAGAGATTAGAAATGATATAGTGCTTAAATTCATCAGTTTTTCTTTGTCAGCACACACAAATAGCATCCTTTGTGGGCTGATCATTTCGGTTTGAAGCCAGAGCCAAGCTGTGCAGGGCTAGGGCCAAGCTTCCTGAAATTTATCTCCCAATCTAATAAGAAAACAGAGCTGATCTTATCACAGATTAAGTAGCCCTTAGCTTGTTGCATGGATTGGTTTTTTATTTGTGGTTCAACGAGTGGTTTGCCTTTACATTCATTATAGTAGGCGCTATCCGTAGGAATATTGGATGCAGACATTTATGGCCCATCTATACCAACTCTAATGAATTTGAAAGGGGAGCCTGAGCTTGACAATCGTAAGTAATTTATTCATCAGCAACACCATCTATAAAGTTATTTTTCTAGTTTCAGATTTATCTTATTTTTATAGCATATTGTTTGTATTACTTGCTTCTTATTTGAAAAAATTGAAAATAAATTTGATAATAATAATAGCAATTAATACTTGAATATTTAATATTTTCAATACAGTTATCATCAGGGTCCTGTCATCGTTTGATAGTCATCATTTCAAATTGTTACTTCTAACTTTCTTTCTAATTCATATTTTAGCTCAGAATCAGAGCATACATACATACTTATTCAGCAATGCAGGTCATAAAACACAAAGTAAAGCATTTAGAGCATTAGATATCTAAGCAACATTCCAATTTAAATATCTATGGTTGTAAAATTAAAGCAAATAATACTGCAATGAAGTTTTTGAAAATAATCTTTTTTCAGGTTACTTACATTAGTATTGCCTTTTAAATGCAGGAAATCAGATGATACCAATGCAAAACTATGGTATTAAGTGGTAAGTTTTTGGCTGCTTGATTTTTATTTCAGAGACAATTTTGAGCATTTTTCAAATCATAAAGTATTCATGCTAAAGTATTGTTTTTCTTTAGCATGTCAATGGGTTTCTTAGTTCCAGAAGGGGCACCTATTGTCTGGAGAGGATTAATGGTAAGTCTCTTTAAATTTTGATTTGGTGATTCTTTTTTCTTGATTTTATAGAAAGTTTGCTGCACATCTTTATGAAATGGTTTCTCTTTTTTGTTAGCGAGAAAGACATGTTTATTATATGATATTTTCATTATAACCTATTATTTTCAGCTTTAATTTAGACAAACATTACCATGCAATTACCGTCAGTACGACATTGGCTCAATTTTGGAAATAATAATCATCATTGATTGTACCAGTGGGGGAAGTTAGTGGATTAGATTTTAAAAGTTTGAATCTGCAAAGTAAGGAAAATTTGGCATGAAAATAGGATGGATGAAAAGTTTGAATCTTCAATCTTCAATCGTTTACTCCTAAAGGCTTTACAACCAATCTGGAGCATTTACTCAAGGAGCATCAAAAATAAGGAAAATTAACTCAATAGTAGGATTAATACCATTTCCACCCAGCGCTCCAGTTTGTTGATTTCTACAAAATGCTGCATTTGGTTTTGGTTCAAAAAATTCAAGCAAAGTGTGTAGGTAAGCAGGTTTGGTAAACAAGGGATAACAAAAGGCTAACAAAAGAGTAAAAATTGTCTCTAATAAGTCTATACTGGGGTCCAGGTGCTGGTGGAGGCCACCTTCACCCACTGACGTGGACGCAACCATACTGTCACTGATACTTTGAAATTGTCTTCTCTCACCAATTCATAATTTCTGACGGTAGGCTATTCCAAATTGTGAATCCCCGTTTTGAATCAGAAAATTTATTTACCTGTGTCTCCAAGTTTTGATCATCAGTGAGAACCTTTAACCTTTCCTTAGCTCTCCAGCTGTAGTCAAAGTATTATCAATATCTTGTAGAAATCCTTCCGTTTGAGTCATTAGGTATCAATGATGTAGGTACAGTAAAGTTGGTCTGTTATTTGATTCAATAGGTGATGTCAGCGATAGAAAGAATGATAAGGCAAGTGGCTTGGGGACCATTAGATTATTTAGTTATTGACATGCCACCTGGAACAGGAGATACACAGCTCTCAATATCTCAGCTCATCCCAGTTTCAGGTGAGTTCTTTGCATAGTGAATGGTAGCCCAACATCTTATATTATTTATAGCGAAAGCCACTAGACTTTCTCGTATTTCCAATATATTGTTTGTTTTAGCTTTAAAAACGTCACTGACCCTAGTTACCATGAAGTGTACTATAAATCTGATAATAACTGCCCTTAATCTCATTTTCAGCGTCCCTTAAAGGCTTGAAGGTTTAAAAATCCATTTAAGATCTATCACACTGGTTAACCGTAGAAAAACAAGGTCTTAGTTCGCATTACATTTTATCTGTGCATGTATTTATTGTTATTCCCAGAAATACAAATTTTCGAATGTTGATGAAACATGGAATACAAATTTCACTAATACGTTTGAACAGGTGCAGTTATAGTGACAACTCCACAAGATCTTGCGCGGATAGATGCTAAAAGAGGGGCAGAAATGTTCAAAAAAGTCAACATACCTGTAGGTATTCCTTTAGCCATAAGGAAACACTGGATAGTTATGACCTTCTAACCAATGTCAATGGATTTTTGGTCCTTTGATCTGGCAAATGTTTATTCTCCATAAAACTTTTTCTATTTTAATTTTAAATTTATTTTGCTTTGGAACATTTGCGAAAGTCGTAAGTAACACCGCTATTAAGAAACTTTTTAGGAGCATAGAAGATCCTCATTAGCTATGGTTTTTCACTGGGAGTCTCGAAGATGGCCAGTAGTAGTTGTCAATTAATTAATGAACTCGAGTCATAGATTTAGTTTTGAAATTCATCTGTAATTGTCGCCTACAGCCAGATTTGATATAATTGATTAATCTTTGTATTTCAGTCTACAGACTGTAGTGTATTGTGAATTTCATTCTCAATTCCAAGTTTATTGTCAATTCAAATTTCATTCTAAAACTCTAGATTTCGTACTTGATTCCAGGTCTTGGGTCTTGTAGAGAATATGAGCCATTTCGTATGTCAACATTGCCAGAAAGTGAGCCATGTTTTTGGAAGCAAAAGACCAGAGAGCGAGGCCAACAAAATAGAGACAGAAGTGCTAGGTAACAGCAATGATCGTATTTAGATTTTCATCCATTGTACACACAATTTTACTAGAATAAGCTTTGTAAGAATATATAGACTCGAAATAGGTGAAGTATAAGAATTAATTGATTAGGAATTAATTGATAGCCAGGATCGAGTTTCATTGACAGTTTGACGTTTTGGCTACTGAAGCTATCTTGTTTCAACTGCGTTTTCTCTGGCTGCCTCTATATTTCTTAGCATCAACTGGTAGTTCTTAGTACTAGTCAATGGCCTATAAACATGATATTCATAGTGAAGTCTCTCAACATATGTCAAATGTTCTTAAGCACGTGCTTCTTTCATACCTTTGCATTTTACTCTTTCTCTGCGAAGTTTTGTAAAAGTGTTTTTGATTATTGAACAACTGACATATTTATTGAAATTTTAAAAAAAAATTATAATATCAACTGATTTTCTTATCGATTTAAAGGTCAACTGCCATTGGACAGTATTATCACGGATACCTCTGACAGTGGCACGCCAATCGTTATTTCCCATCCAGACAGCCTCCATGTAAGTGAAAGTGTTTCCCCTTGTTTTTTTTGGGCTTTTATGTCTGTGAAAAAAATATGTTCACATGCTGACAGAAGATGTGAATCTAAGTTGCCAAGAAGTCGACTGTAGAAGACGTGCCTTTTTGTTAATTCAATGTTACTGTTACCTAGTAGGGTTTTTACTTGCGAAAATAAAAATTTTGGGTATTAAGCTCAAATCAGAGCAGTAATTTCACGAGAGGTGTCTTTTTTTAAAAAGAAGTGTAGTGTGATAAACTTGTGTTATTTTGATTTTAATTTTCAATACTGTTTTTCTGTAAAACTTTCTACATTTACTCTGATCATGTGTATATTGGCTTTAATATCGTATTAGTATAAGGAACCTTCCAATATTTTGCTTGATGCATTTTCTCATTCTATTTTAAAAGGTTTGCTCACTTTTTGGTATCGTATCAATGATTAATTATGCCTCTAATAGTTTCGTAACAATTGCTGTAACATTGTGAAAAATTTGTTTTGACAACCTGCTTTATTTTGCAGGCCAAAGCGTACAGAGATTTAGCGAAGAAGGTTGTCGATAAAATACGGACTTAATTTAATGTAATTATCTTTCAATGTATAATTTTATTAATTGTAGCGCTGTGAACTTATTGTTTGATTAAATGTCATTTTTAGTTATTAAAGAATGAAAATTAAACGAATTATTAGGCTTGTGTATTCTCATTCTACCTCGATTTGAGATCTAAAAATAGAAAGTTCGTTTTCACATTATTCTTAAAGTGCCACTGAATTGAAAAAATCAAAAAAATTTTTATTGATGTTCTAAGTCAAGTCAGTGCTCCTGAATCCGATGGTGAAGTTCATTTTTCGGAATTGTGAAGTGTTTTGAAGCTACAACGCTTCAAAGTTGCGATTTTCAAGACTTTTTGTGCGAAAATTTGTGCGCGGTCTGTGAGGAATTTCAGGAATGTGTGACGCATTAACGTTTATAAGTCGCGGAAGTGATGCGGGCTTCAGTACTGAAAGCTGTATTTCGAGTGCGATAAAAAACCCAAAAAAACGTGAAGTGGATGAAAATAGTGCGATACTTGTGCTCTAAATATCACTAGCTATCTAACTACAAGACATGTGCAAGGTATTTTCTTGCGAAAATTTCGAGCCGATACGAAATAAGCAAACTTTTTGCGTGCAGTTTTTACCAAGACTTCATCCCGATCATTTACCTTTTGTGAATAATTGAGCGTGTCGAATAAGAATGCTCTTACAAACAGCTTTACAAATTATGAATAAAAGTGAGCAAATTGATCAAGGGAAAAAGTTGTTCTATTAAAGAACCAAACAAATTGCACATTTTTCGGCGCTTTTCCCACTTTCCAACTTGCGTTGCCACTGTCAAAGCATCAGTTATCGCCAGGGCCGTCAAGATGGGATAAATTGCCCCGTGGTCAGGGGGCCTCAAAAAGTAGAGAAGTTCATTTTAAATGGAATTGATTAAAAGTAACAAAATTATGCCTTTAAAAGTAAAACTTTTTTAAACGTTTGCATGAAAAAGAATCAATTTAGGCTAATCTAGAATTCGTGGTTGCAAATATCGCCTATCCGTTTTGGCTTCCAGAATGTCTTGGCGTCCCTGGTTATAGCAGTAGCATCATTGTTAGCATCATTGTCATGGTATCGTGATCCAAAATGAAAATTATGAAAAAAACTTGCTTTATCTGGAACCTTGTTCTCCAGCCTATAAGTAGCACGGTGGGATTTTTCAGGGTCAATTCATATCCTATCTTTTTCAGCGTATCAAACTGCTTATCTCTACAAAGTTCCATGCCGATATCGCGATCTAAAAGTTAAATTATGACAATGACTGCTTAGAGGTCTAGGACCTGGTATCCCAGTCTATAAATAGCATAAGGGGTATTTTTCAGCCTCTATTCAGACCCTATCTTTTTCGGCGTATCAAACTGCCTATTACTGCCAAGTTCCTTGCTGGTATCACGATCTAATGGCTAAATTCTGTCAATTACTGCTTAGAGGTCTAGGACCTGGTACCCCAGTCTATAAATAGCACAAAGGATATTTTTCAGCGTCTATTCAGACCCTATCTTTTTCGGTGTATCAAACTGCCTATTACTACCAAGTTCCATGCTGGTATCGCGATCTAATGGCCAGAACTTCACCAGAATTTTGTAAAAGATCGGTTTTTGTAAAAACCTTACAACAGTTATGCAAAAAATTAAGGTTTATAAATCAGTGCTGCGAACTTAGTTTGCCTTTGTGTTTGAAGAAACTCATACGACCCAAGTTATTGGGTTAATATGTGATAACTTTTAGATGAACGCTTTTAACTTCATTTGATTCATCATTTCTAACTTGTGGCGCATTAAATCTGAGCTTCTTGACGCATTACTGATATAACTGAGTCGATCTCTCTTCCTTCAGCTGAAAATTTTATAGTTGTGCTCCGCGTTGTCCCAATCGTTGCCATATGTTATTAGACTGACAGGCTTAATTTTTGTGCAATGACATGTTTCCCATGATTGCAGCTTCATGGTAAGAAATGTTCTACAGGCTGTGAGGATGGCATATTAAGACCCAATAGAGAGATTTCTGATTACATATAAATTCCCAGAAATAGAACATCTATACCTATTACAAACCATTTTGCCATAGGTTTGATTTTATTTGATTTTTGATTATTTATACAGGGTTATACATTCAGTAATGAAAAGATGATAACTGATTTACAATGTGCCCTGTGGGGGGCCAAAAGAGTGGGGGGCCAAAAGAGGGGTTACCTATTTAATACCTAAAAGGGAGATGTGCTACCTATAATTAGCAAGGAAAGTGGGGGGCATGGCCCCCGGCCCCCGTGTGGCGCGGGCTCTGATCGGAAAAATTAGTTCCTCATTCCGGGGATTGTGCCTCCATTCATTACAGTTGAGATTTGGGCACTTGGAAGGAGCGTGCGACATACCCCCTTTCATGTTCTTTTACATCGAGCACATTATTCCTTGCTGGGTAGGAGTGTTTGACAAGGAGAAGATTTGCTGGTTTTTGTAAGTAAGATTATATAACGTTTTCAAGATTTTAATGCACCCATTTTGTTGATATCACAGTGGATACTCTGGAATATCATTTTAATGCGGTGTTATTTTATGTCTTCGAATTTGGTAGCATGGCATGCAATAGTGTTGAAGTTAAATATCCAAAACAAGTATTTGATCATACCCCAGTCTGCAGAGTATGGCACTTTTCGACGAGATCTCCGGTGTGCACGCGCAAAAAGCCTGGTGTGTCGGTGTGCACCACCAAAAATGTCTGGTGTGCTGGTGTGCACCGACTATATTTCCCTGTTGTGGTTAAAATTTGTGAATTTGCATTTCACCGTAAAAATGCGTGTGAAGTACACTGTTGAAGATAGCGCAAGTTTTTATTTGTATATTTGTCAAGTAAGATTCATGATATCTCAAATTGTTCATACACAACTGTGCTTGTTTTTATCAGCTGACATTTTCTATGGGACCACACCAAGCCACACCCATCTTAGTTGCCACACCCAAAAATACGGGTGTGCAACAGGTTTTGCACAAAAATATCTCCGGTGTGCACATGCCATACTCTGCAGACTGGATCATACCTAAGTACTTATAGGCATACTTGCTACTGAGCTGCTTCTGCTTTTGCAATAACACAAATAAATTTAATTTAGCAATGTAGAGTTTCGTAGTTCTGCGAAAAGCAACAGGATGAATGATTCTTGTTCCACACGTTTAGTAGAAAATGTTGTTTCTGATTGCTGTTTAAACTCTCTACATTTTTTAGTTAACATTGCCATGAAAACTTGACATGATCAACATGACAAAATGATTGGTCAAAGGATATTGGTCAGGAAATCAGTCAATAGAATTAAGCATCTGCAGATTGTAAGTAAATTTTTATGTGAAATGAAATGTTTGTAGATTTTCACTGCATCTTGTTTGTATACCCATTGAGTTCCTTTTCTCTTGTCAATCTATTTTGAAAGAAATGAGGTTTGAATTTGGCAACTGCTGCTAGCATTTTAATGGAAATATCAGCTGATCTATTAAATATTTCTTTGTTCCACCTGACCTGTGTTGTTTTTTCCTATTTCCCTTTCACCCCCAAATGCTTAACTTACTTCAAACGTCTTGGCAACTATGATATTTTTCCAGGTAGGGTTTTTGGGCAAACCACAGAGATTCCATTAGAAGGAATTTTACTCTCAGTTTAGCCTTTATCAATATTCAGCATCATATCCTTACCAGTTCAGTCAAGAAAAAGAGGCTGATAATTATTACTATCAATTGGTATTCATTTCAGGATAAACCAATACAAGCAGCTTGCCAAAGCTACAGACTCTTGGGAAAATGTAATCAAGCTGACACAGTGGATCCTCCATTTCTATGGTCTCCAGCAAATTGTGGCAAAGAGAGCATTAACAAACTATTGTGGCCAAGGATTAGTAATCAACCATGGAAAGAAGTGGATTACTTTTACAACTGGCAATGTTCTGAAAGGAAGAAATATGACTCTTTACGAAGGCTTCTTGTGCTGGATAAAGTGTGTAATGATGACACATTAGAGAAGAGATTTGACTTGTGTAGTACAGGATTTAAAGCAGACGGTTTCCATAGCAATGTGCAATTGGTTTTACCTGCTGTAACCTCTAATAGTTATAATATGAACAAAGTTGCTGGAAATGCAGGTAGTATCCTTGAAAATTTTAAACAAAGTGGACCATGCTGTTGTCTTCAAAGAACTGGCCAGGGGTTGAAAAGAACTTCTCCTCATAACAGAAAGCAGAAACATTTTAAAACTTTGAATTTTGTGAAGACTGGAAAGGGGTGCTCAAAAGAAGGAAGAAATTCAAAAGCTGCAAAGAAGTTGCCTAGAACAAATGAATTGGTAATTGAAAGAATTGTAGACAATATTACAGAAGAGGTATGAAAGCAAGAAAGCTATTAATTAATTATTGGTTTAATTCCATTCTTGCTCAAATATTTGCTTGTTTTTTGGTAGATGGCTTCTGCAATTATTCAAAGTTTTCTTCATTTAGCAATTTTATAAACTCTGGCTTGTTATTAAGAGAGTTTAAAAATTCTTGTTATAGTGGCCAAAACTCTTTTCAAGCAAGGTTCTGCTGGATTCTTCAATAACATCAGAGATGATATTCTTTGACAATGCTGTTTTAGGATTCAAGACAAGGTGCGTTTTATATTTTTTGAACAGACAAATGAATTATCATTTAATAATTAAATATTTTTAAGCAAAAACCACAAGGGCATTTCATTTTCTACAAGTGAGAAAATCAAAGAGGTAGTGAAGCCAAAAAACATGTTGGGGTTTCCATAGAATTTTCCTTTCAATGTATGCAATAATTATATTTTTACAGTAACCAGCATTATACCTTGAATGGTATGTTTTGCAATACCCCTATCAAACCACATTTATTTTAGCCACATTGATTTTATGTCTAGATTCCCTCCAAATGTCCATAGGCAGAATCATGAGTTAAACGTTTTCACATTTATCATATGCTAGAATAATGTAAAATAACTCTTTGATTAAATCAGATAATGAGTAACACCAGTGCTATTCATTTCTAGGTCTTATTTTCATTGCAAAATTTTGCTAATTTTGAATAGATGATTCAGATAAACAGGGTTTTGAGGCTTAAAAGGAAGAAAAATTATGATTTATAAGAAGAGATATATAAAATTTTGCCAATTGCTTGGTTAAGTACTTTTTTGCTGTCTTTTATGTACATTATTTACTTTTTAGAGGCCAGAGACTTTACAAACTACAAGTCTGGTGCTTCAAATGGGCAACAAAACTTCTATGGTTCGATAGGACGCTACAAGTTCTTCAAGTTACAAAAAGCTTTGAAGACAGCACAATAAAGATAAGATGGCTTGTAAATGGAAGACCAAGACTTCTTTACCTAATGTACCTGTTTGGCAGAACACCTTCTCTTAGGTTTGGTTTTGCTTTACTCCACAAATATTATGATATCAACTCATAGTAGGGGAACGGCAAGGACTATTTTGAACTTCAATTTAGAATAAATCATTTTTGAAAATTAGTCAGGAGAAAGCAACATGATGGTGAGAATTCATTGAGTAATGAATCAATAAAAATATGTGTCTAATTTTTGTGAATCCATAGCTTTTGTCAAGGAAAAGTAGTGGAAGAGATTGTTGTTTTGAAGTCATTGGGCTAAGAGCATGGTCATTGCTCTAAAACCACATTTTCAAACTTGTAAGAAATTAAGACAATGGTCTGTAAATATTTTTACTGTGTTTATAATCTCCATGGTCCTATTTTGCATTCCAATTCGAACAGTTTTTTAATGCTTTGATTGACTCTTTGTCAAATCTTACCTGGCAATTTTTTGTTAAATTTATGCTTTCTTGTATAGGACTTACCAACATCAAGGTATCATGCAGAACCGATTTGTTTTGCCAAATAAAAGCTTTAATTGCTCTCTAGAAATTTCAATTGCATAGATATTGGTTATTGCTCCTGTTTGATTTTGTTATCCAGTCCTCTTTTTTAAGGTACATGGACTTTTTCTCCATTTTAAAAGTTGGTGAAAGTGAGAAAGTTGATGTACATCATGTGTCTAAGGTAAGAAGCAGGCCATGCTTTTTATGAAATTCTCATTTCGTCTTTTATCGCCAAGAATCAATAGAGTTCAAAACACTTAAAGTTCCTGGTTTTGCTTTATTAAAGGACATTTTTAGAATTAAATTGCCTGTATTACAGCTACGTAATGCCCTGTCGACTCACTAAACCTCCAGGGGATTAGGATTGAAGTGACGTAATTCTGTTGTTGCCGTGTTACGTTATCTTGATAAGAAGATATTTTTTTAAAAAAAGTTATTCACCGTTGAGGAGATAAAATTGTTAAACGTGTTTAAGCTCTGGAAACAATGCGTTAGTCTATGATGAGTCATAAGATAACTTCTTTCAACTTTTTCAAAACATTTAGATTTTTTATAAGTACACTTTGAAATGAGTTACGTCAAAACATGCCCAGTACTAGATTTAAATGTTTTGTTAGTTTGTTTCAGTTGTATTAAGCAGAGAAAAAATCTGGAAACCTAGCATATAAAAAATTTTTTTGCTTTCTGTTTGGTCATCGTCCGACGTTTATACTTAAGAGTGTGGGGTAAAAAGTACTTTTCTATTCTGTCCCCGATTTTTCGTGTTATTTGAAGTTTATCACTACCAGAGGGCCTTTTTGTTGAAAAAAGCAATGTTCTACAATAATATAGATTTTCTCTTGGTTTACTTACTTTATTTAAATGAGTTAACCTTTCAATCTATATAATTGCTCCCTTTTGTTTTGTTGATAAATTTCTTGTATACATGCCAAGACAATATTTGTTTGGCTGGATGTTTAACCAAAAAGTGAAATCTTTTCTAAAGGGAACAGTTTCTACGTTTTAAGTATTTTAAAGATTATTTAAGAGAGTGATTTAAGAGGTAGAATGGGGAACTAGATTTTCTTCATTATAGGTTCAAAATGCAGCCCCTGTCGTAATTAAGTACCTGGGATGTTTTCATTATGTTGGTATAATCCTACAAGCCCGTACTTCATCGTACCCAATTATCTTGTTGGCGATTTTTCCCTGTCTTCTCTTGTATCGATTTGTGCCCTAAGTCCATATGCACAACACGTAAATTTTAATTAGAAGCGCATCCCACGCATCTTTTGGATTTGCAGAACAAGACGGTTACAAGTTGTGACTGCCAGTAACCACAGAACTACCACTTGCTCCATATGCCCTGTAAGCTCCGTTCTGTTTAGACCACGTTTAATCATTTAAGACATGTGAATAAGCAGTGAATTTTGTGACCCTGCCTTCTTATATTACGAAATATCTACAACTATCAGTATACCCGTTCAATTTTTGTCTACCTTAAGTTTTAATATTGTGAAGTCAGAAATCAGAGTTTAGTGACATTGTTTCTTTTTTCAGTTGGTTCCGCGACAAACACCGCAAAAAAGAAATATCCTTTTATCCATTCTGCCGCTCCTTGGATTATCCCGGTCTGATCTCCCCGATTTCCAGGAAGAGCCTGTTTTACCATCAACAACAGATCCTGGCTCGTGAACTTATTAAGTCACGGTAAATAACCACAAAACATCTTTTTTAATAAGTAAGTGAAGAACAGTATGAAAAATAGCGATATTCATAGAATTTAACATACAGTACTTCTGTAGGTTTGAAATGCTTTATTTGACCTCATTTTGTCATGTGTCAGTGATGACAAGCAGCACACAATCCTGGATCAAGATTTCTTAACATTTGTTCAACATTTTGAGTCAACGGATATGACTTACTAACGACGTATATTTTTAAGTTTCTGTAGTTAAAATTCTTTGGTGACGTAAAAACTCATATGTATTGTTCTTTCCACGTCTTATGTAACAGTAAAGGAAATGATAAGATTAGGCACGAAGCCATGCTTCTTGGATTCGATTCCCATTTGCCTGAAGCTGATATGCATTTGTCATTTCAAAAGCCCAAGATTATCATTTTGAAGCTGACACTAGTAGATATATGCAACAGTAATGATAAAATGTTTGTATAAAAAAATCCGATAACCAGGAGGAAGTTTCTTGCGATACTGGGAAAAATTTCCACAGCAGAACGTTTCCTCCCTAGCATGCCATTCTGAAATATAGGATATGCCATTTCCGGAGATAGGTTTTTGATTGGAACTAAATTCGTGGCTTTGTCTGGTTGCATAACATTTTTTCGATATTATCATTGAAAGCGAACAGAGTCTAGAAAACATTACGGTTTCACGGCTGTGAGCTAAAGGAAGGTTGTCCAACCATGCAGTAGTTTCGAGGCGTAGCTTGAAAACGCATAGCTTGAAAACGCTATAAAAGTGAGAGGAATTTACCTCTGTGGTTGAACTTTTCTTTTTTCCCGACCTAATGTAAAAACCAAGCCTTGGACGATTTTGCTTGAATTCTATTTCCATGAAACTTTCGTTCAAAAGATACAAAAAAAATTTGGTACACGGAAAGCCAATAGTGCGAGATTTCATCCAATAGAAGGCTGAGGTGTTTTCAGAAATCTGAATGCGCTTCCTATACAGAATGAACTGGAAATGTAATTCTATTAGCAGAATGCAACTGTAAAGTTTTTTGTACAATCCAATATTATTTATGTTTTGTTAGAAAACCAATTGCTAATGAACCAATTTGAACTGTTTTTAATTTGTATTATTTGACTAGCTCGATGGTTTACAGTCAAGGAGACAAGGAATTTGAAATTTATTTTTCTATTAAAGCTACCATATACGTAACACTTTAATAAGAAAAATGGATCACAGCCTCTACTGTGGATAACGAACGTCTAATAATGTCATTGTGATCTGAGGAATACTTATATTTTTCTTGATATGGCCTAAAGCGTGTGTTGCCTTACGTGTGTCTGCAATATTTGTCTACGAAAAATGATTATATGTGTTGCATAAAATTTTATTGGATTCTGTAATTTTCGTTACATTATTTTTGTGATATTGGTTTCAGTTGAATCTAGAGAATAATTATTTGACTTTAATAGATGCCTATATTTAGGAGTGTTGCAGATTTAATTTTCTGACCATTATCATGATGGAAATATCGTCTTTTTTTACTCAACTTAAAAACTGTATTATAGCATCTGTTGTTGTTGTCTTTGCTGACGTAAAATTCACAGTTTTTGTTAGCCTGATATCAGGCTCAGACGGAGCGGGAAAGGCTGGACGAAAACGATATTGAAAAATAAAGAAAAGTAAAAAATGGAAAAACAGCTCTGTTTATTGGCAATATGAAGCATTGATTATAGAGCTAATTTTAGGAAGAAATCTTATTCTAAACGTATCTAGTTATTTCGAAATTCTTCTTAAGATCGGAATGATCAAGATGTGACACATTGTGTAGAAATATGGTGTTGGAAAGTCTGATTGGCTTAACAAAAACCAAAATAAAAAGATCATAAGTTGCTAGGTGTTGCCAAATTGGATAACAGCTGAATAGACCTAACCAATCATTTAATTGTGTGAGCTACTTTGTATTGATCAGCTTTCCAGTGGCTAGATTTCTTTAAAATATCCAAATGCAAATATTTGACTTCAGATTTGGACTGAGTGACCAGAATTTTGGTCTAGATGTATTGTTCGATGATGCAAGTATTCGTTTTGTGATATTGCTTTGATTGTTAGGAATTTGATCTTGGGGTGAAGATGTCACCCTTAAAACGATTTCCGCGGCCTATCTTTTTATAATTTTTCAAGGATTAACAAATATGCACAAATGGGATAAATAATTCCTTGAAAGGGTCATGTAGTGACGTCTGGAGTGATTTCCAAAATAAGACAGTAAATTAAATTGGTGAATATTTCTTTTGAAATCGCCATAAAATAACGAAGTATGATGTCGAATAATTAGCAACTCCTTGGTCTTTGTTTCAATATCAAAGCATTTCTCCCTTACAGTAAAAAGTGAAAGCCATTTTTCGTTTAAAAAGTCTTCACATGTTTCATAACGGTTTTTGTAAAGTTCAAAGACAATAAACGCATCTTATTCCTTAACACAATGAATATTTCTAGCAGTATGCCTGACTAATCATTTAAACGAAAGCATGACACCTCCCTTTCTGAAAGGCACCCTCTTGGTTTAAGCCTATCAGCTTCTACCATGACCCGCTGACACAGTACCTTCGTCCTTACTCCACTCCTCAATCCCATGGTATTTTCCAAACAATGCTTTGACCTCCCTTCAGCCCCCCTGCCATTCCCTGTGCTCCGAGTATTGATTCATCGGGGTCCTTTGAAAATGCGGAGGAGCGTAATAATGTCATTTCGAATTTTTGAAAAGTTACTCATGTGCAGCACAGTGAGCAAAGGGTGGTTGCAAGTCAACCATGCAGAATTCCTTTTCATCCACAACGACTTGACGCACGGGCGAGGGAATGCGATAGCCTGTAAGAAATTCTCAAACTATCATCTTGATTTCGGTACCATATTTTGCGCTAAAAGGTCATTTGTATGGAGGCAAACGAACATTTATTTGAACATGGCAGACATCGACCGACGCTTGAAGAATTATTTGGGTCTTTCATTGAAGCTTCTGGATGCCAAGAAACTCTGGCTATATTTCATAACATTAAAAATTCAATTGACTTAGGAGAAAATGAGCATTCTGAAGTTTACGAAAGATTAAAAACTCGCTTAACAAGCTGGAGATGTCAGTCTTTATGGGACTTACTCGATGCAAGAGCTAAACATGTCGAGTATGGAAAAGGAAAAATTTGCAATCATCTCAGTGTTTTGATAATAGGTGGTGGGCCTATCGGATTGAGAACTGCTATTGAAACAGCATTGCTGGGTTGTCGCACTGTGATTGTTGAAAAACGGAGAGAGTTCACCCGAAACAATGTTTTGCATCTATGGCCTTTCTTGCTGACTGATTTCCGAGGCCTTGGCGCCAAAAAGTTTTATGGAAAATTCTGTGCTGGATCCATCGACCACATAAGTAAGCCTGAATTTTAGTTTGTACTTCGAGGAATACGTTTCCTTTTAATTCAGAAATCTTTTATCATGGCCTGTCCTTGAAGAGTATGTATATTGTTTCTGTTTACTATCAATACCACATTACAATCAGATACTTTGCAAAAATATTATTGTAGGTTGAACTGAATCGGAACAATATAGTGTTTTGGTGAATATGGTTTAACAAGTGAATCACCAACGCTAACACAGTGTTACATTCGCTTAGAACAAAAGGAATTACTTGTGTCTGCCGTGAGTTTATTGTCTACACTTAAATGTGTTTTGATACGGATTAGGCCAAACTGGTGGCAAGTTGCATTCTCCTTTATGTAACTCTAAATCGACTCACAAACATGCATGAAAACAATATGATTTCGTTGCCATGAAACTGTCCTAGAAATGAATTATCTAAAGTTAGAAGTATATGAAAAAGAAAAATTTTAATTTGAAACTATGTATATTCTGTTTCATGTTATAGGACAGATAAAATTTATAATTAATAATATATATACTACAAAGTTTCCTATATTCTGAATCCAATGAACACTAGGCGAGGTTGATTACACAATCCGTCTGTCCGTCAGAGTAAATTTCGGTAGAATATAAAATTGGGTTATGCATGGTTGATGTAGCCTACACAAAGGGATATTATAACTGCAACTAAAGAAAAGGTTTTTGATTTCTTTATTATGGGTGAGCAGGTTAACATTACGACACAGCAGGCATCTTAGACATATAAAATATTTATAACAATATTGATGATAAATTAAGTGCTTCCTTATGACAGTAATAAACCTTTTGTTATTGATGTGATGGTGTTTTTGAAGTATTTTTCACACTGAACTTCATGGTAGAATTCATTAACCAACAGGATGTCCAAGAATTTATGACCCTGCTGTTTCCTAGAAACTTTTCAAGAGCTTGGTAGTGGTTAACCATTCATAAAATATTATGCAGTTTTAAGTGATTGACATTCATGTACTTTAATGTACTTTATGGACACAACCAACCCCCCTCAAAGAAATGTGATTTTTGTTGTGATGACACTGCAATAATAAGTAAATGCAACTGTCTCTTAAACAAATTTGTGGTTTCCTTAGATCCTTTGATTGGGGTACTTTTGGTTAATGTTTTACTTTTGCAGGTTTAATCTTTCCATGTTGTGCAAATATTTTGAGCATGTCCATAGTAATTTAGTAAAACATCTTGTATCTTTTAATAAAACATAGTTCTGGGATGTTGTAAAAGTCTCAGTATTGGAGGAGCACATATGCAAAGGGGCACTATGTCTCAGAAAAGGGACACTTTTCCCGAAGTTTCAAGAAAGGCCCTTCAATGAAAAGCAGTGTTTTCCAAAAATTAGGTGACACATGCTCCTGTCCTCCCTCTGTTTGTGATATTTTTGTGAATTTACCACATCCCAATAAACATCAGTATTTTGTAAGTGCCTTGCTTTGTGCCTGTCCACTGGGACCCTTCACATTGGTGAGTACCTCCCACTTTAAGAACACACCAGAAAATGCATGTTTTGTATTGCATTTGAAGCTGAGGTCTTTTTTATGGAAGATGTTTTGAAAAAGATCCTTTAGACTCTGGAATTTATAGAATTTATTGTTATAAATTAATTTATAGTTCACAAAACTGCAATTTTCTTGCATGATTATGCAAAATTAAAAAAGGAAAACCTGTCTTGAAGAAGTTGTTTACCACTAGTGCTAATTGATAATTATGATGGGATGTCTCAATTGGGATGTACTAGATTTCAATTGGTCACTTATTTTGAAATATATAGCAAGGAATAATCTCAAAATTTTGCATTGTAGAAAATTGGCACTTTCTATATTGGACCCAGTTTATAATCAGGGATCTATGTTAAACAGGCATACAACCACAATGTGTAATTTATTAATTTTTATAAAGGTGACAACTCATTTCCGTGTTATCCTTTCAGAGGTATTATGCAGCTTTTGGTATTTTTTTCATGCCTAAATCTGTGCCATTATTGCCATTCAGTATATGATGCATATACATCATAAGGCAGTTATACCCCAACTTTATTTGTTCTTTAGCTATTTTTTTACATGAATATCAAGAGATGCCTGAGATAATCTTTGGATTATGAACTATAAACCAGGTAGAATATGTATTTAGGAAGAGACGGTTATTTAAAAGTGGAGATGGGGCTGAAGTTGCTAATCTTTTTGGATGAGCTCTCTGTCCTCAACCGTATGAAATTACTTGGAATCGCAGACACACCTTTCCGTATTCTTTTGTCTAGGTCTTAGGGCAATTTAGGCAAGTGATTATGTTCAGACGTTTTCGGAAACACCTCTGAGGAATCTGAAATATTTCCTAGCAGGTCAACCTTGTCAAAGCATGGTCATACGGCGATTATGTTGCTAGGGGAGATTTTACTTTATGCTTGACACCATGTCCAGAAATATGCAGAAATATATGATGGCCTACACATATTTTTTTATAAGAAACTAAGGTCTGGTGCTGCTAGGCAGTTTCTTAAATTTTCTGGCCATTTTGCTATCAAAAGTTTCTACATGTTTCTTATATTTCTTAGGTAATGAATTTTTTAAATGTGCTTCCAACGTAAAGTAATTAGTTCACACACATTCAGAGATAAACTAACAAAGTCATCAAGGAATTTTGTTTTCTAACTCTCTCGAGTTATGTAAACTTCATCAATGTCAAGTTGCAGTCAAAACAAATTTTTAATTGGAAACTTCTTGAGTGTGCAATTTACTGATAATGAATGCAAACTGCATGTCAATGGTAGTGTTGCAATATATAGTGATGTTCAATGTCAAGACTGTTTCGAGTGTCAATTTGGAGAGTTTCTTAGCTTTTTTCAATTTGGGTAGGGTTGTTTCCTAACTTTCGAAAAATTGAGTTTCTTATAACCTGTTTCTTAAAAAAAATGTAATATTTCTGACTGATATAGTGTTTTGGAGAATACCGGGAGAGGAGACAACAGTTCCTGATTATCCCTGTCTATTACTGTAATTGATCACGGCCTTCGCGAATGTAGTGTTTAAACATTGCATATGTGCGTTTAGATATCAATTTATAACAATCAATCAACTATCCACGAGTTTAGTGTATTCATAAAGGTATTTATAAGCGTACCCAGTGGGCGACTTTTGTGGTATAAAAATCTGTCACCCGTAGAGAAAACCGCTTAAAATACGATCTCTTGCAGTTTAGCATTGAGTTCCTGAATTAAAAGGAAACGTATTTCTTGTTTTTCTGGATACCTTTTCAGCAGTAATCTAATAATCATACAGCATGAGAATCACAGCTATTCTATTGGCAGAAAATCGTGAAAGGAACAAGGATTTTGGGATATTTTACTTTTGCCAGCACGCAGTGCTTAATCGGGCAAAGAAACGCCATTCTTAATTTGTTTGGTTCGCCAGTATCGTTTTGATTATAGTCAGGTGTTGTTACATAAACAAGTTATGTACTTATTGTTAATGTAAAGGGTTCTATAATTTTCATTTATAATTGAGATGTAATATTTAGGAGAGTTGTTAACCCAATTGACCCCGAGCCCATGATTGCAAATTCTACCCACCCCCTCCTACCAATCTAATACAAATTTTTCTTTCACCTTTCACATTTTTCTGCCCCCCCCCACCCTGAACAAAATATGTTCGCCGGCCTTGTTAAACAGGATCAGAAAGATCAGAATGTATTCCCGTATATGGGAGGATCGGAAGCCAGAAATGATGGCGGCTATACAGTTAACTACGGCGAAGAAGGCCAGTGAATACATAAAGAAACTAAAATGCCCTCCCCAAACCCCCTTGTTTTCATTGCTTTCTAGAATGGTTTTTAAGAGCTTGAGGGTATTGTCCGGGGGAGAGATGGGCATTTTTCTTGGCTATAATTTTTATATTTTTTTTAATGATGGATTTAAAATTATAATTTTTTAATAATGGAGAGATGGGCATTTTTAAGGGAACATAATTTTTTTATCCAGGTATCAAGCAACTGCAATCCATTTTGACGAAGGTATGTCTGATGCTTGGCGTTGAAATACACACGGGTGTTGAGTATAAGGATCTCATTGAACCGACGCAAGATCATGGGTGGAAAGCGCAGTTTTCTCCTTACAAAGAAAGGCTGGACAAGTTCGTCTTTGATGTTGTTGTTGGAGCTGATGGAAAGAAGGACATGCTTCCTGGGTTTCGCCAAATTGAAATGCGGGGTAAGAAATTTCAAAATTTTGCATTTAAGCTTAAGGATGCGTCATTTAAAACGAAAGTTGTTTGTTAGAAAAAGTTTAAGTTTCCAAAGAAGTTATTTTTGATATTTATCTCTTCAATTCGGCAATAGATTAGATCCTTTAAAAATTCATACAGAGGTCAATGTTTGTTTAATTCGACTCTTGTTGTAATATATTGGTACAAATGAATTTTAACCTTTATATTGTATTTTTAAGGTGCACTAGCTATTGGAATCACGTGCAATTTTGTGAATGAAAATACGATGGCAGAAGCTGGAGTGGAAGAAATCAGTGGGGTCGCGTATCAATTTAACCCTCAGTTTTTTAACGATCTCAATGCGCAATTTGGTGTTGGATTGGAGAATATTGTTTATTACAAAGATGATACCCACTATTTCGTCTTCACTGCATTAAAATCAAGTTTGTTGAAAAGAAATGTTTTTAAGCAGGTAGGAGCTAAATCAGAGTAATTTATTTTATTTTTCTCTTCTATGCTGCTTATCTGTTTCATGATAAAAGTACAAATTGCAATATGAATAAGATCCACGAATTTGCATTGCGATTTTTACAAAATGATTTCCGACAAAACCCTGAAGAGTTGTTGACAGAAATAATTCGGTCATCAATGCTTGGGACATGATGTGTTACGATTCGACCAACTTCCAACATCCTTTTCTTCTAGGACTTCTCGGATCCTGGGAAGTTGTTAGAGAAGCAGAACATAGACCTCGATCAGCTGATTCAATTCGCATTGGATACTGTTCACTATGCAACTAAATACCAACTGCCACAAGACTTGAAGCTCGTGCAAAATGCTAACGGCACTCCGGATATTGCAGTCTTTGATTTTACGTCATTGAAAAAGGCCGCGAACGCGTCTCGAATTGTGGAGAGGAAAGGGAAGCGTCTGCTAATGGCTTTGGTGGGAGACAGCTTGTTGGAGGTAATACTTCCCCAAGGAGTTTTATCGTAGATCTTACAATAATGCGCTATATTTCTTTTAAGATGCTTAAAAGATGCTTTGACGTTCCTTAGATAGGCTAAGATTTTGTGTAGGTGATTGTTCTCTGTTATATCATTTCATAGATCTAAAAATGATAGTCCTCATTCTAGCTCGAAAGATACTATCACAACTTAATATCAGTAAACAACGCTAAACTCCAGTGTCAAAATCACAATAAACATATTAAAAACCGATTGAAATAGCATACCAAAATATTGACTAATTAAATTTGATTCCGATTAAGATTATTTCAATGGTGAATGTCTGGTAGCCGTGTGAATTTTTCGCTTTGATTCCCTGAAAAATGTAATATTTCTTGTTGACGAATCCGTTTGTCAATCGACCAATTTGTCGTTGCATTGCTTCAGTAATTAGATAAAGACTTATGCACATTAAGTGGATACATCCTTTTATTAGAATTATATTTCAACATGTGCCATCAAAAACTGTTTATTTATTAAAAATTATACTATATGTTGTTCATCCAGCGGAATATCATCGTATCTCTAATTTATCTGTATTGATATCTGTGTGATATTGTCATATTATATTGCTTATGTCCGTTTATTGTCATTATATCATTTTGATATCTATACGATAATACCGTTTTGATATCCCTTTTATATCTGTTTGATATTGCCATGTTGTTTTTATAATTATCTGTTTTATATTGTCATACTATTTGCTTTATGTCCATTTATTGTAATTATATCATTTTGATATCTATACGATAATACCGTTTTGATATCCTTTTGATATCTGTTTGATATTGCCATGTTATTTTTAAAAATATATATGTTTTATATTGTCATACTATTTTAATATATATCGGTCTATTATTTCTATCTAATTTTGATGCTTTATATGATAGCATTTTGATATATATTTTTTTGATATCGTCATCCAGTTTTGATATCTGTTTGATATATTACTACTATATCTTTTCAGCCATTTTGGCCTACTGGATCTGGCTGTGGCCGAGGTGTCCTCACTGCGCTTGATACAGCTTGGATGATTCGGTTATTGGGCATTAAGATGTCACCCCTTGCCGTTCTCAGAGAGAGAGAGAATGTTTTCAAACTTCTACCGGGAACTGATTCGAACAACCTGCAAAAGAACCACAAGGCGTTTACTATAAATCCGTCCACGAGGTATTCGAACCTAAACCAGGTGCAGTCGGTCAATGCTGCCTCTTTAAAGAAGCTTTATGATACTGACGACCCTGAAAATGCAGACTATAGTCTCCCAGACTCTGTTGCTCCATCAAAGTTCGAAATCGGTCGCGCTGCTACAATGCCGCCTCCACGTACTAGAAGAAAATCTGGTGAGGTCTTTTGATAAAATATAAACTCTATCTAGAGATACTGATTTCGATATGCAAACTATCAAAATAGGAGCAATCCCATTTGCTTATATATTTATCTTGTAATTCCAGAGAATAGCAAACGAGAGAGTGTTAGAATGGGGGATGTAATAGGACTGGACGCTAGTCTACATCACTATGTTAATTTATGTTGCTTGTGTTTAGTATGTATTGTTGTAATTATTTTACGATCATTAGTCAATTTCCAGTCTTAGCACGAGTTGCACGCTATCGTCTTCGCTTCTTACCGTATACGACTACTCCTAAGTTACAGCTAACCTTAACCTGTAACAGGGAGTGGTGGGGGGGGGGGGCAGTGGAGGCTGTAATGGTAGTATTTTCGGCCGAAGTTTGGAAAATTTTCAAGCCAATATAAGCTAAATTTACACATCCCTTAGAATTTAAAACTTGTTTATTTTTTGTAAAAGCGCAATATGTTTCATATTTCATTTTACCTGAGGTACACCTTTACTGAATATTTACTTCTTTATTGCAGCGAGTACTATCTAAGTATTTCTAAAAACCTTTTTATTTTGAATGACAGGTGGCAAGAGGCGTTTAAGCACCTCAGCGAACAAGAGAAGATCTGACAGGACCACGTTAAGGGAAGCCAGACATGTCTCAAAAACAATGGCAATGTGGGAGAACAAGGTCTGTAACTATAGTGTGAATTGTGCTATACTGCTTGTGTTTCCCGTATTCATTATGATTCTCGTTTTATATGAGAAACTAAGAAACGGGGCAGAAGAGATAGGATGATTATTAAGCTCATGCTTTGTTGTCATATTCAATCAGTGCCGCGATCAGCAGCGGGTTTTCGGGGCTGCGGGGACCGAGGCCAAAAATATCTGGGAGGCCCTTGTTCTTTATGATTTCTATCTTTTTTCTTAGGTGTGGGGTCTCATTTTGGCAACCATTATCGTGGGGCCTGGGGCCATGGCCCCCCTGGACCACCCTTAAAACCGCCACTGGCCACGATGTAGCTCCTTCTAGCGGTGCTATGAAAATTGCTTTAGGTTAGGCCATATTATTTTGTTTCCCGATAATAATGACCGTATCTTTGTTTCAAGATGCCCAAGAAAGCAGAACCTGGAGGGCCTATGAAGAAAACTAAGCCGTCGCACTCTGGGTCTGGATCGTCAAGTTTAGAGAGCGTTTCAGAAAGTGAGCATGAAGAATCTGGTGCGCCTTACCAAAGAGCCAGGGTGCTACGGGTTAGACAGCAAAGCAACGAGGCACTTTCAGACGTTTTCACAGGTAGCAGTGCCGATGAACTGGGAGAAATTGAACGGAAAATGCTGTTACCGGACAATGATAGCGCAATTGAAGGCGCATCTGCTGTGTGTAAAACCTCTGAAGACGCTTCAATGGCAAGCGAACAAGGTAGGGGTGAGAAAGTACATCACAAAGGGGGGATCTTTCGAAGGCTTTTGGGGAAAGGTCATGGCCATCACGACGTACAAAGACGAAAGAGTATAGCTGCCAGAAAATCAATCAGCAAGGCAAGACGAAATAGGCGCAAGTCGGGCGTTGGAAGCCAGTCTAGCCAATCACAGCCTGAAACTGATAACACAGCATTGCTTCCAAAGCATGGCCACGATTCTGTGACAGTTCGAAAGAGACCTCAAAGAGCCCAGGTTGCTGGTGAACAAGGGGAATCGGCATTCAAAGTACCTTCAATACCGGCAGAAAAGACTGACGATACGAAGGTATCCGCAAGAAGCCTTATAGCTGCTGCTGAAGCCAGAGACCAGCAAATGGAGCGTAGAATGGGTGTTGGTAAGAGCGACTCACTCAAGCGGAAGGCTGACGATACATCGGGGGATACAAGGTCAGTAAGGCGTAAATCAATAAAACGTAATTACAGAACAAATAGATCTTTTCTTTTTCGTCGGCAGGTTAGCGTCGCTGCGACGAAAAAGAAGTTGGGTTTGATTTGAAATGAAGTTAGATTCCATGATATGTCGACAGATTAGTCAGTTTTCCACACTGCTTTCCTTGGTTAACCAGTTTGGTTACGGTATTCTGCTGGTTCACTTTAACTGACCTGGTTCGCTAAGGACTACTTTCTTATTTAAAATGTGTTTTAGATCTAGTTTTGCAACACCTTTCAACTCTGCCACGATTACCGCTACTCGTATTCACTAGCTAATCCGCGCGATGTTCTGACTGCGCCGCCGGTATGGTACTGGTCGCTGCGTTGCTCCTTTTTTCTTGCGCTTGCTATGAAGGCTGGGCCTCGTACTGACTCAAGAAGATGAATTGCAACACAATGTCAGTAATTAGCGAAGTAGCAAACAAGAATGCAAAAAAGGAAAATACATTTGAACATCACTTTGAGATGAGACGAAGTGAAAAATACTACACTGTTTCGTTGGAAAGACAATCGTTTGCTGTATTTTCCCAACATTGAAAAGATTTTATATGGATTGCGGAAACAGAGTGAAAATTTGAAGCAAAGTTTTCATGAACGTGCAGCTGACAATGTTGAAATGAATTGCAAAGTCATTATCTGACTGAAAATGGTTATGGAAAGGTTTGCGTAATAACGATAAATCGATATCATGAGTTGAGGTTGTCCTTCTTTTTATAATCATTGCTATCTGTTGGTTACCATAACACCCCAATTCAGTTGCTGGCTTTCTTTTAGAATTCGTTTTGAACTTTAATTTAGATTCTGCCCAGAGATGTAATTTGAAAACACGTTTCAAATTTGAGCCACTAAAAACATTAAGTTGGTTGAAATTTTTGGGTGAAACTAGACAATGAATAACTTTTTTCAAAAGTTGATCAGTATCCTTATTGCCATAAACAGTTCCTAAACCCTAAATTCACGATAACATGTCACTAGCTCCTATTTTGCACAATGAATCTTTAAACAATGTATAGATAATGCATTTGACTGACTTGGCGTATTTACGTGTGCAGTGACTAAATATCAGATCATCATCTCTATGTAATTTTGTACGTTAGTTAGGTATTTTATTATTAAGTTATTTTTATACATGGACGGATGATTTTTACAGTCTCTCTAGTCTTTCGTTAAAATTCTCTTTGATCAGAGTTGCGCAGAAATAGGTAATAATCTATAGTCTTGCTTAATTGTAATTTTCAAGATATTCTCGAATGTGTTTGTCCCCAGCAAAAGTCCCCAGCACGATAAAATGTCGTGAATCGTTATGTTTTGTTATAAGATCAGATTAAATTAACCAAACAGGTTGGTTTTTAACTGAAGGACAACCTCAGATTGTTATTGTACGAATACGAGGGTAGATTTGGCAGAGTTGAAAGGAGGTCAGTTCTCATAGCGGACCGGACGTTTAAAATGTTGCTTTATGAACTTAGATCTTATGTATGAAATACAGTTTTATTTGACAAGAAAAGCCATATTTGACAAGAATTACCTATAATCTCCCTGAAGAACATAGGTCCTATTGTCATGCAAATAAGTCAATAAATCTTTTAGAATTAAAGGGGCTTGGGTACACGATTCAACTTTGTTTGCTAAGCACAAATATTGTCAAAATGAGAACCTTTCTCTGCCAAATCTAATCCTAGACTAATGTAGGCATAAGATGATTCGTTGTTGGACTTATAACAAAAGTAGGAGGCTCTTTGAATAGTGTTGTTGGATTTGATGTAAAATCAAATGCAAAAGATTCACAATGAGTTGAATAGTACTAGTATCCTCTAGGCACCTTCAATGCTTGTCAAAAAGTTCTATTCGTATGCTTCACCATTTTCTGTGTTCGCTCAAGATCGCTATCATCCTAACCTCATAGTAGGAAGTTACTTTTTCTTAATAGTACGTCTGAAAAGTGACGTCATTTTATGAAAAATAAAATAATTGCTTTTAAGATCAAAGAGAAGTTCTTTCACAATAATGTTAGGAGAAACAACTTCCCAGCCGCCTTTTATTCCCCCACCAAACCGAGCCCAACCTCTAGTTCCACTAATAGTCCAGCCATTTTACCGATTCTTTTTTCTTTTGAGTTTGATTCAGTTAAAACGATTGTAGTGTTTTCAACTTTCGATTCTTTTAAACGTTGTGTTAAAAATTAGAAACAGATCTGTTAATAGTGTAATTAAAGTTCAAAACATTGTAGATATTGTAACAATACCAGTATTAAACAGCGTAGTAGTTGTAAAACGAGTTTTTTATTTGTTAATTAAATTCAAAATATTTTCATTGGAGAATTGTTTCTTTGACTTTTGGTTTCTATTCCACCTGAAAATTTTAGGAAGTTGTGTTCTTGAGAATTTTATTCAGACATGGAAAATACCACAGTATTTGTTATTGATTGTTCTTGGGGTAAAAGTTCCCGCTCATTTCGTCTTTCCAAAACGAACTAGCACTGTAAATTAATCAGATTTTCGAAATTTAGTTCGCAGTCAATCTCGATGATTTCTTGTTTCTGCTTATTGCGTTGTTAGCACATTCATTACAAGATTGCGTCTGCCCTTATGCGCCAGTTGCGATGCGCTTACGACGCAGACGGTCAACTGTAACTAGACATTCAAAACGATTTTCTGCTAGATTTACCCACCCAATATTGTATTGTAGTGTATCTTTCTTCAGATTCTCAGCTATTGTTTCTTCGGGAATTATGTTTGGAGCTAAGACCAGCTCATACTTTGCCTAAAGCGATCTCTACGTTGGCTATCCCTTTGTTAAAACTTCCTCGCGTGAATTTTTGAGTTGCTAGATTTGAAAAAATTGGAGTGGCCTAGCCATGGAGTACTATTATGAGAGTAGAATCGAGAAGGAGACCTATTCGTTTGAAAGATCTGATGTCTCGAGGTATGAAATTCTGTAGGGTGAGAACCCCCGTGGTTATGTTGTAATGATGAAATATCATGTTTATGTTTTTGCTCGACAAGCGCCGCAGAAGTTCCGAAATCTCGATCAAGGATTTACCGTGTTTTCTCATAATTCGTTGAGATATTTCACATATAACTCTTATATACAGAACTCTTGTTTTATGATATCATTTAGTATTTTCCAATAGCCTCTTGTGATTTGGTTTTTGCGGCCATAAGTCTTCAGAAACTTTAACCACTTTCTGTATGCGATCTTTTAAAAATTGTATCAGAATTTTTGTAACATTTATTGCCAAAAGGTTGCAGCTATTAGCTGGCTTCTTTGAAACAGAAATACAATGCACCCACGGTCTTATGCATTACCCTCGTTTCATTAAATCAAGTCTCGCTTTCATGGTGGTTGTGATTGAAACATTTCGTGAATATTTAATTGACAGCGTTAAGTTTTTTAGTATTCTCTTGAGTGAAGATGATGACTCACAAATGACGTCTTTCTCTCTCATGTCTTCTATCATTTCCCACCTTTTTGTAATGAATTTCGGCTTCTAATTTGTTTCATTTTAGTGGGTATTTTTACAAAAACAGTGTCCAACGGTCGACGGAAAGACATTTTTCTTTCTCAACAAAGCATTTGATGCAGCTTTTATCGTAGGATAGATCTGAAATATAATTTTGTCTGAAGCAAAACTCTATCGTTCTACCTTCATTCATTTCACAACCTAAATGAAAACTAGCAAAAGCTGATTTCTATCAAGATACATAAACATATAATGCTCTCACTTCCAACAGCGAAAATAAAGTATAAACGATTGTCAGGTGTTTGAAGGCTTGAGTTTACGTTGACTAAATATGGACAGGAACATGGAAAAATCTGTTTATCAAGGGATGTCCACCGTTTTCAAATGGAGCATTCTGTGATTAGAAACAAGCTAACCATAACTTTGTTTTCTTTTCTGTAAACTGGTTTTGGTTGCATGTCGTCACAGAGGCAAAGGTTTTTGTAATTTGCAATATTGCTTTGGCTCTTTGATTTTTAAGAGTATGTATCGCTGTGAAGTAGGCCTCAAAAGCAAAGGTATTTCCACGTCCAAAGTGGTCTTTTAGTTGCAATTGTTAATTTTTTTAACCCAAACATGTTGCCATTTGTATAACATCTATTCCTTATCACATAATTAGAATTTCTGCTACACATTCCATGTTCCATGTTTTTTCATTTCTAAATCTTAAATTGCGTATATTTCAAAGATGTATTTACTCTTCGGATAATATCATTTCTATCCATTCTGTTGTTAGCTATTCTTTTACATTTTGCTCCATTCTGTTTCTCTTGCTTGCATACCTGCTTTTAAGGTGGTTATTATCTATTGTTTGAGTTATATTCTGTTTCTTATATTCTAACAAATCCACCGCCACCTTAATCATAATGATCAATCATCTATCACAAATCATCGATCACCAGTCAACAATCACAATTCCCCAAAGGCTGTGTTTTATTGCCACAAAGTGTGGAATCAGCTATTGGGACCTCATATTCGACCTATAACCAACTTGATAATCCATGGGAAGCCAAAAAAAAATTATTTTTATTTCTTGATTAAGAGTATATATATCTTGCATTCGGTGATTTAATTTCATTGTAACATATCTTATATTACCCAGGCAGAGGTTTTATTTCTGGAATGAGTTTCTTACGTATACGTTTTGATTTGCTCATTATTTCTCCAGATTTTCTATGTATCCTAGCTTTCTAGAAGATACTGGTTTTATTTCACAACGAATTGTTTCAGAATGGTTTCTGTTTCATTATAGCAATGAAAGTGTTCCTTGGACCCATTGTTTACCTGCTGTAGAGCCATTCTTGCAGAAGGAGGGACAGAAGAAAGATGATGCACAACCTGTAAAACACGCTTCTCAACTAGCAGGATTGCTTCTCCTTTCTGTGCCACTGTTGTTGCCTTGTCGAACCAGATTGGTTGGTAAACATTCAAGTATGCTTGCTGAAAAACGAAACACCCTCTTTCGCTCTTCTGTCGAGAAAAGGGAGACAAGAAAGGTACGTTTTTGCTTTTGTTTATCAGTAAAGGCCAAGATGTTTCTAGAAAACCTCACTACTCCTTTTAAAACAAAGTATCGCTCGCTCTTCTTATCTGTTGCACATTAACAGCTTTGAAACACGAATTTTGCCTCCGTGCACAGATTTGATTGCACCCAATTGAGTTCCCATCTGAAATTAAGTCTTCTATACAGATACGGTTTGCCTTCCCCCCCCCCCCGATAATTCAGCATGTTTTCCTTTTTCCGGCGTTCAAAAAGGGTTGAACTGTTACGATCACTGGGTCCTTTTTGAAATCATGACCTGACCAAACCTCACCAAACTTAACCAAACTTCATCAAACCTCACAAAACCTCACCAATTCTCACCAAACCTCACCAAACCTCACCAAACCTCACCAAACCTCACCAAACCTCACCAAACCTCACCAAACCTCACCAAATCTCACCAGTGTGGTTTAACGTGTTGTACGTTGATGAATAATGACCAAAGTTTAATGCAATTAAATATCGACTTTATACATTTGAAAGTTAAATACGATTGATACGTTGGGAGCAAAGCTCTCGCTTCTACAGTTCTCGACCCTCTCTTTTTAATCGACCCTCTTTTTCGTTAAGGCATTGGACAAGAAGACAGGGCCCTTTAGAATGAAGAACCTTTTACCATTGATGGGTATTAAGTTAACAAAATGCCTCAAGATTTCTTCTTTGTTTATAGCTCTACTTCTTCTGTTTAGATTTCTATGACTCGTGCTGGCAGTGTACAGCGAGCTGTGGCTCAGATTAAAACAAAATTGGAGCAAGACACATCAACGTCGAATTATGCAGATTTTAAACGTAACAGGTCATCGGGAAGTTTTAAAAGGGATTCGCTTCATTCTAGTGGCAAGACGTAAGTGCAGCCAACTTTCTTCTTGATTTGGTTGTCATCGCATTCACATCTGAATTTAACGTAACTAGTCAAAATTTTAGAGCCTCTTTGACTAAAGGAAAAACAAAGGGACCGGTAATTTGTTTAGGCTTTTTTTTCGATCAAAAAATGCGAATTTTATATTCAAAATACAAGTTCTACAATTTCTTCAAGTAACGTGACGTCAGTAGTTTGCGTCTCTCCGAGGCCATACCATCTTACGTCAAATTTCCACCAGGTGCTGTGATGGCCGAGTGGTTAAGGCGTTGGACTTGAAATCCAATGGGATATTCCCGCGCAGGTTCGAACCCTGCTCGCAGCGTTCTTTTACTTTTTGTACCCTTGGAAAGTTTGGGTTTCGAGATTTAGAGGCATATGTAATTGTGAACATTCATGTAGAAAAATTTACCACGATTTGAATTTTGTGCAGAAAAGAAGAATTTTGCTCCAGAAACATTTACTGAAACAGTCCAAAAATTTCATCAAAATTTCAATGTTGTTTACCGCAGTATTATCTTGGAAATTGCAGTGAAACACAAAAAGGCAAAATACTATCGAGTTCTTATTTAAAAAATTTAAAACAAATCCCCAACATTGCGTTACTTAACTGAAATTGCGTTATGTTTTAAGCTTTTATAGATCGCGTTTTTTAGTTTTTATCGAGCTAGCAAACCACCTTCCTAACCATGCAAACCCTCCTACTTCCTTACCTTATCGAGCAAACCTTCCTATTCATGCAAATATCGAAATATCTGTTTAAAATAAAACTTACTGTTGAACTTTTCCTACAGGCTAACGAAATTTATTGCATATTTAATGGTCTAACTTCTTTCAAGTTTATGTTATTAGTTCCCAGGTTTCTTTGATATTTGATTTCTGTTTCCTCCCAGTGAATCCTAAAATTAAATATCAAATTGTTTTTCTATTTTATATAAACCTCATAAGATAATATCCCCTCAACAGCTTTCTTCTACATTTTTTCATGCATTAATCAGTTATAACATTGCTTCCACCTAAGTTTAGATTCAACTAACCTAACTTGCATTTGTTTAGAATAACCTACCTTTTGCTACTTTTCCTTAACTTGAGTCGCATAACCCAGCCTTCCCTTAGATTGCTCACTATTCTTTTACTTCATCTCACTATATTTTTATCAAGTACCCTAACCTTATTTTGCTATAACTCACCGTATCCTTTCATTCCTGTCCTCACACAACAACACCTTACCTTGCATGTTGACTGCATGAAGAAACGCAAGATCTCACATCCATGCAGTTTTGCTTTCATTTGTATCATTGCTGTCACAGTGCAGTTGGTCGACAAATTCTTACTTACTGTACTTCCTATTATCTAACCCTTCTCCAGTGCTATTCTACCATGAATCCCCTTACCTTATTTGCTTTTCAACCATACTTTCTGATTTTCATTACAGTTCACCGTTTCTGTCACAATCAGTTGAGGAGACTCAGTCGTCACCACTAGACGTTTCCCTGAATACAGATGAATACGAAATCATCGAGGTGAAGAGCGCTGTCTTTCAGCCTAAAGAGGTAATAGATTTGAATGTTGTTGATGAGCACGATACCGAGGAAAATAAATACGTTATAATAAGACTGACAAAAAAAGTAGTGCGAGCCCTGGTCTGCATATTCGTCTCAATAGCAGTCATGTTGGTCGTTGTTGCGCTAAGCGTTCATTATATGTTTACATGAAGCTCGAGCTGCTGTTTCCAGGCCTTGATTTTGTCTAAAGTGGAAGCTAGCAGCGAGAGCAAGGTTTTAAGCGAGCTCATCCTCTGTACCAGCTTTAGGCGTGTCTTTTAATTGATTGGAATTAAAAAGTAAAGGGATAATTCCTAGTAGTTCTGACCGCAGTTTGTGTCATCCCGTGCAGGTCTCAGACGGGATACAAAATTTTTCAAAAGCCTAAAGCTGTACGTGAGGCAGATTTGCTTTGATGCTTGCAACACCAACATGCCAAATGTCAATGCAGAACTACAATATAACTACACCGTTCAATTGCTTATATCTTTGAAAACTTTTTCTTTATCCATCTCAAATTTATGTAACGTATTCTACAAGCTGAAGTTTTTTTGAAGGCGCCTAGATTTCATGGCAAGGTAGCAAGGGCCTACTTTTTGGACTAAACGTATGTAATTGGGTCTATATTGAAAAAAATGGTATATTAAACTTTTCGACTAACCGGATACAGGCTTGTCCTCCAACACAGCACGTCTTGTCTGCTATTAGTTTTAGCTATTGGTTTATTATTTTCTATATATGTCTATTAGTCTTATAAATTCCAGTCTATTGAAAGTTGAACTGTTGTCGATTTTGGTGTGTTTTGCAATTGGTTTATTTGGCTTGATGGTGTTGCTTGGTAATTTTAAGTTTTGGATTTATTTGCAGAATTTTTTCTACAGAATGTAGAATTTTGTAGAGTTCTTGCATAATAAGTAATACTTATTAATACGAAATAGTAATTTATTATTTTGAAATGTTCAAGCTTTTTTAATCGAGTTACGCAAGTTTCTTATTTTCGTTGTTGTAAATGGTTCGACAGTTTGTGTCACTTATGTAAGATGTGCTTAATGAATACAAAAGTTCCCTGCTTAGCTTTCCATTCCAACTCAAATTCGTTTTTAACCTTTTTTTCATCAATGATCTCTTTTTGAGTTTTCTTTATTTTTACCCTTTGTTATTAATCCCTTATGCCCAGTAACAAAATTATGGTTCAATTCGATATTTTAGAATATAAGAGCTTCTCCAGTCTCAATCTCAGCTAAATATACTGGCTGTTTGTCGACTTAATTCAAATCTTTGTATAACAATCTTCCACTTCAACGAAAGGATTTAATCAGGGGTGTATTGCTATCAAAATAATAAGGGGGGCTTTTGCCCCAACATGTAGCAAAAGCAATAGCGTAAAAAGAAAAAATTAGAAATTGGTCACTTTTTCGGCATTAACAAGAGGGGTTCAGCCCCTCCACCCTATGTGCCTCCTAACATTACACCGCTGAGTAATCCTGTTCGAGAGAGGGACATATTAACTATATTAAAAGTATTTTATATCCTAACATTTGATAGAAACAAACATTGTTTTAAGGGTTTTTCAGTTATTTCAGGTCAGCGTTTTTACACTATAGTGTTATTTCGGATCAATGATCCATAAGAATTTATCTCTAAGTATAGTTAATTGAATTACTCTTAGCATAATCGTTTTATGCTTTTTTCCCAACCCTGATCTTGTTTATTAGTTTCACCATATTACAATTTTCAAATGTTACAAAAAAATTCATTGTTCTCCAAGAACTTTGTGATGTGTAAATTTTAGTCGTTATTCTAGTAAGTAAGTTCTAGTTCTTTAGTCTAGTAAGTTCTAGTTCTTTCTTAATGTAGAGTGATTGCCTTCCAGGTAATACTTATATAAAATTAGCGAATTTCCATTTTGAAAGATGTATTCATTTTAACATGATTATCAAAATAGCTAGAATTACATTACTTATGACCATAAGATTTTGTAGAACATGCAAGTGTACTGATCTACCTCTTAGTTATAACAATTTAAAGGTGCAGCTTTTTTGTGTGAGTGTGTTTATGGGAGTTTTGGATTGCCAGTTTCGCTTAGCGTATAGTGTTTCTGATTTAATGTTTGTTATTAGATGGGTTTTTGTAATGTATGCGATGTTCGATAACTTATATATGAATTTTACAGTAAATGTTTGATATTTTGTATGTACAGATGCTTTCATACCTGTCAAATGTAGCGAGGGACAAATCAATCCATAGAAATCTAGTACTCTTTTGGTCAAAATCCCATTGTTTTATCTGAAAATCCCTAAAAGTCCTTTGTTTTGGTAGAAATATCTTAGAATTAGAAGAGTTAACTGCCCTTCGAGCTCTTTTTGCTGTTTTTTTCGTAGAAACTATTTTCCAACAAAAAGAGTCCTTGGTCCCTGTAGATTTTTTTATGTATCTGAAATCCTAACCAGTCTATTTTGTGAAATGTCATTATTACTGATCTTGAGTCATAGTTTCTGTTGACTAGGAACCTGATTAACTCCAATGATCATTAAATTGATAGCTCCTGAGTTTTAATAACTGCAGTTAAAATGAGTTTTTCTTCTGAACCGTGAATTTGCAGCAAAGGGTATTACCCACAGTACAAAGGGTATGAAAGCATCTTTGAGCATTTTATATAGCTTTGTAAGTCAGTAAAACAGATTTGTCTTCGTTTTTGTATGGATTGAATCCTAGGCTGTAAGCATTCTGATAAAATTAATAGGTATGGTAAATAGGTATGATAATTCTCGCTGAGTAATGAAATCAATTCATAGAGCAAGTAATGAACACAACAGAAATGTTTCATTCAACCAGACATGTTTGAAACAAAAAGGAATTATATGTAGTTTTTTGCAATTGTTGGTATGATTTGTAACTGGATAAAATTTTGTGACTGCTCAGGCCTACTACCAAGTGCATCTTTTCATTGCTACCACCAACAGATTTTTATGTTACGCAGTTTCTCGGTACTTGTTACGTTACTCTTGGAAATTTTGTTCCAAATCATGCTTCATAGTATTTTTGTATTGGTGGCGCATTTGATTAAATTCCTTTCATAAATAAAGAGTTTTTTTCGTTGTGAACTATTTGCTTGTTAGCTTGGCTTTTTACTGTGTTTTAAGTTGGAGGACCAGCCTGTAAAAACTATTACTAATGTGCCAAATTAGTATTTATTCGCAGTGTCATATCGAGGGAGGAAAGCTAGGGGTAGACTTGCCTCATTCTTGCTTTACAAGGAAATTTATTTTTCCAATGCGTCCATCTCCATGAAAGATGTGCAGGGGACTGGGATAATCAGTTTTGGTATGACCACACCCGACAGACTCGCTAACTCTGTGATGCAACTCTGCTATATTTTGATAAAAACATATAGTTTCGATTTTCCTCGCAAAACCTTTTTATTCACCCATTGATTTTTCCTAATAAAGCACCAATGCGGCGTTTATAAGACGGGAGTTTGCGTTGGAATTTGCAATGTAGGCTATAGTAAGGCGTTTATTTGCAGCTAGAGATTTATCGCACTGATTCGACCGTATTCCTGGAATCCTAGCAACGAACGAAAACGTGTATTTTGCTAGTGAATAAAACCATTCAAAATTTGAGGATCACATAACAAAGAATTGGTATTTGCAAATATCCGGGATCCTTTGTTTGAAGTACAAAAGACGGCAGTAGTGAAGGATTTTATTGCATGTTGACAAGCAAAACGTGGGCAGTACATCGCCGAAAAAAGGATTGTTCCTGGCATGTAATGCCCATAGATGGAATAACATGGCAATGTGATAGCAAAACTGAACCCCAGAAAGCATAGGTAAAAGCGGGAAATACCAAGAAGGCTTGAAATGTATGTATAATCCTTCATTGAAACAAAACTGTGTATCGTTTTCGTGTGCATCTGCTTCTTTTCTTTTTGGCCTAAATAAATGCAACCTTCCTACTTGTTTCGATTCACGAGTGTTTTGAAAGCAGTTTTACGATTCTCTTGTTTCCCAGAAATATAATTGCAATAAAAACGTTTAGATACTGCTTCTCATAAAATCGTATCGTATTATTGCAAAGCAGTAGTGCTCACTGAAAAACCTCTTTACGTTTGCAAAGCGCTTTGAGCCAGCTTTCCACAGTTGAGTTGTATCGCTTTAAAACGAGTTAAGAATTTTTTACGTAATGACCCCCTCCTTTTGAAAGAAGTATTATAACCGGGGTGTTGAGGTAGCCCTTTCAGTTTTTTATCTTTTCTCTTTCTTTCATATAAGTTGAGTTTCTTTAAACAGTTTCTAAATTTTAAAGTGTTATTAGTTAGAGCACATATTAATTTAGATTAACTAACAGAAGGTATGATATTTACAATGATAGCTAAAAGAAAATGGTCCAGGGTTTGAGAATGTTTGGTAAAAGGATTCAGTTGTAAGCAAGACAGATTTGAAAGCTGCTGCAAATGTCAGTATAAGCTGATCTGGGAGATCATTTCTCAAAGATGCTACTTACATGAGTGCTTATGCTATATACTTTTTGTCGACCAAAGGCTCCAAGTTCCAAAAAGTGGCTTTCTACCAAATCCACTATCTGCAGAATTACGGGATTTCTGAAATTAGAAATCCGAAATACCGAGTTGCTCCCTCTACCCTGATCAGATGTTCTGCTAAGTTATTGTACTTGGCTTTTTTGCCATCCCATTGAAGCAAAGCATTCCTTTTTGTTGTCTGACTGCATCTACATTTCCAAGATTGTGCGTTTATTTTTCATGTTATTCAATTCTGATGATAAAATGTTAACATTTCTGTTCTTTGTTGATATTCGATCTAGGTTTTTACTTCCTTGTTTCAGAGACAATTCCTATGGCAATTTTTTTCAGCCTTCAAGCAGTTTATTAATATTGTACTTCACGTTTTTCTGCTTCACATTGCATAAGCAAACATTCACCCAAATCACCGATACTTTGGAATTATCGATAGGCCAAAAGTGAAATTGGGTGATCACAGACTGCTTTGAACCAGTATTTGATATCATCTGGTAAATGTACAGCTGATTTATGTATCTTAATTCTGGAAGTTTGAGTAAAGGAAAAGACACACAGTATTTGTAATCGGATTTTCATATATCTTTGATGGATTTCCTGTAGATCCTGAGAATAGTCGACGACTTTGATGTGATATCTGGCAGCGAAGTGAAAATGGAATCATTCGATCAACCAGACTCAGGCAGACCAAAAAAGTTGTTGAAAAAACCCGGACAGCCAAAGACAGAGGGCATTATACGTGATATGTTATCACAGATATGCAGGGGCCAAAGACTCACGTCTGTGCAGATAACCTTGGAAATCTTATGCGGGATTCACAGGTATTGCACAAAATTCGTTTATTGGTTTTCATGTTAAAGAAGTTAAGGGTTTTTAGGCCTGAAGCTAGTAAACACATGTACAAGAGTAATTTCTTCGGGGAAAGGGTCACAGGGGATTGGTTTCTCCCCAATAAAGCCTTCTTAATGTATGCAGCAAAATGTTTTTGAACCAGTTTAAGGTGGGAAACATTACCACATTTTAGTAAAAGCAAGTTTTCAAGAATGCTAACTGCTTGAACCTAATTACCAATGAACATGTTTTTGCAAGAAAAGTCTTAGTAAAATGTGAGTAAATTAACACCTATAGACGTTGTTTTGTCACACTCAAGTCAAAATTAGCAAAGTACAATTTGACATTGTATCGGGAAACAATGTTGTTATTTAAGGAAGCCATTCAGTGGCCAATATTAGAATTATTAGGGTTCAGCTTTAATTTTACCTTCGTGATGGAGAAAGGCAGCTTCTGGCTCTTGATACCTCTCAGAAAAAAGATATAGTTGAATAGACCACTGGAATACCAAGTGTAGGGGCTCTGGTTGTTTAAAGGAATCACTCTCACCGATTTCTTTTCTCGAAGCTCCCTGAAGCTCCCTAAACATTTTTGCTTAGCCCCCCCCCCCCAAGATCCTAGTGGCTGGCGCTGCCATTGCTCCTACCGTCACATTCTGTATTTCAAAATTGTTCAATGCATGTTGCCATTCGAAATAATGCATGTTTGATAAAAATTTGTTCAAAGTCATTACCCTCAGCAGTACTATTAATACTGAAATCAAATGATATTGATCTCATTTCAATATACCACAAGGCTTAAAAGATTTGCTTTACGCTGTATCTTCAAATTGATATCGATCTTTTTAGGTCTATCGCGAATAATCCAGGAGTCGACAAATATTATCGAATTTATACAAAGGGAAAAAACTTTGAGATGTATGTGTGGAATAGTGATATTTGTCGAAAGTTTCTTAAGCACATTGGCTGGGAAGTTGTAAGTGTCTTTCTTCTTAGTTTCATTATGTGCAGTTTGTCATATATAAAGTTGATGTACAACTGTTTTGCAAGGATTTAAAAGTTTGATCACTAGACAGAACAATAAACTTTCTAAGCTTGTAATGCAATCTCTCCAGTTTAGTGTATGAAAGCCTGTAACTGAATACGATGCTAAAGGTCGATATCAAGTTCCCTCTCAAACAGTTGTGTCCCCAGCTATTTGATTAGCGAATGCAATTCATACTGTCCTTACATTTGATCTTATCCTCTTGTTCGACACTATAGCTGCAAGGGAGCGCTTTGCACAACGAATACACTATGGATTAGAAAGAAAATAATCAGTTGGGAGGGAGCTGGGATGTTCAATAGTTATGCTTCAATGGCTTGTTTAAAATACTTTTTTGGTGAATTTGGGGGGGGGGGGAGCGGCCTAAAGCTTCCGCGTGCGTTCCCTTCTTCTTCGAGGCCCTTTCAAAATTAAAACTGATATAATAGCAAGCTCAATGGGGGTGTGGAAACGCTATGGCAAAGTGTTACCCTATGGCCCCCCTTCAATTGTCTGCAAGTAGGCTTACCCTGAAGGGACCTTTTCAAAGTCAGGCCAGTTCTCGCTTCCCACTGTCTAAGATAAAAAACGCTAATTAGCCCATCTGGTTGAATATAGAAATAAACAGAAGATAGGGTGTTGCTCTAGTTGCTGTCTCTTCTTACTCTACTGCATTCCTGACGTGACCTTTAGTTAACAGGAACATGGCTAATCGACGAAGGACGATATAATTTAAAGGGAGAATGAATCTCAACAAACGATTATTAAACCAAGTTAATTAAAATAATACCAGATTGAGTTTTCTTTGGCTGTTTCTATTTCAAGTTTTGTTTTGGATTCATCGGATCTAATCTGAGGAAAACTGTGTTTAAATTATTATTTTCTAAGGAATCAATGCATAAATGCCAGCTTCTTTCGAGATGTTTTCTAAGGAATGATCTCTTTCTCAGTGTGGCAGCTTTATCGTCCTGTCAAAGAGTGTACGTGTACAAGAACCTTTGAAGTTTATTGACGAAGCTAAGAGGTTTGTATTCAGGAGACTGCTCCTTGTTTTTTTCTTATTTTTAACAAAACTTTTACCGTTTACCGTTTACCGGTCCTCCAAACCCATCAGCTTCGTAAAATTTTAAATAATATTTGAAAGTCTCCATGCTCATCCAATTGGGTATGAAGATTCATTACAAAATACTGCTTACTGGGTGAGAGGGTTTATTGGCTATATGGTGTTAAGGGTTTTTAAAAAAAATTATTCGCTATGTTTTTTCAATATAATATTTACAGCGGATGAAATATTCATCCTCTGAAGATCAGGAAAATTGTCTTCTTTAAAATACTGTTTTAGCAATGGCTATTTATTATTTCCCTGTAATTTGCAATTTTGAATACCTCTACGCGAACTGCGCACTTACTTCGCTTCGCATCCGCTGTCGTAATTTACGCATGCATTTGGTCAAGATAATATTGTGAATAACTTTCCACGTTCCTGGTTGGTCTTTGCTAGCTTGCTAGGCCCGATTTGCGGTCATTGCAAACAACTTCACGCTAGGATGATTTTTTTCCATATTGTATTTTTAAAGAGTTTTTGGATGAATTGTTGTTCATAATCGGATAAAGATGTTTGGGTTGAGTAATTGCGTTGAAAGTTGTTTTATCCTTCGAACATTCTTATCTTTCCGCAACAAACATCTTCTCAGATTTTGGTTTAAAAGACCCTTTCGAGTTTATATTAGATTCAAGTTTAGCAAGTTGCTTGTTGTTGCATTTTTCAAAATCCAGCCATCCGTCATACGAAAAAACAGAATAGCATCCATCGAAAAAAATTCTCTATATTCTTGGGCTTTTGTCTTCAATTCACCAGGGGTCGACCCTTCTTGATTAAACACATTGCTTTTGTCAATAAACAAACAAATGATTTAGCATACATTGAGAAAGTTAATAAAAAGAGATTATTAAGCATTTAAACGATGTCTCCATTGGTCTTTTGTTTTATGTTCCTTTGTGCATCTGTTTTCTCAGTGACGTCGAACAATTGCTGAGAAACCGCTCAAAATCAAACACAGGGGAGGCCTCACTCCAGCTTGCAGAATCGGCCATATATTCCGTGCCAAATGGTGGTTCGAAACCTGTTAATAAAGAGGGTAGAGACTCGATCGATGGACTGAGTGCACCACATTCGGCTGACGACTTACCTGATGGTATTAAACAAACAATAAATTGCGCAGGATTTGCACATCAAGCTGGTATCGCAAATGTTGCACATTTGGCTGACAGTTCTGACAGGGAAACTATAGATTCGGATTCGTTGGAGGATCAGGTTGAGTCTTCAGAAGGTTACATCGGAGACGAAGAATATCTTATTGTTGATTTTGCTAAAGAAAAGATACATCTTTTGAATGAAGGTAGTGGCAAGGCTTTAAAGAAGATGGAAGATGAAGTTTATGGTAAAGATGGAAGGCGGAGAAAAAGGAGAAGTTTTGGGAGTAAAGAAGGCAAAGGAATCGAAGATACAGTTTTGGAGACGCGAGTCCCCGTTAGGAGAAGGCTTCAAGAGCGTGGAGCCAGCTATGATTTGGGTCAACATGAACCCGTTGCAGACTCTAAGCTGCAGCCAACAATTTCGAAGAAAAATGCCGGAGGAACTGAGGAAAAATCAAGCGAAGTTGTGTATGATGAAGGAGGAAGGCGAAGGCGTGCAAAAGTTTCTGATCATCGTCCAAATAACTATGAAAAATCGACTGTTTCTTTTACGAAAACAGATATTCCAGAAACAGATGACTCTTACGGCGAACGAGGCAGGCGAAAACGAGACCGTCATGCTACAGAAAAACAACCCCCGTCTACCAAGCCCGCTTTTAGGGGGTCACAAGTGCCCAGTGTATCTCGTGGTACACTCGATACCGCAACAACACACAGCAAAGCTAAGGATAACGAATCAAAACGACTTACTGACAGGGAAAAGAAAGCCTGTGAAATGGATCAAACAGATTTGAGTGAAAACAGATTATTGTGTCCGAATGAGTTGATAAAAGACGATGAAAGTTCACAGGAAAAAGCAAAAACCGACCCAGTTTTCTCGCGACTCGAGGTATTGCGAAGGGAGAGCGACTCGTCTGGAAGCGACAGTGGCAAGAAAAAGAAATTAGTTTTGAAGCGAGGATCCATGAGAAGAAAGAAACAACAAGAATCCGAGCAAAATTCGAACAGTGGTTCATCGGAAACAGACAATAAATCAAATAGTAATAGCTGCAAGCAGGACAACAAAGATAATTCGATGAACAAAATTATGAAGGAAGACAAAATTCAAGGGGATTCAGATGAAACTTTGCACGAGGCACCGGCATCAAAGCCTACTTTGAAGGTTTCAGATTTCTCAAAGGTTTCATTGCAGGAGAATGATAACAAAATTTCAAAAGAATCTGAAAAAGTTGAAGCTCCATCGGAAATAACAGGAAAGTCAGGAATAAAGGAAATAATTGCACGTCTAAATGAGACCAAGTTAAACAACGAGAAGGATGTGGTTAAGGAGGGTAGCGTAGTTTCAAATGATTCAACCTCAGTCATTTCAACGGAAATTGGTGATGATAAGGCTCTAAATGGTTTAGGGGGACATGATAAAGAACGAAAGAAGGAAAAGAAACGAAAACTTGTCTTAAAAGTTAAACGCAAGAAGGCTAAAAGCGATGAAGATTCAGACAAAACAACTCCAGCGCCACCTGTCGAGACACGTGACCCAAAACCGGGGGTTAACAAAGAACCTGTCAGAGAGAAGGCTAAGGAAGGGAGTGTATCTAAAGAAAATGGAATTCGCAAAATTGGGGTTGAAAACAAGATGGAGAAGTCTGTTAGTCAACAAATTGTAAAAAATAATCTAGAATCGTCGAAAGTGGGAAAGGTAGAGGTAGAGAAGAATGACTTTGTCAAAAAAATTGAGAATGGAGAAGACAAGGTTGCAAAGGAAGGACAGGAAACTGTAAATGAAAATGAAAACGATAGTAGTCACCCAAAAAAGAAGAAATTTGTGTTGAAAAGGAAAAAGAAAGCAACTTCGTGAATAGTAATAAATTATTTGCAAATAGATTGTAATTTTTGATTAATTTAGATTGAAAAATAAATTTGTATCTCTTAAAGAATTGTTAATACGCAAGGTTTTACCTCTGGATCGGTGTAATGTAAGTGGTATATATCGAAAGGGGCAACTAGAATTTGAAATTTTAGGGGGTATTTAATTGTCAAGTAAGCTATTTTGGGTATGTATTTTCAGGTTGGAAGGTAGGAACCCTGAATGGAGGGTAGATTTTTGCGAATTGTTCATAAAACCAGAATCAAGTTATCTAAGTAAATAAAAAGAAAAAGGGCCCAAATCATGTATTTCTGTCCAACTTGAAACCCTTTCGAAAGTTGAGACAATCATGCATTCGGGAACTAATCATAGCAAAGCAGAAATATGGAGTTATTCTGATACCAGAGACGGGATAGAAATGAAAGGGGACTTAAAAGCACCAGGCCATTTCCCCGTCCACAGCTTTGTCTGAAAAGGGGCTAAAACTCCTGATATCCTTTCATGTTTGTCTTCTTCTCGAATCTGTAATCGTAGGCCTGAACGATGAAATGAAACTAAATTTCTGCAAGGGAGTTGAAAGTTGGAAAAAGGCTCGAATTTTCAATCTAAGTTTTTCGAATTATTTTGTATGCTTTTATTATTTGTTTTATTTTTGCGAGACTTTTGTAAATCATCGTTACTTTTTGCCACATACCTATTTCACCCATGCCTCTATCAGGCTCGCACCTGTCAGCATATCATAAATTTATTTTCTGTTGAAAAATGGCGAAACAAAACCAACGAAATTTTCAATTTTTCATATTCTATTCCCAAGTCATCTGTATTTTATCATTATACGTCCTTAATTTAGCAGCTTGCCGAGAATGATGTGACATTGGCATGCATGTGCTTCGCAAACAAACTTGTCAATCCTTATAGACATTTTACAGTTTGCTGTTTTTCCTCAAGTTGACCATGCACTGGCTTGTTTAAAAAACGCCTTATAGTCAGACGACTGGCCAGTGTCAGGTTTATGCATGCCCTCCCATGAACACAAATGATATGTTTTTGTTATAAAGTTCCCTCACGTAGCACGCAAATTCAATCTTAATGTTGACGCCAACCATGAAACGCTCTTTTTTAAACACCAATACCTGATCTCATGTTATCTTTATCCGTCATGAAATTTCCCAATAGAACACTATTTATTGAATCATCGTTTATTCAGTGGTGCAGTGCTATCAATATAACAAGGGGAGCTCTTTTCCACATTTAGAAAGCATTTCCCAACTCAGATAACTTGAAATAGTTGAAACCTCCTGACCCACAATTTAACTGTAGAATTCAATGTAACAGAAGATTAACTGTAACGAATTTAAACCGTCCGTACAAACCGCGTACCGCTTTCTTTCTTATTTGTTGAGTTAGTCGCCGCTCTGGTCAATGTAACGATTAAAATTCTATGGACCAAATATTATTTCGATTAAATTAAATGGATCGAATATTTTTTGAGGGCCAAGATTAGATCTGTTTTAAGCTTCTCGATACTTTTAGTGGAACAAAAATTGATAAACACCACAATCCTCTTGGTTTGGGGTGATAATCCCCGTTTGGCTTTCAGTATATCAATTGAACCGAAAATCAAAGCCCCACAACTTGCCCTACAACAAAATGTTTAAAATGGCCCCTTATGAAAACTAATGGCTTAAATATTGACTCAAAGTTCTGCCCATATTTTACTTTACTTTTGAAGTTTTTATTAGTACGCTGTAGCTTGAGAAGTCATAAAACCCCAAGAATTACATTGTTCTTGGATCTTTTTCACGTACGAGGAACTTTTGCCAGCGCCGTGCTTGTATTGTACTTAAACAAGTTGAGCAGTTCTATGTCTTGTATCATGTTAGAGAAAAAGATTAAGACTAATGGGTTTCAAGTAGGGTTTAAATCACTTAAATTGTTGAGAAAATTTTTGGCGATGTAATAAATTTATTCTTACTTTAATTGCAACAAGCATTTTATTATATTTCATTTGTCTGCAGTCATAGAGTATTACTTTAAACAAGTATTTTTACAATATATTGTATTTTTCCTAATGTATTTTTGAGGAATTAGCACTTTAGATGTATTTGTGTAGAATAGAATTATTTTTGTAGCGTCAGGTGTTAATGAACTTTGTATCCAACATGATAGAGATTGTTTCTCTTGTTCCAAAGACTGAAATAAAGGGTTTAAGCAGAAAATCAACTGAAATGACCGTTATTCGTTTGATTTTCTGGAAAAAATGTAACTTGCAGTAAAATATTCGATATCTGCTATAATGTTGTACACTATCAACGCTAATTCTTTAAAAAGGTAGTTAGGAAAAATGAGCTAAAATAAATTAAAAATCTAATTGCATACTATTTAATTTATGTGATGATGGAGTTGCAATACATGCCTAAACGTTACTAAGTTTACTCGCTGCTGTCGGGAATATTCTAAGTAGTCTAGATACGTCGGTTATCCTCGGCAGGGGCGAAAATACCGGGGGGGTGTGGGGGGGGGGGTGTGACACCCCCCCAATCCAAAAAATAGTCGATTTCGCAGGGCAATCGAAGATTTCGCAGGGCGCCAAGAAGAGCTTTATTGCCACGCAGAAATGCCACCTCTGAAGTTCGTAAAGGGCCGTTTAGGAATTTTTAAATGGAAATATCGTATTTTTTATGAACCTCCCTTCCTGACATTGTATTTTAGAGAACGGAACAGGTATGTAAATAAAAGCTCCGTTATTTGCAAGGCGAAAGCATTTCTTACCGAAAGTCATAGCCAATGGATGCAATGATGGATGCATATGTTTATGAGGGTAAAATTGAGTCAATGCAAATTAATTTAAGTTGAAAATTATTTTCATGACAGGCACGGCGTCACTGGGGGGAATAGGGGGCTGAAGGCCCTCACTTTGATCAAGATAAGAATTTTTTATCATTTTTCCTAACTTTTATCATTTAATACTTTTTAACAGTGCATGAACTAAAAAACATAATAAATTGTTAAGATACCGAATTTGTTTCATCTAATTGCTAACTTTTTCACGTATATTTTTATCATTTTTCTTTCATTTGCATTAATTCAGTAAATCATTTCTGTATCATTGCAATGTTTTAATTTTTTATGTGTAAACATGTCCTTCTCGATACAAGAAACTGCACATTTCTGTTCAGGAAAAAAATTCCTCAAATCAAAACAACATCTTCCTCTGTCATTCACAACTACGTGCAATCTGAAACGAAAGGTTGCCGTTTCTTTCCTTCCCCAACGTTTAACACTATTTTAGCATGATATTCCCCCTCCCTATTTTTTCCAATAAACAATAATATTTTCAATAAACAATCAGTTCTTTTAGCACAATAGTATTTTGCTAAATTTTTGTCTGAAAGATGCTTTTTAGCCCTTTTAGAAGGTATAATTTCAAAAATTTTCTTCACGTCGGACCCAACCATGGTGGGTCCTCCTACCTCACTAAACTTGATTCTTAGTCCCTCTGAGCTAAGTTTCGTTGCGCTGTCTGCATCAAGTATCCCCCCACCCCCATTAGCTGTTTATTAGCTAGTATTTTGCAAACCAACATTAAATGAAGTGAATATAAAAAAAATTACGCTCACGTAGAGAAATAGATATTTCATAGGCAATGAAGTTTCAAGTTTGTTTTTATTGCTTAGAAGTTTGTCCTTGGTAAAGACCAGTGTACACTGGTAAAGCTTTCACTAGTAGCCTATAGAAAAACCGTTGCTACGAGGTCTGCAGGGCACCAGTCAGTTTTGCAGGGCAGAAACCCTTTTCACCCCCCAAACCTATTGGCCAAGTTACGCCCCTGATCCTCAGTACTGTAACCAGAGGGGTGCTCTGGTGCGAATGGGATTGGCTCCAGAAAATGCAACCACTTTTTCGTTTTGTGTGAACAACACTGGGTTTGAACATTTTTCAGATCTTTGCATTTTAGAACCCTTTAGGGGCTCACGGCACTCCCAGACTCCAGATTTTATCAGTGATCACACCAAAATATTTCAACAAGCAGTGGGGTAGTGACACGATATCCTCACAAACGCTGTCATACACACTCCAGCAAGATGGGATAAGTATCTTCTCGATCTACTCTCACGACTTAATTTCAGCAAATTTTGGTTGATCTGCACAATTCTAATGGATTTTTCTATTGGGCTTCTAGAGTTTTTAAAGTTTTACAAAACAGCCAATGAAGGCAATTTGTGTCGGCGGCCAAACCTCTTTAACAACAATTTATACAACATGGTTAAAAGATTTATTCATAATTGATAATTGACAATGATATTTGATACAAAACGTCTGAAAACCGATGTTACAATGTAGAATGGTCAGGTGTCTTTGTTTTCTACCTCTAATAAAATGCAGTCAGTATACTCAATCTTCCGACAGCCGAGCATACTTAGGATTGGTTCGAGCACTTAAGCTGATCCAAAAGTATCATATGTTAATTATTTTGAGGCCTCAATTGACAACTTCTTGTATATGATTAGCTCTTAAGTATTTTTGTCAGAGTTTCTCTGGTCTCTGCAATATGCAAAAACTCATGGACGGTGGTATCACGATGACGTAATCCAACAACTCCCCTTTGCAATGTGTGCTGGTCAATTTTCAAAGAAAAAGGTGTACCAATTGCATCTGCGAAATTATATGCATCTTGCTCATTGTGAAGGAAAAGTTTGTGGCATGGTATCCCTAAATAAAAAAAATCAACATTCTTAATAACAAGAGTAAAGCAAACTTTTAAAAAACTAGAAAGCAGTTAGTGACGCATTTTTATGGGCCCACTGGGCCCGGACACAGAGCCTGCTAAAATTCATAGTGCAGTGTTGCCTTATGTTTAATCGCAGCAGATTTTGATGTCCTGGGCAGGGGTGAAGTGGTAGGGGTGGGGCTCGGGGGGCACAGCCCCTTTGTTAAAATTTTCGAAAAAAGGGGGGGGGGGCTCAGCCCCCCTTATGGTTTGTCTTTGGATACAGCTAAGAATCATATCATGCAAAGAAAGCTGTAAAAAAGTGAAAAATTGCTACTCCACCAATGGTCAGCTATTGACAACTAAGCCAGAAAAGGAAAAGAGAAACAACTGAAAGAATTAAAGGCATTGCAAGCGCTTTATATGCATGAAAACGTACACAAAGTTTGACATATACAGATAGAAAATTCTTGAATGATTTCTTACTGATTATGTTTAGTTGCAGTTTTGAATAAACAGTTGGTTTTTAAGAAATGCCTGAATTAACAACCGGTGCTATAATTTGACTCTGTCTTGTCTAGTTTTAATATTTCTTGCATTACACCACTTTTTAATAAGAGCCCTGGATGCTCTTATTTTTTGGATTATATTAGGCTCGGGGGTTCTTAAAGCTGTATTTATTCCCAAATTGATTTTCTATATCTGCAAACTATGAATACTTTCCAAGGCCACTGAAGAACAGCTTTGCATAACATTTTTTGTAGCACTATTCGTTAGCTGATAAAATCACCTCTGTTTTGTTAGCACGGGAGGAAATGTTTCATTTCAAAATCCAACCAATGGGTCATTATTATTAAAAAGAAAGTTCTTCCTTAACAATGCCATAAGTATTTTAGCTGCATTACTTGCCATTCTTGGAATGCCATATTATCTTAAAATTCTTCTCGCTGCCAACCATGGTGGCGGCTTTCACTGAACCCCTGAACAATATAAACAATTGCCTCCTCACTTCCAATAAAGTCCCCTCCCCCCTGCATTCTTCCCCATATATTTCATGCTCTCCTCTGCCTCTCAGCTGATGCTCAACACAGTCAATGTACCTGGCTGCTCAAACAATGTTCGGAAAAACATCAAAACTCACCATGTTCAAATTGCAATGATTACATGAAAAGAGCAACTTAGAAACTTCATAGAGCCCCCTTGAGAAATTTCATAGAGCTCCCTTGTTAAAATTTTACGACTACATCCCTGGTCCTGGGAGTTTTAGACCCCAAAAAAATAATTCAAAAGTTTTCAGCAGTTAAGTAAAGACGAAAAACATTAGCATCAGGAATCAAGGGTAAAGGGTAGTTTTATTGGGAATGTACTGAAATGTGAAATGGGTACAAGTTTATTTGTGTCTTATGGCCTGGTCTTTTGAATTATCCTCACAAAGCCTGCCTGTTGTGCATGAGCATTTAATTTTTTTTTAAATCCAAGTAGCCCTAACCCAGAAGTGTTGGAAAAACAGATGACAATTTCCCTTGTACAAGTTACAAGTTATGTCAGACCTTTTATTATATAATTTATTACATGATGTGTTTTGATCTAACCCATTCGATCTATTGTATTTTAAAAAGTAAATTGTTATACTTACCAGAAATCTTCAATTCTTTGGAAAGACGATTCACTAAATCTAGCTGTTCTTCATTTGATGGGTCTTCAGCCAAGATTATCACCTTTATTGGTGCCAAATTAGGGTGCAAACGTAAAACATTTTGAGATGCTGTATCATCTTCATCTTCCTGTATTCTTTCTTCCAGTCCATCATCGAGATAAGCAAGCATTGCTAAAATAAGAACATTAAATTTTAAAACAATAAATTTTATTAAAAATGATGCTCTAGCATTTATGGTGCAAGGATAGCTCTATGGTTAAGGTCACTGACTATAGACCCAAGGGTCTGTGATTTGAGTTCCTGACATGACCAAATTTTCTCTCAGAGTGAGGAGAGTCACCAGCTCTCGGTAATTACAGGATTCACAAGGTGTGGTCACATCAAGAGTGAGGGTCAATAAGCTTTTCAGTGCCCTAAAAATACCTCTGAAAGCTAGGTAGCAAACAATAAAATACAATGCAATACAATAAAATACTGGAAACTCTTTCATAGTTCAAATATTCATTGAAAAGGCAATTGCCTTAGTTTCCCAAAAAAACAGATTAACTTGTTATTGAAAAGCTTTTTAAAGAGGTGTTGCACAGCATGAATAATTTTTTGATTAACCCAAAAAAGTTTATTGAAATTTGTAAGTGGATATTTTCTTCAAACTCTTAAATTGTTTACAATATTTTTGAAACCAGAAAATTTAGGGGAGGAGTTGACAGTGCTTAAAGTGGAAATGCAAAGCAGGAAAAACTTGAATTTTCAACTAACTAACTGCTTGCTTTGTAACTCCTTTTCAGCATTTTTCTGTCAAGGTAGTAAATATATTTTAAAATGTATTGAATGTATGTATTTGATTAAATGAATCACGGAGAGCTTAAACAATGTAAAAATTGAAAACCTTGTTCTACAGTAGTGCAGCACTCAATAATGCTTTTGTTGTCTTGCCAAACTTTGTCATTATCATCTTTAATACCAAGATGAATGGTCTCCACAGTCTCTCTTCCAAAAGAACAGCTATACTGCAAAAAAGAAAATTTATTAAACATGATCTGACTTTAAAGTTACAGGTCTAAAAAAAGAAATTTTAAGATATTTTTTTAAAAATGGAATCATTTTGGTTATCTGCAAGATCATACTAATGATAAGTGTGAACGTTAATGTTGTAAGGAAATTGGATATGACTAGTGAGCAATAACTTAAACAAAAAGGCACTCACAGAAATTTCAGCAGTAGTCACATTACTATCAGTTTCTTTGACCAGATGATCAAAATTTGATTGTTTGTTAGAGAATCTTTTCCACCAGCGTAATCTTTGCTTTATTAGGTCGTTAAAAATTGTACTCCCCTTTTTTATTGGGCAAAAATGGTGAACAGTGAGATATTCAACAAATGGTGATCTGTAAACAAAAATGAAAGACGTTACAGAAGGATAACTTAAAATATTATCTCTATATTATCCTTAATTATATTAAATGGTTATTCACGTCGTTTTACATAATCTCTTTATGTTCTAATGCAGCAGAAAGTGACGAGCTTATATTGGACAAAGAATTATGTCTTAAATTAATTCACTGGATTCAAACAAATACCTTGCAATGAAAGAATCGGAATAATTGCAACTCGGCTGGGTTGTTACTTGCGCCACACCAAGTTCTTTGCAAAGCACTTCTTTGGTTAACTTCTCGTAATTTTCTTGCGCCTTGATCCTTGGTATGAATGCGTATTGACGAGCGACTGCATTATCAATATCCACATCATTTGACCCTAAGAAAAAAAGTGGGAAAACTCTGTCTTGGAAAGTGACTGAGTGCCTCCACCATTGATCAATTACATTTCTTCTCATTAAAGACCCGAACGATCCATATTCGTAAGTAACAGTCTTTATATCCACATTTGATGAATTTTTTAAACGGTTATGCGTATCTTTATTAGATGAGATGGATTCTGGAAAATAAGCCGTTTCCGAAGTTTTAAATTTTTCTGTAACGAAACCAAATCTTTTACAGTGTTCAAAAAGCTTTTGAAGCCTGGATGATTTCATCTGATCCACTAGCATATGAAAAAATTTCTGACTGTCCTTTTGGCAGGTTTTCTGTGGATATTCCCTCTTTCCAGTTCATAAAGGAATCGGGTGGATACAAGCATTTGTCCTTTACATTCTGATGTTTTGATCTAGGCCTATCACGTGGGAAAGTCACAGCCTCGTCTTCAAAAGTCAGGATGTAGAGTGAGTGTACGCATGCGCTTCGCCGTTGGCCCGAAATTCAAAAGTTGTTCATAATCGTTCAAAATCATGTTGTGAAGCAATTCGTTCCAAATTTCTTGTATTAACAAAGAGGCTTAATTTTCAGAACCATCAAATATTATGGATTCAAGGTATGTTTATTAATCCTTCTCTCTTCGAGTGAAAATTGTATGAATTACCTTCAAAACAGCAAATTAATCATGGACTGGTCAACAGAACAGGACCTGGCCTTTTTGTTTACAATCGCTCCACAAGAATCTAAGGAAATGCTTCTAAAATAGACCCATGTAGCACATCAAAAATTGTCTTATTGATTTTAATGAACTTTCCTTGATCAAGAATATAGTGGGGTGAATTTGAACATGACTGAAAGAGCTGTTGAAACATTTCTTGAAATGTTATGATTTGATTTTAAGCATTTTTTTGAATTGACTGATTGTAAAAATTTTCTAAAAAGTCAAAGCGTGTTCTCCTAATCGCCATAAGCTCTCTGATTTTAAACAAATTTGGCTCTAAATAAGTCAGCATTTGCTTTATTGTCTTTTTAAAGTTCACTCTAGGCCTCTCATACATAGCTTTACCTCATTCTGTACTAGACCATGCTGTCCATTAAATGAAGATCTTTCTTGACAAAAAAGTTCATTTAATTTTATTAGTTCACTCAAATTCAGAGATAAACTAACATAGTGATCACATAATTTTGTTTTCCTAGAATGACTGGAGAGATCTAAAATGACTTACTGAGAGTGAATGCAAACTGCATGTCAAGTGTAGTGTTAAAATATACAGTGATGTCAGGACTGTTTTGAGTGTCAACTTGGAAAATTAAAACTGCAAATTATAAAAGTTTCTTGCCTTTTTTAATTTGGGTAGGGTTGTTTCTTAGCTTTCATAAAATTGAACCTATCAATTCTTATAACCTGTTTCTTATAGAAAAACTGAGTGTTAAGTTATAAAACTGAAAGATTCCCCTTGTCTGAGAAAATAGCAAAAAAAGATGAATAAGTTTCATGATTTTTTGGTGTTTTCATTCACTGTGAATTGCTTGCTTCATGTTCAATTAACATACACTTTAATGTAGTTTAAAAATAAGCTTTAATTTATAATTTGAAAAAACTTAAATACATACAACATAAAGTAAAAATTGCTACTCTTGAAGTTCAATTCACTTGTGGGTTTATCTGAGAAAAAAGCACTAACAAAATTGTCAACATTAGAGATTGAAAAGGACTCTAGCAACAATAACTTTGAATAGTACTCTGTTTGTTTTTTTCAATTTTGGTTGTTTTCTATGCCATTTTAAGCAGGCTTTTGTGGGAAAAATATAGCAGACGTGCTTACCACCGCACCCTGAAAAGATCCAGACCTGTAGTGGCGTGTGACATTTTTGCCAAAATTTATGGTTATTATGATAGATCTATGCGGAAATTGCCAACATTACAATGCTGACAGCAATAATTTTGATGAAATTTTTCTCCTTGAATTTTGAGCGTAATTACTTAAATTCTAACAGAAAACATTATTTTTCTGAACACTTGAGCGAGTTTCTACACAAGTATATACATCAGCAAAAATGGCACTACATGTACAGAAAAATGTTTGCCATGTCACAAACTTTTTTCATTAGCTTCAATAATGAATCCTTAGCAGAGTCATTGAGGGCTTGGCATTCATCTGGTTGGTTGTAATGGGCATTTTGCCATTTGTGATAAATATACACCAGGAATAAGAAAACCAAACTAACGGTGAACATTTTTAGAAAAGTTCATCATATCGCAGAAAAATTATGATGAAGGGACCTGTAATTAGGTTCGTAATAACGACAGTTTGTATTCGTTATACGGGATTCATTATAATGGGAAAATTTGTACGGAGTTAGGCAGAATCCAGGGGGACACATTTTTTTGGTAATATTGTTAATAGAATATTTGTAATCGGTTGTAATGGCATGCTTTTCCGACGAAAGCCTGTTAAGTATAAACATTATATTCATTATCTTGGTAAAGTTGAACAAATGAGGTGAGCAATTCACAGCTCACCTGCAAAAAAAAAGTTTCAAACCCAAAGTGTTATTGTGATCTGTTGAGCCTTGCACTTTGCCCTCTATCTTCTACTGTTCTAGCACATACTTACTTCCTAAATATTTTGTTGACCATAAAAAGTTTGGCAAACATCCGAGAGCTTAAGGTCCCCATTCTCAACAATTTTCTCATCTGTTATGATGTATCACATGTAAAGGGAACCTCTTACAAAAACACTGTGTCATCAAATTTATGAGACATTGTTACCAGACCAAAATTTATTAACATACATCATTTTTCAATTCAGCTGTTAAAATGCATTATCAACTATTTAAACATAAGATTTGGAAAAATAACAAAATGGATTGTCATCAAGCTCAATTTGATAAGATTGGCCAATAAAAGAAGATTGCATGTAGTCACTGGAAAGTCATTTTAATGAGTCATAATTTATAAAGGAATTTATAAATTTTGTCAATGCTAGGGCTTAAAAGCATCTTCCAAGTAGTTACATTTGAGAATCAAAGTTTTCAAATGATGTTGAACATTTTTCCTGACCTAGGATATTTATCTGCACATTTACGCAATTGAAAGTGAGTCACAAAAATGTTAGAAATTTTTTACACTTGGCTGGCTACAAGTGCAAATTCTCGGTATTTCACAAGGTGTTTCAGACAACCCACATTTCATTTCTTGGATATAGGGGATTAAATTGATGCAGGAGTTGAGATGAAAGCATGGCATTTGCTATTATATACATTTAAATTTATCAGTTCATCATAATAAGTTATAGAATGAAAGTTGCAAGGAACCACAAGAGCAGGGGTGAGTTATTTTTTTGCCTCTAATTGCCACACAAGTTGAAGATACCTTGCAGAATCTATCATAGAACCAGTTAAGAAATACTACAGACTGGTACTCATATATGTTGTTTGACTTTAGATCTGGAGAAAGCCAGTTATCAACAGATGATGATGACTTGGGGCTGCAGTCAATGGCCTACATAACTACTGCCCAAGCCAAGTTAGATGAAGGAGATGTTGATGGTTGCCTGAAAATCATTCTTCAAGGCACAACAGTGGGTGCAGAGCCAGCTATATTGCTATCCAGGGCACACCAGAATGTTTTAAATGGCCAAAAGAAACTCATGGCTCTTCCTTCTGCAAAGAAAAGTATCCAGCCTACTCCAGCTAGCAGTGAGTATTTTACATTGCATCTTAAGCTTTCAAAGGAGGTGATATTGTGCAACAACATGAAAGGTTTGGCAAGTGCATGGGCAAGTTTATCTAAGTTTTGAAGGATACTTTTTTTCTTGATCTGCTAATGCCTACAAAAACAAAAGTAACCTCTTTTTTATTCAATGTTTCGAGGCTGCTGTCCCTGAAATTGTAGGGGTTACTTTTATTTTTTCCCAGTACGCTTTGCATGAACAATTTATTTTGTGTGTGTTTGCAGAACGTTTTTCCACGATCTTGAATTTGCCTACTATGTTATGATACATTAGGCTAAGCAAGCCATTCTATAAACATTCTCTGCTTTATTCTGAAAACGGAAATCAGCTTTGGTTGTAAACTTTCCATACATTCAATTGCACACTTCTATACTATCAACTTGAGTGCAAATGTCGTTTTTTGAGACTGTGATCTGTTGATTGTTTCAAATAACTGCATGAAAAGGTTCTGTTCAGATAATTGTTTGCAGGCTTTCATTTTAAAGATAATTGCTTACAGGATAAAGTGTAGGATGAGGCTAATGCTGCAAGTTGCTTGAATAGCTGTTTGGAAGATTTTAGTTTTAAAGTTTCATGGTTTATACAATCGCTATCAAAGTTTACTGCTGTCTTAAAGCTTTATTTCTGGAATATGATAAACTTTATGCATTCCTCAGTTTGTTGTACTCAACTTGATCATCTATGTCAATGGCACCGTTTTTTCCGAGTGAGAAACATCAGAGAGTGATGAAAAAGTGATACAATTTTTTTTGTTTCAGCTGAACGAAAAATGTCGAATTCCAGCTTTGAATCGAGCAAATGGCTGCAGCAAATAAAACGAAAAAAGAAGCTGAACTGGGCTCCTCCGTTGCGCCCTGTAAAAAGCACTCCAAGCCGGACTGAAGTACTAAAGATAAACATAAAGAAACTAGAATTGTCTCCTATTCCTTCTTCGGTCCTCTTGTACTCCCCTTCCCCTATGAAACCAATTATACCTGTCAGTCAAAGCAGGCCAGTTGATTATGACAATGGGTCTTTCCAAGCTTGTAGCTCGAGTTCACACTATTCTGAGGTGATGGGCACTAACAAGGATATCTGCCTTTCTCAAAAGGATGCAACTCTTACTAGTAAAAGCCCATCGGTAGATGTTAGCTGCTCGTCAATGACCACAGATGGCACATCTAGATGTGAGGTGGAAAAGCAATGTTTCGGTGAAGCAAGTATAGCGCCTAAAAAACAACGATCTGAAGCATGCCTAACAGACACGATGTTGGCCGTAAAACAAGATGGTACAAGTGATATGTGCCCTCCAAACTGTGCATCTGCTAAGCTACAAGGGAATACTGAGGCCTTGCTGCAGAATACAGTTGCCAAAGGGACCGACTCTGCATCTAATCTCGGAGATTTAAAGAAAACCTGTCAGAAGGTCAGCGAAGCCGCATCTATTCGCAAAGAAAGCAAGGAGGCCACAGAGGGTCTGACAACGAGAAGCCCTGACTCCTTATTTGGTATTGACTTTTGTTCCGAGAACACTAGTGACCGTTTCTCATATCACACAGACACCAATTTTTTCTCTGAGAAATTTCGATGCAACAGTGACAGTGGTTTTCAGGAGGTACCCTTGAAGAATACTACGACTCCACATACTATGCCAGTAGCAAAAAGAATTGAGAGTGACAATTACAGTCTTCCTGGGTTTTCGATTGATGCCAAAAAAGGATGTTTTAATGAGGCTACAGCAGAAATTCATAATACCACTCCAATCAGAAGCAATATCTCTGGAGTGGTTGACCTTGGCTGGAAGGCATCTTCAAATGACGGGCAACCAAAAGGAAGTCAAGTTATCAATCGGAAAACTGCTTCATCGCAAAGCCATGACTCCTTCAAAAAGCCTGTAGCACCTGCAGTAAGACTATGTCATGTGGATCGAGAGGTAGATGCGAGTGCGACTCTACAAAATCATGTTATCCCTACTCAAAGTAGCACTGGTGTTAGTAAGCAAAAACAGGGTACCAATGCAAAGCCATCGGACCTGTCTGAGTATCTAATGAAGATGAAAAATGCAGCTGCGGAGGCCAGTAGCACAACCAAGAAACACAAAGTCATAAGAATCAAGAAGGAGAGATACAAAGTTATATCCGTGCTTGGCAGAGGTGGATCTGGCAAAGTGAGTTGCAATGTTTGCGTTTTTGTTTAAAAAATGTTTTCAAAAGAATGACACAATGATTCAAACTTTGTCAGAATAATTATGCCTTCCAGAGAAGTTTCGTATGATTCAAACATATCTAGCTTGATTTTTAATCGAGCTTCCTTAGTCCTCCCAGTATACACTACGTACAGGCCATTGAGATGTTGTTTATACACCAGATACACAGTGGATTAAACATTGAGAAGCAATAAATATTCACTGATATTCAAGCCCCAAAAATCTGATGGCTCTATGTATATTTGAAACGTGTTTAGCAAAATGTTTGACTCGCATTGATATTTTATTTAAAGCAGATTCCCTTCTTTGAATTGGCCATAGGTTATCAAGTAAAGATTTTCTACCCTTGGTCAAATCTTTTTCCTACTAAGTGTTAAGCCATATCATAAACTATTTAAAAATATTCATGGAAATCTTTATTTTTCGATATTTTCTGTATTTTGTAGGTTTATGAAGTAGAGAACGATGATGGAAGAGCCTTTGCAATGAAATGTGTCCGGCTGGATGATCTTGATGACGTCGTCTTCCAATCACACATTAACGAAATTGAGATTTTGAGGACACTCAGAAACGAGCCTTGTATCATTCAACTCCATGAATAGTAAGTTTTCCACTTACTTTTAAAAACGTAGCAATTGCTTATATTAAACCAAGTCTGTAAAAATACTTAATGAGAAATTAAAATAAGTTTCATGAAAATTACACACTGCTCGATGCCATTTAAGAAGACCTGCACAAGCTTTAAAAGACAGTTCTAAGTAGCAACTTGGTGTTTTAACCTAGGACGATCATCAGAAAACTGTTTGAGCGGTCATCAAGTTAAATCAGTTTTCATGTAAGTTTGATAAGAGGTTGTTTCTGAATTGATTTTTTTCTATAATATGGCTCAGAACAGAAAATAATTTATCGAGCATGGACGAATAAAAAAAGTCGTCAGGATTGATATATTTGTAGATACTGACTTGTTTTACTGACTGCCAAGTTGGAAGAAATTTTAGACTGTCCTTTTGAATATTTTGACTATATTTCGTACACTACTGTTTTAATGAATATTTAACTCGCAATTACCTTTCCATGAACTTTAGAGCCAAAAAACAAATTAAACAAAGTTTAGTAAGACTGCATTAAGTTTCCCAGCCATTTGAAGCTGCCTAGAATGAATATGGTTAAGTGGGAATGATCCAATCTCTAATTACCATATTTTGAATGACTGTATTTGGAGCTATCGTGAAATTTTTCCACATTTTGGCTCATTGGAAAATCTTCCTAAAGTTTCCATTTCCGGTTCTTTAATGTACATTGTTTTCTATCTTTACAGAAATTAAATATTAGGTTATTAAAGCGGAGTATTTAATGAAAAGTGTCTGTAGCAGACTGGCCACAGTGTGCTCTTTAAAAAGTACTTAAATCGCAAGTATTGTTTAGGTTATCGTTCTCGTTGACCTCCTCTGCAAACGATCCTTTGCGTTTTCGATCATTCTGGTTGATAGTTCTGAAACAATTTAATCTATCCAATTTACTAAAGTTCTGGTCTTTCTTATTTCATACTTGATTGATACTTTTTAAGACCTTATAAAACCTTTATTTGTGATATTTTAGCTTATATTTTGATAATTGTTTTTTTAAGTGATAAAATCTCAAAAGGATGCTTAAAAAATCTTTGATAAACGAGTTTAATGATTTGCTTTATTTAATTTCAGCATTTATATTGACTTTAAATTCTGATATTGTGTGACGACACAATCTATAGTTGCAAACCACTCTGTGTTTTAGATCTGTGCATTTCACCTGTAATGAACTTTGCTCTTGTTAGCTTTTTTTTCCTTCCATTTTCAGCGAACTCAAGAACGAAACACTCTTTATGCTAATGGAGAAAGGTGAAATGGACCTCGAGAAGTATTTGCGTTTGAACAACAAGCTGGAGGATGGCCGCATCAGGACGCTTTGGGTTCAAATGCTCAGTGCTGTTGCCAGTATACACAAGCAGGGAATAATACATACAGACTTAAAGCCTCCAAATTTCCTTTTCGTTGATTCTGCGTTGAAACTCATCGATTTTGGCATAGCAAAGGGCTTGCAGGTTCGGGTTTACAAATGCTTTGTAGGTAGTACTGATCGATAAAAATTGTCTGGGAAAAATAGCAAGACAATCAATCCGGAATAAAATCAATTTTTGCACTCAAAGCATTTTCATACAAAAGAATTTAGACCCTTTATTATTCATTGTATTTGACCTTTGACATGATCATAAGTAACAACTGACATCTCAACATATCAATTTTAAATACTTGAACTATAAACCATTTACCTTACTTCTCTTTTAAAATTCAAACCTTCTTGTTATCATTTGAGGGAATTTGAAAATCTTTTACTGTCAACGTAAGTCACAAATTGCGGTCGTTGGTCGTTGGAAAAATATTCGGTCGAAAAGATTTAACAAAAAGTTTTTGTCATCGAACGAATATTTGGTCACTTTTTGATGAAGAAAAACCGCTTCAATGTTATATCTGACTTTTTTACATAATCATTATCACCAGTAGACATCTTCAGAAAACGATTTTTAATTCTTGCTCTCTTTACCATATGTCTCCTTTAAACTCTAATTTATGATTATCGTTTGTCTCCATTCATCTTCTTTATTAATCTCCTTAACATCCTCTTTCTCGACTTTTCTATTAAATATCCTCTTCATCATTCTTTTAATACAATTTTTTGGAAGCTCTATTTGGTCGTTTTTTTGTTTGGGGAATTGGTACATGTAGGGCAATTTTCGGTATTTTGTATTCTTCTAGAGAATTAGATTTTTCTACTGAAAAGAATCGGTCAAACGTTTTGGTGGGTGGAAGAATACCTTTTTCAAAAAGAACTGGCAAAAAATTTTAGGCGCCTGCTAGAATATGACTTTTTACTGCATTTTTCTTACCGTGAAAGCAAATTTCCTTTCCCTCTGTTTCCGTTCTCTTCTGACTAGGCCATTTTATTCTGTACGAGAATGAAAAAAATTTATATGTGTAGTGCAATTTTTTGTGTTACATAGTCTGGAATACTTTCCAATCTTATATAACTATTTTTTAGAAGACTTGCACAAAATCTATTTCAGATAATACCACTCTTTTGATCAAAAATGGATAAATCCTCTGCAAGGTGTAACACTTACGTTAGAGACGAAACACGTTAAGAGAGTCTGCAACATAAGCCGTTTTTGTAAGAAAGCAAATAGATCTTGAGCTTGTATTTAGGGCAGACAATCCTTATACATAGACAGTAAGCAAATACCTCAAATTCACGACATGTTATTTCATTGACAGGACAATTGCACAAGCACACAACGAGACTTTATGATAGGCACCTTGAATTACATGGCACCGGAGTCCGTTTCTGAATCTGAGTACGACAGAAAAGACACCAATTGCTCGAAAAAGAATTACAAGGTACATCTTTATTGTTTTTCGGCAGTTACCACATCCATATTTCTTATCATGATTTATTGTTTATTTATGACTCTTATATATTTGGTTTTTTCTTTGCTTTAGCTAAACGTTAATTCAAAACCATCTCTACTAAGGGAATTTTCAGTATAGTATTTCAGGGACCTTGATATCAAACCATTTTTCACAAACCATACTTTAATCGAATTTCCAATCTATGTCTGTTGCGCTTGACCTTTGCCTTTTTCATTTATAAAAAAACAATTTTTAGATTGTATTTAATTGTTTTGTCTTGTTTGTTAACCTTAATTCTGTTGTATGGATAATGAACATTTGAAATATGGAAAATAAACTATGGTTTGGTAACGACAAATTTACTCTACGGTTTATAAAATCTTTTTGGAAAAATAGTTTTGCATTTTTGAATTCAGACTTTTCTCAACTTTTGCTCATACAATTGACGTAATCTCTAAAAATGTTTATTCTTATTTTTTATCAAATTTTTGGATTAACAAGAGGATGAAAGGAAACTTTTGCAGAAGAGGACACGGATGCTTGTATTTCTAGTGACTATTTATGTTTCAATTTTCCCTTAAAAACAAAGAAACTTTTAATTTCAGATCAGACGAGCAACTGATATTTGGAGTTTGGGCTGCATTCTATATTTGATTGTCTATGGAAAAACACCATTTCAGCACATACAGAACCGAGCTCTTAAAGTTGTCGAAATCACCGAGGGGCGTGATATTATCTTTCCAGACATACCTAACAAAGATTTGCTTGATACTATGAAGGTAAACATTATCATTTGTAGTAGACATCTTAAAAGAAAAAGTATTTCAGTAATAAAAGATAGAAGAGTCTACTCCATTTATGTCATTTAACGTTACATAGTCTTCGCTTTGGTCTTCAAACAGGACACGGTTTTCTTCAGCTTTCAATTGAACCATGTGTTAGCAAATTTAAATCAAGCAAAAATGGATTGTTGACGTATTATTTTCCGGCTCAGAAAGTCATCTTATTTTTTTCGTAGTTTCTTAAAAATATGGATTTAGTTCTAGAAGTTTCTTAAATTTGTGGGGCTCTAGTACTAGGTCTCATATAAACCGGTTTGTTGTAAAAAAATGTGTATCGCTACCAATTGTGCAACTGAATGGATAACTGTTCCCCAGACGATTTCTGGACCTTATGTAATATTGCTAAAGGTTCTGGCCGCTGCACGTTTTTGGTCCAGACAAGTTTTATTTCCATGGGTTTTTTTTATTTTGCATCCAGTTTATCAGATGATCTCCAAGAAAAAAAATTCATTGCGCTTCTTTCTTGATAAACGAACTTCCTATTCGACTTTGGTTATCAATCCCCCAAATATATAACTAGATATTGCATTTGGATTTCCTTTTGATTAGAGTTATCATCACTTTGACAACTGCAATTAATCCAATTTATCTGCACTATTCCAATTGGCCTTTGCGGAAGCATTATCTCTGTTTTCAAGGCAACAAACAGATAATTCTGGTGGCCTAAAGGAAAATAGAAATCGATGTTGTGCATATGTGATTCTTGGTCAAATTAATCGATCAAAATTTTTCAAAGATTATGATTGCACGTCAATCTTTTTTAGTCAGCCATCTATTTGCTAATCTTTATTTGTTATGTGCTTATCATGTGTTCTGGTCTTACTTCTTAGGGTTGTTTAAAAAGGAATCCTGCCCTGAGGTACACCATTGAGCAGCTGTTATCACATGCATTCGTGACTGGAAAAGGGTCATTTTTCAATGGTACCAAACTATATTTTCATCATTTAGTGAATTTTCTCTCTACCTTAACTTTCTTCTCATCCATCAAAACTTTTCTCGTAATACTTTTTTCGCAAATTAAAGTTTTCTTCTTCTGAACTTTGGAGCTTTGGGACGGACATGTAAAAATGATGTTATGAAAATCGTTCAGTCAAAGCCTTCTATTTTGTCAAGCAATTGTTTTAAATCTTATGCATAAGAGCAAAATATTGAATCTAAAGGGTATAGAAGTAAGATTGACAACTTCTCTAGTATACTTTCATTTTATTTTCGCTACTCTGTGCTCGTTTGTTCCGTTTCAATTTTCTACTTACAATAAATTCCCCCTGTTGACTGTATTCCACAATGAGATAAAAATGCTTTGAGAAAATGCAGTACAACCTCTTTGACTACCTCTTAAAAAAGATTCCATTTCCTGGTTAAAAAGGGATGTTGGGGTTTTCGTTTCGATTCATATGTCATTTTACTCTTTTCGTTTTTGGAAGTCTGTTTTGAAATGCATATATTCATAACTAAGCGTATTCTCTAACTTCAACTAGTATTGGCGCTAAGATGGTAATTGTTTCAAAATTATTGATAAACCAGTTTTAAATCAATAAATGCCAACACGATTGATCTTCATTCCATCATGATAAGATCTTTCATCTTAATTTCTTGAATATGTCTTTATTCAATCTTTATTCAAGTATTGAAGCATTTACATTCAAAATATATTTATAGACATGTCTTTATTGTTCATTACGCCATGAATTTCTCATTTCTTTCACTTAGTAAAATTATTCAGTTAAGTATCAACATCATATAAAAGTGAATTTCGATTCATACTACCATATCATGTGTTGCTTTTATCCAAAATAGGAGATTACATCTGCTTGAATTAGTCTTCCAAGGGCATCCATGATCTTCCATGGGTTCCTATCAAAAAAGCCATTTGTGTCATTGTAATAAATGCAATCAGACATATTACATTGACGTCTCCTGTTCAGCAATATCTTTGCTATGTACCAGGCAAAATGTAACCAGTTTCTGCCCATTTCAACTCCATTGCCATGCTCATATTAAAACCTCATTTACATCAAAAACGAAATACATTTACAATTAAAGTTACTTGGCCCAATTACTGATCCACTTCTGCCACACTTCGCAGTAATTACTTCATGATATCGAAATTCTTTTCATCACAACAAATTACTCAGAATCCATTTGTTATACATAAACACTTATTTATACTCCTGGTTAGTTATTTTTGATGCATTTTTATTCTCACATAGGTGCTTAATCTTTTCTGCCTCTTAATTATCTCTTTTAAATTACATTCTTTCAATGACTTTGATGTCTCATCTTTTTGGTTACAAAAGAAATATCTTGATTAACAGAATTAAGTCGGTAAGCTAGACCGAGATTATCAAATCAGATTCTAATTTCATTTCGACTTTGGTGGGATATAGGTTACCAAACTTTATCATAATTCCTTGATATCTTGTTCAATTTCAAATTATTAATTCGACTTAAATTTATCACAACGCCTAAAGGACTTATCAAATTGTCATCGAAGATAAGGCCGTTTTCAAAAATAATTCCTGGCTGTCCACATTTGTGTAATTCAATTGACAAAAGAATTTCATGTTTTGCTTGCAAACCATACTGATCACAGTCATTTTGATGGAATTTAATCAAATAGTTGAAGCACCACCCTTTTCCATTTCTAGAAAGGCCATATTAACATCAAAGCCACATTCAAAATATGCCTTGATATGGTTAAACCATTGGGCTGAGTTTGTCGAAATTTTCCCTTGTCATTGTGGTTCTAAATGATAATCGTCATAAGAAAAGAAGGATGATTCTTTATGATAAATATGTTTGTTATGATATTCTAGGTGCTTTGAACACTAGGTGCTTTGAACACATGGTTTGTAGAACACGATTTGTATGCTAGCCTGTGAACCAAGCTAAATGAAAAACAAATGGCAATGAACAGGATTTCACGCCTAATATGAATCGAGTTTTAAATTGCTTGGTAGTTTTCTTGTACGTAGAAGAAAAAGAGCACCATATCACAGTATCAGTATGTTTTTATATTGGCGTTCAAAAGTCCATTATTTCTTCTAAGAAGAAAATGCCCAGGTTTAAGTTTAAAACCCCGCTTACTGGGTTCCATCATACGCCCATGATAAATGTTTGAATGAAAAATCAGTCGAATAGCACAGTTTGAAAGAATCAGTCGAATAGCACAGTTTGAAAGAATCAGTTGAATAGCACCAGTTGACCGTACCACCTTTTACTTCATCGTATGATACTGTCCATGTATAATTTTATTTGTATTGAATCAACTATAGATGAAAAAGAAAATGACGTCACATTGGAAAATACAGGGCACATGAAAGCTTTTATGGAACACGTAAAGGAATCATCCGTCAACTCGCCAAAATCTCTTCAAAGAATACAAACCGTAAGTTTCTTCCGCTTTAATAAGTTATAGTGTCTTGATACAAACAGATCGGTGTAATTTCAGTGGCTCAGTTACCCAATGATACCCTAGCTTAAATGCTTAAGCACAAAGTCCCTGACAGCGTACTCTTGTTATTTAGGATATTAACTTAATATAGGATATCTAAAAGGGAAATGTATCAACAAATGACTTCCAGCAATGGAATCCTAAAGTCCAGATTCCATTACCACATTGTTAGTGGTCTCTTATGAAGCATTATTGACCAAGATCGTTAATTTGTTTTACATCTAGTTAAATAAAGCTTATTTTTCCGGTAAAAATCGATTGTTTTGAAACTGGATTGTTTTCCCGAGTTTCCTGAAACACACGCGATATTTTGGCGTCCCTTTAGTCCTCAGTTATTGATAGCAATTGTTAATAGGCCACTACACATGCAGACTACATCTGCCATCGTCATGTTCTTAGAATCCTTACCACTTTTCATTGACAAACATTTTAATTGCTTGTAAACATGTTTCGGGAACTTGCACTGCTTTCCTATGGTTTCTAGTGAAATTATTCCCAAAAAAACTTTATAATGTACCCATTTATACTTGTCTTTTGTTTTATAATGTTTATATTTCTTTTCTCGATTTGAAATCATTTCGCCTTGTGTAACCTGGAGCCACATGTGTTATTGACCAAACTGTAATGGGTCTTTGCAAATCATTCAATATATTTGTCTCGTGTCATTTCAATTGAACATCTTAATCGCCCTCTTAAGTCCGAGACTGTTTGGTTTTAAAAGTGGTTTGATTCGAAGACAAGGCAACAGTTTTTCACCGGTTTTCGATTTGTGGTTATTTTCGGACAGCGTAACCTATCCTTATTAATGACTTTCTTCTCTAAGAAGCTGCGAGAGGCTGTTTAAAACCTCTGAACTTGACCCGCAGCTATCAATAAGGATATGCCACCTTCTTGTTTTTCAATTTGATTTTGTTTGTTGTTATCATTTGCAGAAAGTATCAAGGGAAAAATGAACTTTTATATAAAGACGATGTTTCCTTTTAGAGTTTTGCAAGAAGAGCTTTGGCCGACTCGAATTCCGTGAATCCAGCTCGAAAGGTTGTTTTCTAATTGACTGAGTTGTTTTTTTGTGGCAACTTTAATTACCCTCAACCTGGTCGTACTGGAGGACACAGAGCTTTCTGTCAACCAAAAATGAATCTGAAGATTTGATCATGTTCTTCTGCACCGTGACTTTATAAACAATGTGATTACTCTCTTTTGAGTCCTCTTTGGAAGTTGTGCCTTCTGTTAGACTCGATATTCAGCCATACTTAGGCCAATATCATACATTTTTAAAAACCTTCCCCAGAAATGAAAAGAAAGGTGTAGTTAGTCAAGTGTAGAAGCTAAAATTATCCTGGTCGTGGTTACCATCCTAGCTGTGTTTGCCATGTGTCTGGATTTTGTCGAACTATAAGCAATTTATTGTAATAGGTTGAACAAGTAGCTTCGTAATTTTGCAAATATTCAGTTGGTATCAAAGCGATGGTTTTATTGACCTTGCTCTCTGAACACCCTATAAGGCATACTTGCAGTCGTTTACTCTGTTCTTATTAATTTCTCGTCTATCCAAAAAGGGAAATAGAAGATAAATTCTCATCAATGAGACTCAGATTCATATAATGCATTTCACGAGGCCATTTACTTCATTACTTCGGCTATATTTCAAGATATGTAAGAACGAAAACATCCAGCTTTGAAGCTGTCTTGGGTTGCGCCTAAGTGATGACGTCCTCAAACACATATTTTGAATTTGAATTTCATAAGAGCATTATGAAACACCTCTAAATGTGCAAAATGAATGTAGTGAGATACAAAATTGGCTGAGATACGGCCAAATATACAAATGCTCTTTCCTTGTCAAGTCACTCTCATTCAGCCCTTGTTTCAAAATCTATGAGCCAGGTGAAACACAGCAATCCTAAGCAAAAGTCAGTTCTTTCATTTGCTATCTCTGTCAATATGTGACAGATTTAGCGTATGAAACACATTTAGAGATGTTCAGTGGTGCTGTTTCCGGTTACATGGTCAAAAGTCAATCTATGCTTTGCTTTATGACGTCACCCTTATAACTCCATGTATCGAGCCTATGTATATTTTTCTCAATATATGACCTGTAAGTGCAATAGAGAAGTATAATTATGATAAAAAACCTCAGAAAGGCATCTCTCACAAGTTAACCGCAGTAGACATTCTAAAAGATCCCAGTCGCTTATCTAGAAGATATCTTTCAATTTTCATTTTTCGTTTATATAGGCCACAGAAGTTTCTAGAATCAAATAGTTGATGTGTGAGACACCAATTTAGCCAATTTCACATACAGCAGTCAGGAATATTTACAATTTGATTATACTTTGATGCGTTATTTCTATAGAATCTGTAACACATTGCGTGACCCATTTTGTTACAGCTGCATCTGTTACGTTTCTATTTCTAATTAGTTTTAGTTTCTACTTTGTAATCTAGACTCAATTAGCTTATTCAATGTAGACATAAGTAAACAAAATAATTGCTATATAATAATTCAATGTTAGACATTTCTAAACATTGTTGCAACATGATTCGTAACTATGCAACCAATCCTTGTGGCATACTGATGGTTATAACCCTTTTAGACGTTGAACCAAACAAGTAAATATATGAACATGTATTTACGTAAATAAAATTCTTGTCATGTATATCTCATTTAGTTTGAACCCACTCCTTCTTAAGGAAACGAATGAAATTCAACAGAACGACGTCAATCTGTCAAGATATCCTGATTTTAAATATCTGCCGGACAATACCTTTTTAAGAATGTTTGCTGCAAGATAAAACGATAATTTTCTTGGGAATGTTGTGTACGAGAAAACTGTCTGTGTATGTTGTTTGCTCAATTTCTTCTCCCACGCAGATAAATAGGTGTTCTTCTACATCGAAGCCTTGACCTCGATTTGATGCACGCATTTTTTTGTAAGCAGCTAGAGCCCACTATTAAAAGCTGCGTGCTAATAAGAATCTCAGAGTACTGCAAATTTCCTCGATTGTTGCAGTATTCGAGTAGAAAGATATTTTCAAGACCACGTTCGTATTTTTGGTAGGTAACCTCACGAAAGGATACGATGACCCAATCAAAAATACCATTTCATGGAATAATGGTACCTAACCAGTATCCTGCTTCTCGAAAACAACCAGATACTATTTTTTTACGAGGCAATGTGAATTGATTTCTCATGATCTACGTTTCTAGTGGAAAGTGCGCGAATTTTTGAGTATGTATCTGTTTTAATAAGGTCTTTTTCTGGAATTTGCACAACTTTGGTTAAGATTTTATCATAAAAGTTATCCCTTCTGACTGAATTTCCGGTTATTGATTCCCTATTAAAGTAGCAAAACTTGACTAGCTACCAAAATTGAAACATTAGTAGCATCTAAAATTAGAACATTATCTTAATGCAGTATGATTAGTTGGTTTTTCATTGCGTCATAAAATAGGAAGTCAACTGTCGCATGCGCGCTAGCCTGTGAATCTCCACCCCCAAGTGGTCGTACAGTTCTTCAGGTTGGCAACCGGGTTTCTATACTCATTGGTGTCTGTCCACATGGGTGCTTGCACGCCATGCTGTGGAAAACCAATCCAGACACAGAAGCCTTTCTTTGCGCTCCCAAGCAGGATGTACAATCATTTTTTGAAACTCACCACTGCTTCAAATAATCTCACGCTGAAAATGGCTTTTTACTTTCATTTGAAATCGGTGTACATGCAATTGGCTTATCGTGCCACTGCAGCGTCTAATCTTTTCCGCAGCTAGTCCCCAAATCGTTAGTCGTAACCTAACTTGGTATTTTGATAGCTTTATAACACACAAGATTGCATTTGATATTTGCAATCCATCTAATACATTTATTCCTAATGCTAATCAAATTAGCAAAATCCTTGGCTAAATGAAAAATATTTTAATCTGCTTTAAGGTCTAAAAGCTTTTGCCAATTAATCAGCAATAATAGAGTATATTTTCTAAGTATTGCTAGAAACTAAGTGCTGGCTTTGTGATACGAGAAGCTTGTCACAGAACCATCTTGACTTCTTCCACTGTACACTCAATCTTCGCAAAAGCCGTTCGTCAATTCTACTGTCAAGTGCTTGGATGTGACGTCACCTACAACGACAAGACTGATCTAGATTGGTTCTTCTAAAACATGGAAAACCTTTTGGGTGCTTTTAGATATGCATGTCTATTAGTATTAGCCTGCTCACAGACTTTACTGTGCGGCGACCATAGTGCTGTTTACCCATAAGGAATGAATTTAATTTTTTCTGTGTTAGCGGTATTGTAATCTAACACAAAACACAGAGATCAAACGAACCATTAATATAAAAAAACATGTAAGTTATCATTATAATTATTTTTTTGGAATTCCCTCATATCGGCAAGAGGAGTAACATTTGTTGTTTGAAAAGATAAACTTAGCAGATTCTCGCCTTGTAAGTTCTAATCTGCCGAAATATTCTCGTTTTTTAAGAGAAAAGGAATTAGGTTTTAGGTGAGTACTGTTCACAGTATCACCCGACGTCTCAAAGTAAATCCGTACACTTGAAAGCTTAGAATTATACCAGTCTCAAGTTACTGGTCAATATTTGAAATGTTATTTCCTTTTTTTGAAAAAGATTATGTTAAGCTAAGAGTAAATTGTTGCAAAAGTAAGATATACCACGATGGTGGTCCTGCTTAGTCGGTCTTTTTTTAGCCGGAATAGATCAGGAAAATTACGAAAGGAATTTTATTTTTAGCCCTATGTGTAAGGTTGATAGCAAGTTACAAAACATCCCGGGAAAGCAAAGGATATGTTAATATGAAAAAATATGTTAATTGCCATATCCCCATTCAATTCAAGCTGCAAACAGTTAAACTGCTTTGCTGCAGGAATCTTGGCAAATTAGTTGGCACACCATAATTTTCCAAGCTCTAAAGTTGACAACCTCAGGAACCACCCCCTCAGATCTTCAACTCTGCCGTTAAATTCGTCGTTGTTGGGATTTTTAGCAAAATGCAATCTTTAGTCCCCATAGTCTGACTCACAATGTGTTCCCTATTCTATAGTCGCACCGTTAAATTGCCTTGGTAGTCTGAACCAAAAATGTGAAGGATGGTATGAGCCTGTGACAACCTCGATCTCGATGTTATCCCGCAAGTAACCTCGTCTTATTTGCACAAAGAAGGCGGGAAGCCAAAGGAAGCTCTCCTGTTTTTGTTGAGTTTTTGTACACAATGAAGGATTTCATAACATTTCTACTGTTTATGGTAAGTTTATACTTTCTTATCTATTCCAATTAACAACCTTAACAATTATCTTTTATTTTCTTCATTGTCTACGATATTTCTGTCAGTTGGTTTAGGCCCTACACGTAGCCTCCCTTTGGCGCTTCTAGATGAACTCACAGTTTTGTCTTAATGGTAGATTTTTTAAAAATTTGCAATAAAAAGCTTGCAAGAAATATTTCAGGGCCCGCGCCACCGATTCTAAAGTGGGGGGCAAAAGGGGGCTACTTATTTAATACTTAAAAGGGGGATTAATACCTATAGCCAGCCCAGTCTGCAGAGTATGGCATGTGCACACCGGAGGAGATATTTTTGTGCAAATCCTGTTGCACACAAGGTATTTTTGGGTGTGATAACTAAGATGGGTGTGGCTTGGTGTCGTCCCATAGAAAATGTCAGCTGATAAAAACAAGCACAGTTGTGTATGAACAATTTGAGATATCATGAATCTTACTTGACAAATATACAAATAAAAACTTGCGCTATCTTCAACAGTATACTTCAACAGTATACTTCACACGCATTTTTACGGTGAAAGGCAAATTCACAAATTTTAACCACAACAGAGGAAAATAGTCGGTTCACACCAGCACACCAGACATTTTTGGTGGTGCACACCGTCACACCAGGCTTTTTGCTCGTGCACACCGGATATCTCGTCCAAAAGTGCCATACTCTGCAGACCGGTAGCCAGCAAGAAAAGTGGGGGACCATGCTCCTCGCCACCCCTCCCCGGTTGGGCGGGTCCTATATTTTAAAATTTATTGTAAGCTAATCTGAAGGGCATGACCACAAAAGTTTTCTGCTTGTTTCACTAAAGGCAGCCAGGCTAGAAAACTTGCATATGCTCGTAGCGACAAAAGACTTTTTGTGCTTGCACCTTGAACCTCTAGTAACGCAAAATGTAAGGGAATTCATAGGCTAGTCATAGGTAATGTAGGATGCTGGGCAATCACAGACAAATCTACTTAGGAATTTTTTTTTTGAATCTGTCATTAACAATTACAGACCTGTCAGTTCTCCCTGTTCTGCCAGGAGACTCCAGGTTCTGCTTGTTTTATCCTGGTCTCCTGGTTTTTGATGATTTTCTCCCTATTTTTCCTTGTCTTTCAGCAAAGGTTGTCTTACAACAAAAATGATTGAGCTGACTTTCTTCACAAAAACGTTTCTTGTTAGTGTTAAACCATTAAGAAAAAACTATTGCCATTACAGTAACTGTTTTTCAAGATGACTTTTTTTAAAGGTATGTTGTTTACAAAAAATCAACAAATTCCAGGGATCTCCCAATTTTTGGCCAAAGCTCCCTGTTTTTCTCAACAAAAAATCTGAAATCTCCAGGTTTTGAAAATTATAGGTTGACAGGTCTGATTTAATAATAGGATTTTTAAAATCATGTTTGGGTATCTTTTATGTTTACATTTTTTCTCTTTTTGAGCCCTTTTGCTGTGCATGTTAATGAATTAATGTGTTTTGAATGCATGTCAGTGAAGTGAGTGGGCCTAAATTCCCTTGATTTTCTACTCTTCGAAATCGAGATGTTGCTATCTGCAGTGATCAGGGAATGCTCAATGTTTTGTTTTGACTTCATGCTCTGATTGATTGCATGATTGAAAATTAAATTTTGATTGGATAACATTGGTATCCTCATCGCATGGCACGATTTTGAGATTCCCCAACATTCCTGGATGAAGTATATTGCATATGCGCATGAGCAATGCCGGACAGCAAATGGGATGATTCCCTGAAAAAATTCGAACTAATAAAGACATTTATCGGGAAAGTATTACCATTTCCCACCTTAGAATTAAACTCTTGCATTATCCCTGGCCTTATTTCATATTCTTATTTAGATCACCAATACTGTGTTGTGTTTAATCTGCCTGTCGGCCATTACCCGTGGATGCCCAACATTACCCACATGGAGTGATTGGCGCTGATTTCAGAAAAACAACAAACTATGTAAATGTAATGTAGAAATGAATTCATCAGAAAATCAGAAAATTCATCAGAAAACTCAGAAAACAATTTTATCGAAAAGAAAAAGTGGCATTGAAAATAATTGATGGTGTCCGACATTACCCATGACTATCCTATATTATACTATAGTAATGTATATATGGGCATCATTGCTTGCAGCTCAAATGCTTCTGCTAACAAGTCACCACTGACAATGTGCCGTTGGTGGCATCCACAAAATCATGCATGATTTCCAACCTGGAAATGCAGCTTTTCTTTCTGTTTTTCTCCAGGGCCTCCAAACCTTACCCTGCTTGTGTGCAGGTCAATGTCTGAAATTTTTTTATTTCATAGAATGTATATGAAATTAAAGATATGTAAAGGGCATGTTTTGCTAATATGACAATAATGTTTTGGACTATTCATTTCTGTTTCATGAATTTCCACTACCTGGAAAATATATATACCTTCAATCTTCTCTTTTGTACTAAGCAAAAAAGATAATTGTCTTGCATAAGCCAATCAGGTCCAAAATGCATGCCCTTTTATTTCAAGAACTGTTTTTCTAATTTTTCAAATATAAAAAGAAAAGTAACTCATCTGCATCCCTTAAGCACACAAAATGTAAGTTATCCAAAACACCAATCAGCTACTATATAAATTGTTTAATATGCTTTTGACCAGTCACAAATACTTATTGTTGGTCACAAGGAAGTTGGAGAAAAATTTCTTGGTCTTTCAAGATATACATATTTTGTGTTTCTTTTGATATATTTTTCCCAGTGCAAAGGCATGAAATAGCTAGAGTTACAAATATCCTTTCCCCCCCAAACAACCATCTTTCTGCAGAGATAGCTGCCAAGTTTTTAAAGTATCTTTCCCTGTAAATTTTAGTGTGGAGGGAACTCTAACACACAAGTTTGCATGTTTCAAAGTTTAAAGAAACTCCTGTCTGTAATTATTTTAAAGTATTATGTTTTTGAAACCCAAATATCATTCCTGTGCCTTGGGCTTAAGTTTTATGACAGCTTTTTTGCCTCTGGGCTCCTCATTACAATGTTGTACGCAAGTATTGTATATATATCATGCAAAATTGCAAAAATAAGGAAAATGCAGTAAGAAATAGTTCCATGCCTAGGGATCCCAACACAAGGGATTCCATGCCTAGTGTGGTCACATCAAGGGGAAGGCACTGCTTGAAAAACACTCAAACTTTGCATCACCAAGACCATTCAAATCATTTATATGGTGCTAGTCTTAAAGGCAAAGACTAAGGGAGTTTTCTTTCCTCTGGCACATTTTTTCCAAATATAATTTCTTTAGAAATGAAAACTAAGTCTGTAACCTAAGTTTTTGTAAAATAAGTTTTGAAAACGTTAATTATGATGTTTCCCCAGGCTGCTATGAAGATGCAGTCCAGCTTTTTGTATAAAGAGCATTCAAAGAAAGAAACCTCAAAGATTTGATGAGTATGAACAAAGAGTGCTCACCCTTTCCATGTCTCTTTGCCAAATTCACAAACTCAATCCCACAAATCTTCCCTCTTCCTTAGACAGCTCTACCCCCTTCCTGTTTCCCAGACTCTTACAACCTGTCGTTATTCAAAAACCAAAAGGGAGTAAGGTTGATCTTTCCTTTCTCTCTTCTTAATCCCTTTCCCTTGTTAGGACTTAGCTATAGGCATTTGAGCATTTGCTTAACATTACCAGCTAAAAAAGAAGAGTTTTAGAGCAATCAATATCTGCATCACAAGATAACTTAGTATCTTTAAAAAAGAAAACTGCGATGTTATAGAAAATTGAAGACATTGATAGGAGGAATGAATTGGAAGGAAAGAAGGTGAATGGGTCTTAGCATAATAACTGCACTCATCAATACATAACGAAAGTACTTTTTGTTTAATGCTGCATACTGTAAGTAAGTTTCACAGATAGTACTGTGACGTTTTCGGTAAGGCAATAAATTTCAAAATTCAAACTTAATGGCATTGAGTGACATATGATAACATAGTCAACAATCAACACACGTAGTATGACAGACAGATTTCGATTTTGGGGTGCTTCTTGTATTAGAAAAATTATTGGTATTCTCCCAACACTTAAAACTATGTTGATTTTTGTTATCGTAAAGTTATAAAATTCTAAAAGCTCCAACTGAAAAGGAACTTTCTAAACCTGTAGAACGCATTTCTTGATTCTTTTACTAACACTGGCATTTTTGTCGAAAGATCATACCAAATTGACAGGGTACTACATTTAGGATCTGCGAATATTGATAACCGAACTATTATTTTGTCAAGAGTTGACTCTTAAACCAATAATTGGCTTAACATTGACCAATAAAGCACTAGATTTATGCAAACTACTAAATATTTAACACCGATCGTCACTCTGGTTTGTGTTGCATTTAACCTTGTTGAAGTTAGCAAAGATGTCTTTTCTTCATGGTTTATCTTTGATGAAGAGGAAATAAGGTTTTATTGGCGGTGATTATCACCATTTCCTGGAGATAAAAATGGTGATCCTGCATTTATTGTGATTTCATTTTTCGTGCATTTAGTGGTTTCATGCGGCTGATATTCTTCTGTCCTTTTAATTGGGTGGGGTATTTCTGTTAATTCGTTTAAGGCTGTAGAAAGAAGACGCAAGGATATGGTCAGCAATGCTCTTGGCGTCGCAAATCCTTTTGCAAAGAGACGACGGAACAAGATGTATGCAAATAGAAGATTTGATACATTGTTTTGACCCAGGGTGGCCTACGTTTATTGATTAGGATAAGCAACTTATTATTCTTTTGAATGAATGAGCAGTGCCAAGTCAAACCCTTTATGCGGAAGCTCATCTTTACAATTACTTTAATCATGTAATTTCTTTCTTTGTGCTTTACTTTCCACAGAAATGATATGAGATTATTTGTTGCAGAATAACTGGATCAAACATCTGACTAAGCCTTAGGTATGCAGAATACTCTACCAGACTTTCTTGCTAGAGATGAACGGTTCACGTTTCTGGTGTTGAAAGCAAAGG